TACGGATTCATTAAAAATCCTTGCTGATGGACTTGCAATTTCATGTGCCAGTTCCTTTATCTGTGCCCCCCCCCCCCGATTTGGTCCCATTAAGATGTTTGAGTTTGATTTCCACTTCGGATGGTAATTTCTGCTTCCCTATCTGCATTTCCATTGACCACCTTGCCACTACCCCTAAGCTCCTCAGTACCCTTATTTAAAACTGAGGCAAAGTATTTGTTTAGGTGCTGGGCCATGTCTAGATAATCTTTACCCCATCCTCAGTGTTTAACAGTCCCACTTCTTCTTTTCTTTACATTTATATGGCTAAAGAACCTTTTACTACTGGTTTTAATTTCCTATGCAAGGTCTAACTCTCCTTGGCTTTTGGCAGTTCTCACTTTATCCTTGTGCTTTCTGACCTCCAAGAGGTAACTTTCCATGCTGATCCATCCCTTCTATTCCTTGTAAGCTTTCTGCTTTCTCTTCATAACTTGTTTGAGATGCTTGTTCACCCAGTTTGGTCTGCAACCCTTCCCTATGAATTTTTTCCTCTTGCTTGGGATGCAGGCTCCATATAGTTTCTGCAACTTTGACTTAAAGTAATTCCAAGCCTCCTCCACATTCAGATTCTTGAGTTCTTCAGTCTAGTCCACTTTCCCAGCTACTTCTCTTAATTTTTTAAAGTTTGCCCTTTTGAAATCAAGGACCCTAGTTGCAGACCTATTTTTGTCTATCCTTCCATTTAGTTTAAACTGAATTAGCTCATGTTCATTCAAGCCAAGGCTGCCCTCTACAACCAGTTCTTCTATGAGGTCCTCTGTACTTACCAATACTAAATCTAAAATGGCATTGTATTTTGTTGGTTCAGTGACCATTTGGTGAAGAAATCTGTCAGCTATAACATCTAAGAACATAGTAGCACGTGTCCTGCAATCTGTATCTGGGAAATTAAAGTCTCCCATAATTACACAATTCCTGGTAATACTGATTTCTTTAAAAATATTAAATAGGTCTCTATCCATGTTCAGATCAGATCCTCAGGGGTCTGTAGCATACTCCAAGCACTATCCTCATAGAACCTTTTTCTTCTCCAAAGTGATTTTGACCCAAACAGATAGTTTTATCTGTTCTATCACTTTTAATTTCTTTACAGTCTATCATGTCATTAATATACAATGCTACTCCACCACCTTTATCTTTATTTGTCTTTCTTTAGCAGCACGTACCCTTCAATACCTGTACTCCAGTCATGATAATTATTCCACCATATTTCTGTTATTGCTATCATATCTGTTTTCACTTCTTGCACTGATAATTCTAGTTTCTCCATTTTGTTATCCAGATTTCTTATATATCTTTGTTGTTGTTGCTTGGCTTTGCCCAGATTCCTCTCCCTATTAGGTATCGTTATTCTACTGCCAGTATAGCCTACTTGACTGTGAGTGCCAAATCCAGTGACTTTCCTCTTGATGTCCTCTATTGTTCTATTCTCCGTTGCTGTATTCTGTCTTACTTGATTTTCCTTGTGATCAGCATTAGAATCAGGCATGGAGATTACTTGAGCATCTCCCAACTGTCTACCCCGAATTCCTAGTTGAAAGCTATTTTAATCAGTTTTGTCAACCTCCATCCCAGCAGTCTATTTCCCTCTCTATTCAGGAGGAGTCCATCCCATGAGAGCAGTCCTCTATTCATGAATTCCACCAGTGGTCAAACATCCCAAAGCCCTTCTTATAGCTCCATTGCCTGAGCCATCTGTTGATCATCTTAATCTTGTCTCACCTTCACTCTCCTCCTCTAAGGACAGAGAGAATACCACTAAAGATCACCTGAGTCTCCATTTCTTTAAATATCTTCCTCAGCCAGGCATAGTCTCCCTTGATGTGTTCCAGTGAGAATCCAGCAGTATCATTTGTTCCCACATGAAAGACACAGCAGGTTCTTTCCTGCTCCCATTAGGATCGTTTTTAGCCTCAGGTTCACATCCCATATCTTAGCTCCTGGCAAACAGCATACCCATCTGTTTGCTGGATCAGCTCTGGTGACAGGCCTGTCTGTTCCTCTTAGTAGGGAGTCCCCAATCACATAGACCTGCCTCTTCCCAGTGTTGGTGCAGTTTTCTGGCCTTCCTCCTTTTCATCTTTCTGGCTGCAAGTCCTCTCTCTTTTGTTCTCACTTGCAATCTTCTGAGAGTCATCCTCTATCCTCCTGGTGCTCCGAACTCTGGCTATCTCCATTGACTCTTTCCCTCTGCTTCTCTTCTTCTTTGCCCTCCCACCTTCTGTTACTACCTGCCATGCCCTTTCATTTTCCAAGTCAGCAAACCTGTTCCTCAGCTCATCATCTGTTCAAATCCCCTTCAAAACTCAACAATAATTTCTACCTGCATCTCCCAACCTTGGATCTTCTCTTCTCTTCCATCAGATCCATCAGGCAGCACTTCATGCAAACAAAGCACCTATCAGGTACCTGCTCCAGGATAATGTACATCCCACAGCTCCCACATCCAATCATCTTCCTTGTCTCTTCCATTCCTTGGGTCACTACCACCGCTACCTATGTAGCGGTCATAGCCTTTTCGCCTAAAGTCCTGTCCACGAGAACAAAAGCACACAAGTATGCAAACGCACACAAGCATTCTCCCCTTACAATCTCTCACCTCAGACTCCTCCATTTTCAGCGCTGTTTGCTGGCTGCTATGTGCTGCACTCAAGATTGAGATATTTCTTTTTCTCCATGCCACTGTTTGTGCTATTGATTTATAAGATCTGACCAGACGTCTTGGCTCAGTGCTGAACTATGCACTAACTTAAAAATGAAAAGTTTTTCTAATTGTTTTTAGTTGTTTAAATAATAATTTCAGAAGGTCACATTTGTCCTGAGACAGGTTTTATGGTGAAAGCTTCATTACTCAAAGGTTAGGAAAATAACACCATTACTGATGGATTACAAACTCCCATCCCTTTCTCCAGTACATTTTAATGTACAAACTTGATCTGTTTTACGGCTAAGTGGAACATCTGTGTTTCACTTTGGGAACACTTTGCTGTATAATCTAGACTAATCCAGAATTTTGTGAATTGTTCCAGCCTTTTTTGAAAGAGACCTTTTTTTTTCTTTCCCCCGCCTCCCCCCGCCCAAGATTTTTCTATCAATGTGATATTTCAGTTTGCAAACTTGACATCTCCATCTTACGTTTCACAAAGTGCTGCTAATTCTGCTCTTAAAGAAAAGTTAATGTTGTGTTAGGAAAGAGGGAAATAAACAGCCAGAACTCTTGCCCTCCAAGCAAAAACAGACTTTAGCAGAAGAAAGTAAATCTCTCTCCCACCCTTGTCACTCTTAGGACATGCAACTATAGACTGCTCCTGTGTCAAGGTGGCTGTGCTCTTGTGCTGGTAGCTCTCTTCAAAGCCAAGCTGGCTGTGCTCCCCAGGCAGTAGTTATCTTCAAAGCTCCTATAGCAGCTTGACTCTGGTCATCGTAGCTCCGTTTCTAGCTACTTCCCTTTACAGTAGAGACCCCCCCCCCCCCCAAGAGCTACTGGGGCAGCATTTCCACATGTTTTCAAAGCTGCTATTCAAACGAGAATGGTTTAAATGTCAGTTGATATCAAATAGGCACTGTTTGTACCGAATTAGTGAAAAACGGCTTGGTGTATGGAAAAGATGTTCCATTCATGTGAGGTACTACCCTGAAGTATGACTTGAAAAGTGTCGACGTGGGGTTACTGTTTTGTTGTGTCTCACTGATCTCCGTATAACCACTTCACTTTACACCATAAACGGGATGGATTTTCTAACTACCAGCTCAGCAAACTCGAGGCTATGTCTACGCTACCACGGGATTGACACTGCTGCAATTGATGCACCGGGGGTCGATTTAGTGGGTCTAGTGAAGACCTACTAAATCGATGGCAGAGCGCTCGCCAGTGCACTCCGGTACTCCAGAGGGAATGAGAGGAGTAAGGTAAGTCGACGGCAGGGCATTTCCCGTTGACCCAGAGCAGTGTAAACACCTCAGTAAGCTGACCTAAGCTATGGTGACTACAGCTATGTTACTCACGTAGCTGGAGTAGCGTAACTTAGGTCAGTTTACCACAGTAGTGTTGACATAGCCTCAGCTTGGGATCTGACTTGGGATCTGAGTCAAATTGTGCTTCTGGTTCATCACCACCAGTAATAAAGATCCTGCAGGTCAAATCCTGTCCTCAGTGACACGATCTGTGTAAGTGTGATGTCTTCATTGCCATGGCAATTTAACAATTCTGTTGATAGTTGTGCAAGGTCAAATAGAATCCAGCTCGCTCTCCCATAGCTGTGGTATTCCTGTAGGATATAAAAAGGACCAAGGCAATGTAATAGTACTAAAGGAGAAGGGTCTCTGAGTAGATCATAGTGTGGGAGCAGATCTGTTGAGAAGCCATTTTTTAGTCACCATTGTAACCTAGATCCATATAATCCATCCTAGAATAATCTTTTGGAGTATCCATTAAATTTTTGGTTTTCTATCACACAAACATATATCTAATAATGCTGTGGCTGGCTCAAAAGACTACTGATTTATTTTCAGATAAGAATTCCCATTGAGTTTATTTTTGTCTTGAAACCAGAACAAAGCACTTTGAATGGGGAGAAAAGTGCGTAAAAAACTAGCTGTGCTTGAAAGGCAGCATCTGGCATGAGTGAGTGCTTGCCTTCGTTATTTGCTCAGCTGCAAGGGTGATGGAATTAATGTAGACTCCCTCTTCAAGCACCTTGTTTGATCTTTTTCCTAGAAAAATAAAAATGAATGATGAAACTGGATCCAGGGCATTTTCTGTTTTTTTTTTCTCCATGTTAATCAGGTGATTGCACTTCCTTTTCTACACAATAGCCCAGAAACAGCATAGATAATAGATTATTCACTTTTGCCATGGTTACACTAAAGAAACACTGTAAGAAGTTGTTCTGTGAAACTTCAATAAATTACTTCCCTAGAGAGATTTTTATGTGAAAAGCGATTTCTTGTTTTTTTAGGGGCGGGGAATACAAATTGCAAAGTCGCAATTGTGATGGCCAAAAATAAAAATACTTCTGCATCCAGGTAAGAATTAAACGGTTACTGAGACATTTGTTCAGTATCCAAGCAATGAGACCCAAAGAAAAACCCTATTTATTGAACCAGCCATTGCTCACAAAACCTTTACATGGAACAATTTTAATTGCATTGGTCAGTTAGAGTTGAGTGTGGTTTAGAAATGGAACCTTAGGCCATATATGTACCCTCAGAAATCTAATCAAACTTCAGAATTTCTCAAATAAAGAGTCCAAGTCATAAGGTACTCTTGATCTGTATGGGTTGGATCAAGGACAACATATGGCCCTAATGTCTTTAATTCTCCCTTCAGCCTTTTGAAAATGTATCCTCTAAAATCAACATCATGAATACTCACTTTTTAAAATTAAAGCCTACCACCAGACCTGGTTTACATTTTTAATTCATTAAGTGTATTATTAAAGCATAACTAGAGGAGGGAATGGTTCTATGAATATTAATAAAGGCAAAACTATACACAGAAAAAATAAGTGCAAGAATCAAAGGCCTGAATCCTGCTCCTACTGAAGTTAATGCCAAAACTCCCATTAACTTAAATGGGGCAAGATCGAGATGCCCGTATATACGGAAAAGTTAATTGAATCAAGGGGTTTAACCGTTCGTTCATACCACAAGTTCTGAAAGCAGGGAGTATTTCTTCAGTCTTCTCAACCCAACCATTCCTGACAAAATGTATTGTATTTAGATGTACATCAAGCAGAGAGAAAAATATGAAGGCATCTATTTTGATGCTTATTATAAAACCTTAGGCTCTCAGGGCACACACCTTCTGTCTGGCACCCCTCTATGAATGTTGGAACCCGATGTCCAGCTGCCCAACCCCTCTGGGCGCTGCATTTTTACCTTCATTTCTTCCCTCCTCCCCCCACAGTTCTTAAACACAGCTCTTGTCTGCCTCTCCACCCATATGTGTAGCACAGGAGAGGACAGATCATACCAAACTTTTTAAACGTACTTTTTTTTTAAATCTAAAATAGCTGTTGAGATTTCTCCTAACCTGTTACTTTTGTCTTAATCAGGAACAGACAGCACAGTATGATCATAGTTCCACTGGACATACCAGGCTTGAAGCTTATAAGACCTCTTTCCGTGTTTGGCTACCTGGGTAAGGAGGAAATAGTAATTATCAGCTACGTTTGCATTTGTATTAGCCTACTCGGAATCTCAGGAGTAAGAATTATTCTATAAACATAAAGTACTAAAGACACTCTTAGAATGCATATCTAATATGAACATCAGTACTGAGCACCTGTAATTTGCGAGTGAACATTGGCTAGAATCAATTTTATACATGGATATTTTGCTTTTTCTTTGTGTGATTAGATCAGCCCCACGGTGGACATTTTGAAATACATTTTAATGAAGTGCGAGTACCTGCCTCCAATTTAATACTAGGTGAGCTTCACTGTTAACTGTTCTTTGAAAGTCACTGCAATGATACTAACTTTAAAGTAATTGTGTCCTTTTAAAAATCTGATGGAAGTTGTGATGAATAACCTTCCTAGGTAAGGAATATGCTGTTAAGTTTTTGTTCTTCCTTCATCTGTTTTAGATGTAAAGACAGTTTTTCCAGGAGCTGCCTCTTGGAGAGAGAAGTTCATTCTCAACAGTAGTGTCAACGGGTTGAATTGGGCCAGCAAACAATCCCTTAGCTGTACTTTTCTGCCTCCAAACATCTCCTACTAGTCTGCAGAATCTGAGTTGTCTCTTCAAAGTAGAAAAGCATCCACTAATTGTGCTTCATCTGTTTCCAACCTATTGACCTTTTGCTTTTGGTGTCTGCTGCTTTGTGTGAATACATATAGGTATGAAATAATTAGAATGGCTACAGTGCTGCAAAATAATCTTTGTAAAGAAGCTCCTCTCTAGGGTAGCAACAGACAATACCTGCAGTACGGCCACTGATTTTCTTCAGAGCAGAAGTGCGCGGTTATTTGAAGCATTGAAATGAGTTCCGCGTGGCCATTTAGTTTCTCACCTCTCTTCTCACGCAGGTGAAGGAAGGGGTTTTGAGATCGCTCAAGGTCGGCTTGGGCCAGGCCGCATTCACCACTGCATGAGATCAATAGGTGTGGCTGAATCGGCTCTACAGATAATGTGTGAGCGTGCAGCTCAGAGGGTGACCTTTGGGAAGAAACTGTACCAGCATGTAAGCCACTACCTCTTTGCCTAGTTTGCTATGAATACCCCTTGGCTTAGCTCATGTGGGAAGCTTGGGACTCTAACTTCCACAGTAACAGTCACTCTAGAAAAGGTTGAGATGTCAGATAGCATTACCCATAACCACCAATTCCCAGCAACTCTGGAGATGCTGTAGGTTAAATATCCTGTCTCAAATAGGAAAGAAAATATTAAGGTTGGGAGAGTCTCCATTTTGATTGTGCCAAGATCTGCAATCTGAGTGAATTCCTATAGTTGTTTTCCTAACAAGTACTAAAGCCCTGTTCACTGTATTTAAATACACATTTTGTAGCAGAGTTTTGGCTGGTTTTCTCTGATCAGCATGGACCAGGACTCCAGAGGCAGGGCAGGTCTGCAAACCCTGGACTTGTTTTCACAGGCACAAATTTGATTTGCCATTATTGGGCACTTAGATGTCTAGCCTTGACTTGTGGGTCCAATCAGAGACTGGGAACTGTGTGATCATAGCCATAAAATAACTTCATTTTTGCCAGTGCAAATCAATGTTAAGGCCAGGCTGAGTATTTGGCCTGATCTGCCAGACATTCCTTCCTGATAGAGTTTGCCTGTTTTGCTACGTCTGTAAATTGATGTGCTGCAGACTCCCTTTGCTTGGCAGACATCAAGTATTTCTGGGTCTCAGCCAAGAAGACACAAATGTTTGTCTGTCTTTTTTTCATAAAGTAAAGGCTGGGAAGAAGGAAGTGAAGTGATTGTAGCAGATTCTAGAAAATGTTTATACAGAACTGATATAATTAGAAATAGCTGTATAAACATCTTGGCACATCACACGAAACAAACACAAAATCAAAGTACCACCGTTAGCATGTCAAACAGTGGAATCACAAAATGCACACATTGTCGGAGTCCCTTTCAAATAAACAAACAAACCGTTAGGCTTTGTCTAGAGTGGCAAGTGAAAGACACAACTTTTGTCGTTCAGGGATGTTAACCCCCCCTGGAAATACAAAAGTTTTGCCAACGACAAGCACCAGTGTGAACAGCAGTTGGGTGGCAGGAGCGCTCCCCCCCCACAACACTAACATAGCCTTAGAAGCATAGACCTAGAAAAAAGATTGTGGGGGAAAATTATTGGGCCAGATCCTCAGCTACATTGACTTGCACTAACTGAGGCTCTGGCCTGCTGAGTTCACAAAAGGTGCAAAATGGAATTTTTATCATTTTGTGTATGGCCCAGATGCTGTTACTTCTGAAAGGTAGCCTCATACAGGAAAGGTGTTCTGAAAATAGCACAGAAGGGCTGCTATCAAGGTCTTAAATTACTGCAAACAAGCTGAGCTTGTGTAGTTGACTATAGTGGGACTAGTAATGCATTGGCAAAAATAGTAAAGGGCAGATACACTAAGAACCACAGCACAACTGTTTCCCTAGGTCGTGAAGCCCCGCATTGCTCCCCCTGCCCCGCCCCCGATTTGGACATTGGAGTCAACTAATTGAACTTCATGGAAGGACTTTGCAGGGAGGTGGTTTGAATGGGTAGTAATAGCAAGGAGAGGAGGTGCAAATAGGGCAGAAGTAGACAACACTACCAGAGCATGAGGAGAGTGGGGAGTCTGAACAGCAAGCAGGCAGGGGCACAGAGCCAGAGCAATGGGAAGAGCCAAACAAATGAGGATGGGCAGTTGTGTGGTTCTTTTTTCTCTTTTTAGATTCTAGTATAAGAACAGACCCACAGCAACTCTGAGGCTGGATATTGCCTGTCCCATCCATGAAGAGACACTGCTGTCTCTCTGTCCACGTAGGCCTTGGGCTTAAGGGGTTGGTAGCTGGATGAGAAAAGCTTTTATTAGTTGACTGACTGTCTGGTTAGTTTTAATTTATGGTTTTCTCATGTGTAGAAGAAGTGGGCTGATTTTCAGGAGTGCTGAGTACACACAAATCCCTTCAAAGCCAGCGGGAGCTCAGTACATTTCATGATCACCCCACTTCTATCCAGGAGCCTTATTTAAGCATCCAGCATTGAAAACTTTGCAGGTGTATAGCTGAGAGAGGCAAAGGGTTGTTCTGAAAACCCAGATAATGTTTCATGGGGGGGCTGGGATAGCTCAGTGGTTTGAGCATTGGCCTGCTCAACCTAGAGTTGTGAGTTCAATCCTTGAGGGGCCATTTAGGGATCTGGGACAAAAATTGGGGATTGGTCCTGCTTTGAGCAGGGGGTTGGACTAGATGACCTCCTGAGGTCCCTTCCAACCCTGATATTCTATGCCCACAATTTTCTCTTTATGCCTCTACAGGAGGTTGTTGCCCATTGGATTGCTGAAAGCCGCATTGCTATTGAGCAGGCCCGATTGCTTACACTGAAGGCAGCTAGCAGCATTGATACTAAGGGCAGTGCACAAGCAAGGAAAGAGGTAAGCGGGGTTTGTTTATTTTTTTGGTCTTTCAGAGAAAAAATTAAAGTAATAAAGGACCCACTTTCAGGATTTGCTCCTATCTTAATAGAGCTGGTGGAAATCTTTTGATAAACCCCAGCCTGTTTATGGAAGAGAACACCTTCACAGAAAATTCAATTTTCCATTTTAACGAGATTTTTTTCCAGTTTTCAAAAAAATGGCAAACTTCCTGTGTTTTGAAAAATAGAAGTTGGGTGGGGTTTTTTTGTTTTGTTTTGTTGTTTTTAATTTCCTGGCAACTCCTTGCCTTTCTCCAACCAGTTCTGCTTAATAGATTTGACCCAGTGAATCCAGAAAAAAAAAAAAATTGGAAATTCTGAAATCAAAGTGTCACTTAATTGTCTTAAATTTATGCTCTCTTGCTCCTTCTGTGCAAAAGCTTGATATTTTTGGTCACTACTGTTTGTTAGCCACTTAAAACAGGTTAAAGAGGTCCAGTCACTAATGGATATTGGTAATCTTTTACCTGATATTTATTTATGTTTCAGGTGAAAATCATTACTTGTTAATCTAAGCCTAACAGTATAAATGGGGTGGAATGCATTTGGATGGCCTAGAGGATAAGTACAGAACCTTACTCTCTAAAGCCACAATCCTGCATGGTGCAAAGCACCCTTCCTTTCTTTGGGAGCTAGCACCTTGCAACAATTATTGAATATAGCCCAAATATGATATGACACATTAGTCCAATTTCTAGAAGTGTCCCCATCACAGTTGGCAGTCTTTGAGAGACCAAGAATTGAGTGTGTCCAAAGGCTTTTGTAGCCACTGAGGTCATTCCTGAAGGTCAGGATAAAGTTACATTAAAGATGGAGTGGAAGCTTGCAATGCAAAATCCCTGAGTTGTGGCAAATGCACAGCTAGTTGCAGTCCAGCTCTTGGAACCGGGCCTGTGGAAAAAACAGAACCAGAGCTGCGTGAAAATCCCATTTTCCTACACCCCTTGTGGTGGGAAAACTCCTACATTCAGGTTTTTGTTTTTTTTAATACAGATAGCTATGATCAAGGTGGTTGCACCTAGAGCTGTCCTTAAAGTGGTGGACTATGCAATCCAAGTTTGTGGAGGAGCTGGAGTTTCTCAGGATTTTCCTTTGGCTCGTATGTGAGTAGGAGAGAGATCTATCCCATGTTTCTAAAACTAGCAGTATTTCCCCTTTCTTGTCAAACTGGTTAAAATGCGCTACATTTCAGGTGAGACTGAGCCAAATTCTGCTGGGACTGGAGCTGGGCAGTTTCTTTTTGGCAAGTAATTTGACCAAAAAAATGCTAAACTATGTGAATTTTTATCAGATTGTTTTGACCACCCCAAAATTCTCTAAATGGTTTAGTTATGTCAAAAACATGTAATTTTGACCTAACCTCAAAATTTTGTTCAGGCATTTTCAGAAAAGCAAATGACTAGATTTTTAAAGTTTGGGGAGTGGGGAAGATGGCCAGCTCCCTAATCGCCTTTAGCCCAGGGGTTAGGACAGTCTCATGAGATATCAGAGACCCTGCCTGCTGAGGGATTTGAACTTTAGTCTCACATTGTAGCAGGGTGTCCTAACCATAGGGCTCTGGGTCATTCTCAGACCTGTGGAAGCTGTTTTACTTTAATAAATAATTTATTAGAACAGGGACTTGAATTTAGGGCTCTCACTGATGATATGGGAGATGTAAGTTCAAGTCCCAGTCCCTACTCTAGTGACTGTTTATAAATAAGTGAAACACCTTCAAAAGGAGAGACGGAATGACCCGGAGCCCAGTGACTAAGACATGTGGCTGCTCTTTTGATTTTTGACAAACTTAGAATTCCAAAATGATTATTTTTTGCAACTGCTAGTGAATGGAACAATCCATTATCTGCCCAGCTCTACTCTTGCACCTCCATTGAAGTCAGTGGGGCTGCATTTGAGAGCAGAATTTTGTCTCCTGTACTCAAAGGTGTTATTCCACACCTCAGAGTAGAGAGGTGGTATGCAAAATAAATAACTTAATAGTCCCTTCTGGTCTTTAATCTAGTCGGACTTCCTGCATAACACATACTGTGGAATTTTGCCCAGTGATTCTTGCATTGATCTCCATTACTTGGATGAACTAGTGTGTCTTACCAAGACTGGATCTTCTGATGACTCAGTGCCAATGAAGTGCAAGCATTACTGGCAAAGTTTGGATAAACACCTCCATTACACGACATGGGCCCAGGCTATTGATTCCAGAGGCGCCCAAGCCCCACTGATGGTGATAGCTGTATGGTTTGAAAATAGAACAGTGCACTGGAATCGGGGTTCATATCCCAGCTTTCCCTGTGATCTTGGGAAAGGCACTTTGTTTCCATTCCCACCCTCTGTTAATAAGACAGTCCCTGCTTCAAGACCTGTTTGTATAATATCCATCACCATGGGAGGGAGCCCAGTGCCCATGGGTCCTCCAGGTAGTACTGTAATACAACAAAGTGCATTTCTAGAGTTAGAAGTGAAACTTAAGTGTAATTCTCCCCCTCTAAGGGCCAGATGCACTATCTGCTACACTGCAGTTGGGGGGCTATCCCAGCTGGCTTCTGCTAAGGGGCTGTTTAAACTGTAGTGTAAGATGCTGGAGGGTCCCAAAGTGCAGCCCAAACCTGAACATCTACACTGCGGTTAGAGCCCCTTAGCCTGAGGCCAAGTCAGCTGGCAGGGGCCAGCCCCTGGTGGCTAACTGCAGTGTACACATGCATGTTGGTGCTGGTTCAATCCCCTAAAGGTCACTACTTTCCCCCACCCCCAAACATCATCCATAATTTGGGACCTCTCTCTGCCAACATAGCATCTATTGCTTGAGGTGAAAGGACAGAGCCAGTAGCAGACAAGTCTAGCTGCTGTTTAGTCCCCATGTTGATCAGCTCTAGCCTGGCTACAGTTGATATCCCAGGAAACTGTAGCAGTTGGCTGTAGTGAAAAGGATATGGTACTTAAAGTTGTAGAACCATTTACCCTTCTATTCTTAACAGAGCACCAGTTAACTTCAGGACTCTGTATCTGAAATCTCTAAACAAAAGGCTGCTTACATTACAGTAAAAACTGAGTCATTATCTAGGCAATTCCCAGAGGAAGTGGAAAGGCTTGCTTCCTAAAAGAGTTTGTTGCTGGCTTTTCCAAGTGCTCCAATCTTGTTAATGTACAAAAAAGCTGCTGGCTTCATGCAGGGGGTTCCTAGCTGGATTTAGTCTTGAAGAAGTTCCAGCTTAGATTGACTCTCATTTCCTCTAGCCTAGCTCTACTCATTAAGAATGTCTCCTTCCCCAGAACCAGTTCTGTTCAAACAATTCTAGCAGCATAAGGTTCCTTACTTCATGTATTAAGGAAACATCCTACTTTAGGTTTTTATTGAGAAGACATGTAACTATATAAAAAAAAAATCTTAAGTTACATTTTTTGTGTCACATTACCAAGCCACACTATTAAGTGCTGGCACTGCAGGCTCTAGAATCCACACTAATTTCAGAACAACTTCTTATGCAGGTTTGCCTTTATTCGGACCCTCCGAATAGCTGATGGGCCTGATGAAGTTCACCTCTCAGCAATTGCAAAACTGGAACTACAGGACCAAGCCAAGCAACTGACCTCAAAAATGTAATAAAGTTTAGTCTAATCATACAATAGCATTGCTTCAGTTTTAAAAGGAACCAGGTTTTTAAACACTTCTGAATGATTTAAAAGTTTGAACTAAAGTTACCTATATTGTTTTCTACATTCTACAGTGATAAGTTTAATCGTACAAAGGTAACTTGGATTTGTTTTACTTAAAGGTACCAGTGTCCTAAGCTGCTAAATAACAGTTAACCTTTCAGGGCACTAGCCTGAAGATTACTTTATCAAGCCCTTAGTTCTTATGTCACAGATGTTCTCTCAATCAAGACCTCTGTGATGCTGCCTGTAGAATGTTAGTTTATTTTCTGAAATAAAATAATAAACTTGTTTTATTGTTTAATCAGAACTAATCTAGTGTTGTGAACTGTGTGGGCAATTTCACTGAAAGTGGCAAATTGTTGTATATTGACCCATTAGAAGGGCAATATACCTAATATAGCTGGACTGTGCAGGAGAGGGCTTGACAGTGCAGAGCAGACATGTTTTAGGAAAATCTGGGAGCGGGTTGGGGTAACTCTGCATGTGGTAACCAAGGCTGGTGGAAGCCACAGCATGACTGGTATGTACTGGCAGGTTGCAGAGCTGCTGAACCAGGGCTGTAACTCTAGATAGAAAATAAACTAACATTCTACAGGCAGCATCATAGAGGTCTTGATTGAGAGAACATCTGTGACATAAGAACTAAGGGCTTGATAAAGTATGACCAACTTGGGTCATTCACAAACAGCCTGCCAGCAATCAGATCACATCTGGAGTTCTGTCTGCATCCAGCTAAAGCATGTAGTTTACTGTTTGAGATTTTAAAAGTGTCACTAATGCATAAGTCTGAATAAAAGATCTCTCCCCCAACAGTCCAATGCTGCTTTTTTACAAAAGGAACAGTTTGGAGGAAGACTCCATTTCTTCTAGAGCATTCCTAAAGGCAAAAATCTTAAGTGTTGCTTGTACCACAAGCCAAAAATGCCTTAAATCTACAGAATGAGCCAGCCTGTCACTGATAACTGTCTCTACCCTCTGTTAAATCAAGTTGACAGGGGGAGAAATTAAGGAAACAAGAGAAAGCTCTTGCTTGCTCTCAGATGCTAGCTCTTTGTTCTGGCTGGTTCTGAAGAAACACTTTCTGCAGCTCTTCAGCAATGTAGTGATAGACAGGCATCATGAGACACTGAATATTGATTTTACTACATATTAACATATCAAGGTTTAGAAGGAACTGTTAGGGAGCAAGTGTTGCAGGCCACACATCTGTCCAGAATGTAGGTATTTATTCAGCACAGCTGTACAAAGCCTCCATGGCTGCTATTTATGCTCTGCTATCTTGATGAGAGGCAGAGGAATCATAGAATATCAGGGTTGGAAGGGACCCCAGAAGGTCATCTAGTCCAACCCCCTGCTTGAAGCAGGACCAATTCCCAGTTAAATCATCCCAGCCAGGGCTTTGTCAAGCCTGACCTTAAAAACCTCTAAGGAAGGAGATTCTACCACCTCCCTAGGTAACGCATTCCAGTGTTTCACCACCCTCATAGTGAAAAAGTTTTTCCTAATATCCAATCTAAACCTCCCCCACTGCAGCTTGAGACCATTTACTCCTCGTTCTGTCATCTGCTACCATTGAGAACAGTCTAGAGCCATCCTCTTTGGAACCCCCTTTCAGGTAGTTGAAAGCAGCTATCAAATCCCCCCTCATTCTTCTCTTCTGCAGGCTAAACAATCCCAGCTCCCTCAGCCTCTCCTCATAACTCATGTGTTCCAGACCCCTAATCATTTTTGTTGCCCTTCGCTGGACTCTCTCCAATTAATACACATCCTTCTTGAAGTGTGGGGCCCAAGCTTATAGCAGAGAGGTAGCCATCCCCTATGCTAGGTGGGCAAACTATAGCCCACAGGACCATCCTGCCTGTCCCTTGAGCTCTCAGCCCCTCCCCCACAGCCTCAGCTTGCCAGGCCACCAGTGCTCTGGGTGGCATGATAGGGGGACAGGGAAGGGGGGTGAGGGGGAAGATTGGATAGAGGGTGGATGGGTACATGGGACAGGACAGGGCAGGGGCCAGGCTCTTTGGGGACACACAGCCTTCCCTACCAGGCCCTCCATACAGTTTTGGAACACTGATGTAGCCCTCAGGCCCCCCCAAAAAAGTTCACCCACCCCTGCCCTATGCCAATGGCATGTGTCTTCAGTAGACCAGTCTGTGACCTCAGCAAAACCATACCACTGAACATTAAAGGACAGATTCTTTCCTCATATGTACATGTTTACATACGAAGGTAAAATTTCATCCTTTTTCTAGTTACGGCTATAATGATGACACTTTACCCAGCTGAACTTTTAACAAGAGCAACACTGACCTTGCATGTTAACACTGCAAATAACTGAGGTTATGCATAGTGTTTAGCTGTGGATTAGACCATCTCCTCAGCTCCAGGCAAAATACTTAGAATTCAGTACATTTTCCCCATCACACAAGAACACCCCTCTCACAGAAGTACTGTCTAGCTGGCTGCTCTAGAATTCTAACCGTTTTCAAGAAGGAAGAAACATTCCATTAAAGTAACAGCTTTGTCTCATTAACAAGGCTCAATTCCCTTTATTTTTAAAATTTTATGTACATATGAGTGATCTGTATAATGTACATTCAATATAGAAAGTTTTTATATACTGGATAATGTATAGAACATTCCACAATTACACTAGGTTCTTACATACCAGGTTGACATCATTTATTTATTTATTTATTTTTTGCTGAAGTGTTTTCAATTTGGTAAAGCCAGTTATACAAGTGTCTAATGCAGTTTGATCTCAGGAAGATAATGTTAATGATTAAGGACATCAATGAACTGGTGCAGGGACAAACCTCTAGTAAGTCATGTTCAATGAGACTGATCATGTCAGGAGTAGAGGAGGAAAATTCCGTTAGTGGGGATGGTGGGGGTCAAGTGACTTAGCCCAATTCTTCTGGACTGTAATTCAACTCCAGTCATGCTAATTCATAAAATATAAAAACTAGGAAAAAGTTGTTTGATTCACAGTCTTGTAAACAAATAGAAAGGAACAAAATGTGCTTACGTACAACAAGAAAAAAATTCTTGTGTACTCATTCGGGCTGATCCTTAGCGTGCTTTCTTATGTTACAATGTGACAGACGCACTGACTTTTTTCCCCTAAAAAAAATATATTCATAGAAAAAGGAATAACACTGTCAGGAAACAATTGGAAAGGCAGTAAGTTCACTTCAATGCATCAGAGGGAGGAAAGTGCAGTTCCTCATCACTGGCCAATCTGCCTTTAAAAGTCTTTCATGGGTATTTCAAATCTCTTAGCTGGTATCTCCCAATTCATTGTCTACAGGGGGTGGTACACTGGGCATTACAGAGGATGTCGTTCCTGCAGTAAGGTAGCCAGCAACTCCAGGGCCTGGTGGGGGGGGGGGGGGAGAAAGAGAAAAATATTGATAATTAGTTTTAATAATCAAATGGCAGTTCTCCACACTTATTATTCAGAATCACTCTTGTTAACATTTTCATCTTTGAAAATACTGAGACAGTTTGACTGACCTTATAGCTGTCTCCTCATTAAGGTTAACAAAATCTGTTTTATGGTTTCTATTTTTAAGACTTGCCATCAGGAATTGAGGATAAATCTCATTCATATCTGTCCATCCCCAGTCACTGTAGTATGAGAGCCTAGGAAATTCCTAGGATTTGTGCTTAAGGAAATAGAGGGTGCCTAGGGTTTGGGGTGGCATGTTCATATATTTGAGTCTGAGGTTTAATAAATCTAATGTGCTGTGTATCACTAGACAACAAGGAACAAACAAAAAAACCTGAAAAATCAATTCCAGCCCAATGGAAGAGAAACTGACAAAATAAAGTAACCTAATGATAACTAGTATTCAGATATTTTATAATTGGATACCCTCACTCTGGCATTTTGCTTTCGGATACAACTAGGAGGAACTCCCATACTTTGGAGGGATAAAGCCATTAAACCGTCTCACTAGCTGGCAACGTGTCTATCCCTGTTGAGATGGCATAGCACAACTCCTAGTGCTTCTCTTTCACTTAAAAGGCAGAAAGCATTCAGAATACAAGCAGCACTGCCAAGCCTGAAGAAAGTGAATATTCATGTTCCATCTCCTCAGAAGAAAAGGAAGGTCCCTGTAATTCTTCTCTGAATCAGAGTTTAACAGATCTGCACTCCTTCTCTTTTAACAGTAACCTTAGTCTACAGTGGATTTGTCACTAGAGCTTGAATCGAAAGTCACTGCCACAAAGACTAAATTTTTCCATATGAGAAACCTGGACTCGCAGGTAGGTACTGGGTGACTCAAGAATAGTAGCCAAGTAAGGACGTTACATTTTTATGACCCCTCTTGTGTCTTGAGGTGATCCAAATGCATCATACCCTTCATGACCCTTGTGAGTAAACATAGGTAGAAAGCAGTCCACTTTCATGTTCATGAAAAGTTGATCTAAAAGCAAAAGCAACTGGAGGATGAAGTATGCAGAGTACTAACTGGTGAAAAGAAGCTGGTTGTAGGGCAGGGGAAGTGTAAGGATTCATAGGGATTTTTCAAAACAAAAACCCTACAAAACCCCTGCTACTTAGGGATTTCTGAATAAAGCTTAACTCCATTACTGTATATATACACAAGGTATACTTGTTTCACAAACCAATTGGTGGATATATACCTTAGCTTACTGGCACAAAGCAGTGGACTGGACTCAAAATCATGTGTGAACCCTAACAGATTCAACATACTAATCCAATTCACTTGTTCCTCAAATATTTTCCCCAGAAATATTCCAATAAATTCCTTCAGGAATGGTTTAGTCTATATATTTACATAGTCATTCAACAAGGCATCTTCTCTAGGAGGAGCGAGTTACAATTTTTGGAACAGTAAGTACAATTGCAGCAGTTTAATAGTCCATATAGTATTTTGCAATATTTTGAGGAGACTACACACTTGCTCCTATTGCATAGCATGCATCTAAAAGAGCATACAAGTCAGTTACTAGGAATGCAGTGAATGGAACATGCGTTTAGCAAAATGATATCTACCTGCATTAGAGAGCTACACAGAAGTTAGCAAGCTGCCTGGCAGAGCACATCTAAAGCCCACTTCTGAGGTGAAGGGGACTGCTACCAGTTAGAAGGGAAGGAGAAGAGACACCTGAGAGAAAAAGAAATAAGCAAGGGAAGTTGTAAGGGAAGTGTAGACAGCGAAGCAGTTTGAAGCAAAGGTAGGACAGAACACTGTCAGCCCTGGTCTACACTACAGATTTACATGACTAACTACGTCGCTCAGAAGTGTGGAAAATCCACACCCGTGAGCAACCCATTTAATCTGACCAAGCTCTGTGTAGACAGCACTATGTCAACATAGCTACTGCCTCTTGGAGAGGTGGAGTACCTACACCAATGGGAGAAGCTCTCCCATGTGAGCACAGGTAGCATCTTCAAAGCGCTACAGCAATCTAAATGTAGACAAGTGCGGAGTATAAATAGAGAAATACTCATAGTTTATGGTTAGATTACCATTTCTACAGTGTCTTCCCTCCTATGATCAGAAAGCACCTTACAAGCATAAGGAATTTAGCCTCACCCCGTCATTTAAGAATCGCCCAATGCTACAAACAAGAAAGGCATAGAGAGGTTACTTGACTTGTCCAGAATCTCTCAAAGTCTGGTCATTAAGAATATAAATTGTTTGGGTCCCTCTGTCCCTCCCCCCAGCAGCTGAAGTCAGCTAACACTTATACCAAAGAAATCCTATAGTAAATGAAATCCTGTAGGACTCTACTCAGCAAAAAAGCAATGAGTCTGTCTTCAGAAAGTCTACCAATGCATGGAACCATGTTGGCTCTGATGTCTTGCTGATAGCCGAAAAAAAGTGAGACTGTTTACCAAATAAATGGAGTAGTGAGCGTCTAGGAAACAGCTAGACAGTCTTGAACATGGATGTGTGACTTAGAAGTGCTATGCCCTTTTCATGTAGGGCAAACAAACCACAAATTAGGGTTCTCTTGTTCAAATAATGGTATACCCCTACAGCCCAACAAATGCTAAGAATCTGCTCGTAATGTAACATTCTTAACCTCAATTAGCCAAAAGGGCTCAGTGAGCTTTATCTGGAAATATGATCAGAAATATCAGAGCCTTTCCTTTCTACACATTTGTGTGTGAATAATCTAGTCAGTATTACTTCACAAGTGAGGGTTGATGACCACATGCAGGTAGAGAGAGAAGGTGTGACTATAACTCTGTGCTTATCTGGGGAAAGGCATGCAAGTTCCCTAGACTGTGAGGAAAAGCTTAGTCATACTTGACTTGAGAAAAGGCTTAATGAAGTCCTTCAAAATCAGAAGTCTTAAAAATTAAACTCCCACACAAACCTTTTGGCCTTTCCCTCAGTTTTAAATAATTTATTTTAGTGGAGAAATTTCATAACAGTGTTCTAGGTTGCTTTTATCAGCAATCAATGAGAAGAAACCTGTTGTTACAGCTTGTAGACAGTTTGTAGGTTATGTTGAAATGTTAATCATCAACTAAAACTGAACTCATTGTTTGTTAAATAAAATAAGCTTAGCTTTGGACTCCATGAAGGAAACCACAGTATAATACAGTATGCCTTATCAAAATGAAAAATCTAGCCATGCAAGTTTCTCAAAGTTTGAGCTCTTCCTACCACAAAGTTACAGGTCTCAGAATACAAGTATGCTGCTTCAGCATAATTTTGAGCTACCATGAGTCAATAAATTAATCAAATGTTTGCACAGTGTGAACAGGTAACACCATGCTTCTTGATAAACCCAAGTCACAAAGGCTAAATTTGCTTTTGAACAAAGTGATGTTATTTCAAAAATGGAGAATAGAACCCATACACTAGAAGTGATGAAGCCATAATGAACTGTGCTCTTAGGCACTTATGAGAACTTTGCCTGTGATCTTTAAGTACAACAGCCAGCTGGAGCTGGAACACACTTTAGCTGTACCACCACAGAGCACTGTGAGGACTATTTGCTATTGGTAGGAAAATCTGCAAGCATAGGAAGTCTTACAAAGCCCATTACACTTTTATTTTTAAACACTAAAAACCCATAGTAACTAATTTCTCAGAAATACATGTTCAGGTATGCGCCAGTCATGGGCTAACAACAACAGAGATGGCCTACCCATGTCAGCAGAAGAGATCAAACAGTATAAAATGAAAAACAGTACTTCATAGTGTTAACATAGTGCAACGAATGGTCACATGATGGCAGCAAAACTTTGGAGGATAAATAGAAGGCTGGACCCACCACACCTTAAAACAATAAGTCAAGTATCTCAGCTCTATTCAGGCATATTTCAAGGTTCATTTGAAACAGTAGCAGTAAAGTGAAGGTTACAACTCTGATCTGAAATAAGTGTTACTGACCTGTGAGGTATCCTACTGTTTGTGTCTCAGAAATGAACAAGTCATGTTTCTGATCTTTGAAGGCACTCCACACAGAGGAACGAGACAGGATTTCATTTACCTACAACATAAAAAGCTGGTAAGTGTCTACATTTAATAACTGCTTACAGTAGCTGGATGGAAACATTCCACTCTTTACTAAATGTGGTAAGGTCAGTTTTTAGACATTAACTAGATCTATAAAAAATGAACACTTAAGTATCCAAATAGGCATACACAATCCTAACCCAAAACCACAACTATTACATAGGGTAAACAGTTGGTCATCGTTTGCATGGGGGTTGAATATACAAGCAGAGATTCCAAGAAGATTTAGAGCTATCAAACAGCTTGAATTTCTCCCTAGTGCTTCTCTTCCCTCACCCATTCAGTTGGTCAACAGGGAGAGCAGAAGCAATCATAGCAGTCTCCTGCCTCAAATGTCAGATAGCCTGAGAAGCAGAACTGTTGCCTTGCGGCAGAATCAGGGCGTCAACCTGGATAGTACTTGACAGTCTTGAATGAGGATGGAAAAAAGGGGCCCAGGACTAACTGAACCAGAGGGATGTATGAACAAGATTCTGATTTTACTATTGCGGTGGGAGTGGAAGTGTACACAGTCTCAACTGGTCAGAGGAATCTGTGTTACTTGGACAATTTATTTTTTAGGTCTCAACTCTAAAGCATTCTCTGTGCAGAGGAATTTTCAAGAATCCAAAAAGTTTTCAAGCTGCAGTTCTCCAGATACTTTACTCTTTACCCACTGCGTACAGGCTCTGAGAACACCTGTGCATCAGTCTTGCCTATCTAATTTCAGATGTCGTCAGCCTTCACTGGCACTCTAGGCCTCTCAGACACTATTTCTATATTTTATCCGGTGGCCTACAAATCTCATCCTCTGCTCCCGATCTTCCCTTCGTAGGAAGATATGGATTGACTGACTCATTAAAAGCTGTGAATCTGGGATACTCTGCCACTTAACATAAACCATTAGTTGACACAGCTTAAGCACTTCAATAAAGGTTAGCCTGGGAGACATGCTCTCATGTGTATTGGCTCAAAACTGTATCTCTGTATATAATGATTAAGCTTTCTCAAGCCCAGCGATTCAGAACATTGTTAGTAAGTACTTACCTGTTCTCCATACTGTAGGCTGTGAGTCATAGACTTCAAGGTTTTAACTATCTGAGCCTTCGTGGCTGATGGGCTTTCCAAATTTTCAAGCCCAACACCTTCAAGCAATTTTAGGAGATACGGAACCAAATCTGCTTTCAAAGCCTACAAAGCAAAATTATTGGAGATACTTAATACAATGGACTTTGAGAACACTTGAATTGAATGGAATTTTACCAGTGTTTGTTTGCTCACTTCACTCTGCTTTAGAACAGCTGTTGCACGAATAAGTTTTTTGTCTTTTGGAACAACAGGATCTCTTTTGAAGATCCACAATACTCTGAACTGTTCTATTACACCTATTTCTGAAGACAGGTCAGTACAGGTATGCAAACAGCTAAGCTCACGCCGCTGCAGACAAGATAAAAATGCCAGGAAAAAAAGACAATGCAATGATGTCAATTAAACTCAGAAGACACTAAGCTACTCTGCGACAATTTTGAAGTGAGCTGGCAGTTCTGCTCCTGGTCCACATCCTTGAAGCAAGCCCTACTGACATCGTTTTTTCTATTGTCTCAGAAGAGAAAAGTTACAGAATGCAAGTCATAAGCTACCCTCTCACCTTAGAAGCTTTACAATAAAAGTCTAAGTCTGTTGTCCAAAGAGCACGAGGAAGCCTGTACTGCAGTTCTGAGCTATGGGTGAGGAATTTCAGATTCTAGCTTTGTCAAACGAGGACTTTTAATAGCACTAGACCGACAACAGGAAAATAGACAAGTTAATAGGCAAGACAGAAGTGAGCACCATAGAGCACTCTAAAGTAGTCAGTAATCACAGGACACAGTTCTTGCACACCTCCTGAACTGACTAATGCACAACTGAGTGTGAGAAGTACTTGTACCATTTCTTTAGAACAGCTTGCTTACTTGGGCTACTAAATCATTCTGCTCCTTTTGAAACATGCGATTAAGTGCTTCACAGGCTAGACCAATCGTATCCAATCGCTTTTTCATTCCATTCATCAAAGGGCCAATGGTCTCAAGTGATGCCATTGCTCGAACACAAAGCTGTACATAGAGAAGGAAAAGCATTTGTGCTGTACTGATTGTATTTTTAATCTAAAATTCAAATCCTGAATACTATTGCAACTTGTACATCTACTACGATGATAAACTGCAGATATCCGACTGTCCCCTTCATACTTTCCTGGAGGAGTTTTACATGTTGCACAATAGGAGCAGCAGGCACCAACTGTTGCAGTAGATGTTTGCTGGATGCTTTTATCCATAATTAGGATGAATTAAAACCGCTTACTAATCAATCAACACAGTAATGCAGCAAGCACAGAAGAAAACAAACAAACAAAAACCCCACCTATCGTTAGAAGCTATGTTGGCTTAGTTTTAAGAGTGAGGGGGTGAAATATCCACGTAGGTAACCAATATGGCTATTAGGAGAGTTCTCAGAAGATTTTATTTGCCACAAAAGTCTACAGGTTGCGGTAAAATGCTCCAACATGTTGTGCGCTAATTACCTTGTGTAGACCTTGCTGGCACACTCCAAAGGTACCTGGTTTGCATTAACACTACATTGCTGCAAACTAGATACATTTTAGAGGGCACCAGCCGGGTCTAAGTGGGGCAGTTAGAACGCTCTACAAATCACACCCCTCTAGAGTGCTTTGTTGGACCATGTACACAAGCCCTAGGCTGGTATGAACGTACACGCCATATACACTTAGTATACATTCCATCTAAAAGAAAATCTTAAATGCGATACCTCATTATCAGACAGTGTGTGTATGACACGAACAGCACTTTTAGGAATAGCATTGTTCTTGTGATTCAGAGCCTGGAGAATCTTGGGGAGATGACCAAGTGGTGGGAGTTGATCTGCTAGCTGAGGCTGAGTGCTGAAGAGGCACACGGTTGCTGTTGTTACGGTTTCTAATGTTTCCCCCTGTGAAAGCATACAAGTCTTTGCATTAAATTATTAATTTTCCAGGTCAAAATTAGCTTTAACATTAAAGAAGCTCAGTGCAGCAGGCCATACCACTGCAACTGCAGTACACAAGTACTTGCTGCTTCTGATCTGTGGAAAGTCAGAAGATACGAAGTATTACAGATACGCATTGATTTCTACAGTGATTTAAAGCCAGTAAATTTGAGGGGAGGGGGGAGGGAGGAATGCATCTCTGTTAGCAAAACACAAGTTAGCATAAACTCACTAAATACATTGCTTCATTTAAAAACCTAGAATGAGTAGAGTTGAAGTAACTGAGCCAGGATGGGCTTCAGCCTACCCGAGTTCCTCCAGACAGCGTCCAGGGAATTTTTTTTTAAGTTAAATTTGATACCACTGAATCACTGACTTCCCTCACAGAGAGTTTCAAGCACAATTAATGATTTTGCTCATCCCGTGAATAAGCTAAAAATGGTTTATTCTTTTTACACTGAGCTGAGTGATAGGGGAGGCAACCTTGCTCAGCAGTGATGTAACTGGGTCAACAGCAGTATGGGAAGCCAGTGACACAAACTGAACGTCCCTTTCTAACCTGCTTTTAATGTTGCAGTTTATGTTGGCAAGTGCTTCTTTGACTTTTTGTACTGTTAGGTTGACCTAGACAGGTGCAGTTTTCCTCCAAGCAAGCCATGAAGTTATAGAATGTTTGAGGAGCTTTCTTGGATTTGTATTCCCTTAGTCAATACCCTGAGCTAAAATTCCAATAGGACTTAAAGGAGCAATCAAAAGACAGGGACTCTTGATTTAAGGCATTCAAATTCTAATTGTCCGCTTATTTATTATTTTTAAAGCGCTTCATCTTATCTAAGTGCTTTTGCACAAAATCAGAAATAAAATTTAAAGCTATTTCTATGTTGAAAATGAAACTGCTACCACCATTGCAAGCAGAAATACAAGCACCAAGACAGAAGCAAAATTAACCAAATGCTAATTAGCATCTTACATTATTGCTTTGAAATTTGCCCAACTCTGCCCTTACTATATGTTGCACACAATTTTAAACGCATAGCTAGAAAGGCTTCTTACATGGGGGTTATTTTTCTCCAGTAGTTCAGTGAATTTTTCCAACAGTGCAATAAGAAATTCTCTAGGTTTTCGCAGAACCCAGGCCGGCTGGGCAATAAAGATTCTTAAGAAGACTCCCCCTACAGAAAGTTCACCTTCTGCTTCACCATACACCACAGCAAAGTCTTCAGACAGCTATATAAAATTGGAGAGGAACAAAAGTTAACATAAAACTCAGCAATAAGTCATCCCTCTTATCGGGAAAGAGGCAAATCAGTAAAACCTTGTAACCAATTACAACCATGATTTCATTAAAGTTTTTTTTTTTTTTATTAGAGACCCACAGACTATCAGCTTTCTGTTCCCTAAAACATGTCCAACACGGAATTGTTCAGCAACATTAGCAATACCATAATTTCTTTACAGTAACTTACTGTAGAAACACTAGGTACCTGATTCCTTCCTATAAAACAAGACACTGAACTTGGAAGTACTGTATGGTGAGTGGGCATTTTCAAGTAAATCTTGTCCATGGGTTCAGCTAGTTGCACAGGGAATGAAAATATACTAGTGATGGCCACTAATCACAAAAGAAATTAAATGACATGGCTGATGAAGACTAATGAGTTTTATGTGTAGCATTAACTGAGGATAATCTAATGAGCCTGATTTTTTAGTAAATCATCTCATCTCAACTGTTATGAAAGACATTCAAATATTGAAAGCTTTACACCAGAACTGGTAGAAAAGTTCCAGTTCAGATTTTTATTGGAACCAACAATTGCATTTTTTCCTTTCTTGTGTGTTTGACAGTTTAAAGTGTGAAGCCATGCAGCACATACTCCACAGGTCAAGGTGTGTTGTTTATGTTAAGCTATTTCCAAACACTACTCAATTGTCTTGTCAGAACTACATTTTGTGAGGGGAATTACTAGAATTGCAGTGGAAGAGACTCTAATGTCCTATTATTTTTAGTATCAGAGGGGTAGCCGTGTTAGTCTGTATCCATAAAAACGAGGAGTCTGATGGCACCTTAAAGAATAACAGATTTATTTGGGCATAAGCTTTCGTTGGTAAAAAACCCCACTTCTTTAGATGCATGGAGTGAAAATTGCAGATACAGGCATAAATATACTGGCACCTGAAGAGAAGGGAGTTACCTTACAAGTGGAGAACCAGTATAACTCCCTTCTCTTCATGTGCCAGTATATTTATGCCTGTATCTGCAATTTTCACTCCATGCATCTAAAAAAGTGGGTTTTCTACTCATGAAAACTTATACCCAAATAAATCTGTCTTCAAGGTACCACTGGACTCATTATTTTTAGGACAGATTTACAAATACTTTACTATACATTTAACAGTTCAGACTAGTGAGGTGGCATTTACTATACAACCAATTCAGTTGGCCAAGACACACATTTTTATGTGATGAAAACCTTACTGGATTACTAACAACTGGAAAACAGAGTAATTTGCTATGATCACGCAACAGATTTGATTGTTCAGAAAGTCAGCATACTGGGGACCAATTAAGGCTCTCTGATCACAATTTAGTTTTGAACTTCACTGTTAAGTTTATAACTTATGTACATTTGTAGCCTGCTCGTGTTTAAACGCTTCTAGCAAGAGACCGACTTTGTGGAGTTATTTGGAGGATAGATTCAGTAATTCTACAGTGTAACTTGTTTTTTAGATGTCAACTCTAGACTACAGTAATGAGAGAGAGCAGATGGGTTTTGCTAGAAGCGTGTCACTGGTATTTTCTACGACACTGCAGAGAAAAGGAATGCATGTGAAAACAAAGCGTGAGCACTTATTACCAATTTCCCTACTGTTTCTCTTGGGGCCCCAAAATATGAACATTTTTGCTTTTACCTTCCAGTTAGTGTCAGGGTTGTCCCTCTGAAGTTTAAAGTGCCTGTTTTAAAAAAGAAAGAAAGAAAGAAATTAGGCGAATTAAAAGACTATTGTTCCTAGATACAACAAAACTTTGGCTCCCACTCAAAATCCAAACCTTCACTCTCCTTTTTGGCTCCCCCACTCTCTGACACATGTAATGGTTAAGCAAAGGTCACATTCCAAAACTCCACCTTCTTTCCCCTCACTTTCAATTCTCCCGTCTCAAGTTTGAAACAATGTGACCTGTTGGGCTGAGAGAGCACACAGAACTAAGTGCCATCCTTTTCTCTAGATCTCCGTAGGCAGCGGGTGGCCATCAGGTGGCAGTTACATGCACTGCATTGCTTGGTTCTTATTCACAGTTGTGCTCTAACGGAAGGCATTGCCTTAATCCTTCTCTACTTTTTAAATCAATCAGAACTCAATTTTTGTCACAGATGGAGATTTGTGTTAATTAGTGAGAATGAACCTAAGGAATCAAACAGATACACAAGTGTCACTTAGCACATACAGTAGCTATTTACATAGTAAGTCTACATACTCTAGCATCATTTCTCGAACTGTTGCTGATACTCTATCCCTGGAGAGGTCATTCCAAATTAACTCAGGATTTTCATGTGTTCCTTCAAAAATATGAACAGCAGCTTCAGGGTTATCTCTCATGGCATCCATAAAGACTCCAGGCAGAAACTTCATTAGGGTAATTCTAACCTGCAAAAGAAAAGCAATCCCAACCATTTTATAATATCAAACACCATACCAGTTAAACTCAATGGCATCATAAAAGGTCTTCCTATGTAATGTGTTTTTTTTAAAATTCATGTATTTGTACATGACTATGCCAAAATACTTCTGTCTAATAAGAGAAAGCATCATTCAAACTCAATTTTATGTCTAGTTCATTTAATAAGCTATCTGGTATAAGAACCCAACCATTAATTTCACGGCATCTCATGACTAAAAGTCAGTTACAAATGATAAATTGGAGATCACATCTTTGTTATGCTGGTTACGGGTGCTTTTGAGATTTTTATACTGAAATCTCACAATTAGAAAGTAAAAAAATGACAATTCATTTCAGTTAAATAAATACAAATGATATATTTTCTCTTTACATAAACATGGAAAAAATAGCTCACATTTTTGATATGCAAGTTTGAAGATCCTGAAAATCAAACTACCCTTTAGTCTCCTTCCTGAAGAGATGCCTTTTGTCCCTATCAATGATTTTACATGCTGGAAAACAGTATTTCCTAAATCCATACCCCTCTAGATCTACCAATGTGATTTATATCTTGCCAAGTACTCTTGTGATCACATGAAACATATCTGTTCTTATGCAAGCTCCATGGAACATTGCAATCTAATCATATTACAAAAGGTAAAATGTTTTCAAACAAATACCTAAATGTTACTATAACTGAAAGATTAGAGAAACATTCAGTTTTTCTAGCCAGTATACCTGTTGTTGTACCATCAGTTTCTCATGTTTGAGTCTTTGACAAGCAACAGAGGAGAAAAGCATTAAGAAAACCCTGTAAGCCCACAAAAGCTGTTGGGGGGGGGGGACTTACAGGCAGGTGTAGTAAACTACATTTAACTCCTCAAAGTTGACTGAATTTTGAGTTGTTCGGTACCTCTTCTTTAATTTCAGGGACACCAAGTCCTTTCTGTGAAAAATAACCTAGCAACTTTTTAAATTCACTCTTGCTCACCTTTGGACCCACTAGCTTATCTGCAGTCATTTTGGCAAAAAGCTCTGCTGTCTGGGTTCGGACCTGTGGATGTGTTGAATTGCAGAACATATCTAATAAGTAGATTAAAGCACCTGTTTGGAAAAACAGGGGGGAAAAGGTTTAGGTTTTTCCAGATCACATCAGCCACTAGTTATGCACTGCTCTAAGTAGCAGAGCAAAATCTCACACCACCATGTCTGCAACAGTTTTGATCTTCATTTTGTACACGTCTACTTTATCAGCCATTCAGAGAATACTGTACCTTTTGCCATGGCCTCTTTAATTATTTTTGTACTAGATGTCAAGGCATAGAGAGTTTCAAGAACAAGCTGCCGACCTGTCAAGATTAAACAGAAATATTAGAGAAATTATGCCTGCTGTTACGATTAGTTCTGCCATATACGATTTACTGGACTGAGTGCCATGAAGAACAGAACACTTCAGTTCTGGTGTTAAGCCAACCAAGGAGATTTTCCCCTCAAAGAACTGGTTCCTGGAAAGCATCCTAATAAGTAAAAAATAATGCTTACCTAATGAGAATTTGAAAGAAAGGATTTAAAAGTAAGTACAAGTCAGAGATTGCAGGCCTAGAGTCCTGACTAAATTCCAGTTAGGCAATTATGTTCCATCTACCTAAAATTTCCTTTATAAAGTTCATAGCAAAGGTGTCATTCAGGTGAAGACCAACCAGTTGAAACTACAAAAACTGAGATATTGCACACTGTATAGATATTAAGAATTGTAGACAGAAGTATTCAGTTTATAAAGTGAATGTCAAAGAAGTGTTAATTGTATGTTTCCCAAAATGCAAGGCTTGAAATCTAAGTGATTAAGAGGTGTACTTGAGCTGAACCAAAAGTTAGATGTATAAAACTGGTATTCAGGTCATGCATTTTACAACATTAAGCCCTTGTCTATACTAGGACTTTAGGTCGAATTTAGCAGCATTAAATCGATGTAAACCTGCACCCGTCCACACGATGAAGCCCTTTATTTCGACTTAAAGGGCTCTTAAAATCTATTTCCTTACTCCACCCCCGACAAGTGGATTAGCGCTTAAATCGGCCTTGCCAGCTCAAATTTGGGGTACTGTGGACACAATTCGACGGTATTGGCCTCCGGGAGCTATCCCAGACTGCTCCATTTTGACCGCTCTGGACAGCACTCTCAACTCAGATGCACTGGCCAGGTAGACAGGAAAAGAACCGCGAACTTTTGAGTCTCATTTCCTGTTTGGCCAGCGTGACAAGCTGCAGGTGACCATGCAGAGCTCATCAGCAAAGGTGACCATGATGGAGTCCCAGAATCGCAAAAGAGCTCCAGCATGGACTGAACGGGAGGTACGGGATCTGATCGCTGTATGGGGAGAGGAATCTGTGCTATCAGAACTCCGTTCCAGTTTTCAAAATGCCAAAACCTTTGTCAAAATCTCCCAGGGCATGAAGGACGGAGGCCATAACAGGGACCCAAAGCAGTGCCGCGTGAAACTGAAGGAGCTGAGGCAAGCCTACCAGAAAACCAGAGAGGCGAACGGCCGCTCCAGGTCAGAGTCCCAAACATGCCGCTTCTATGATGAGCTGCATGCCATTTTAGGGGGTTCAGCCACCACTACCCCAGCCGCGTTGTTTGACTCCTTCAATGGAGATGGAGGCAATATGGAAGCAGGTTTTGGGGATGAAGAAGAAGATGATGATGAGGTTGTAGATAGCTCACAGCAAGCAAGCGGAGAAACCGGTTTTCCCAACAGCCAGGAACTGTTTCTCACCCTGGACCTGGAGCCAGTACCCCCCGAACCCACCCAGGGCTGCCTCCTAGACCCAGCAGGCAGAGAAGGGACCTCTGGTGAGTGTACCTTTTAAAATACTATACATGGTTTAAAAGCAAGCATGTAAAAGGATTACTTTGCCCTGGCATTCGCGGCTCTCCTGGATATACTCCCAAAGCCTTTGCAAAAGGTTTCTGGGGAGGGCAGCCTTATTGCGTCCTTCATGGTAGGACGCTTTACCACTCCAGGTCAGTAACACATACTCGGGAATCATTGTACAACAAAGCATTGCAGTGTATGTTTGCTGGCGTTCAAACAACATCCGTTCTTTCTCTCTCTGTGTTAACCTCAGGAGAGTGAGATATAATTCATGGTCACCTGGTTGAAATAGAGTGCTTTTCTTCAGGGGACACTCAGAGAAGCCTGTTCCTGCTGGGCTGTTTGCCTGTGGCTAAACAGAAATGTTCCCCGCTGTTAGCCACAGGGAGGGGGGAAGGTTGAGGGGGTAGCCACGCGGTGGGGGGAGGCAAAATGCGACCTTGGAACGAAAGCACATGTGCTATGTATGTAATGTTAACAGCAAGGTTTACCCTGAAAGAGTGTAGCCACTGTTTTATAAAATGTGTCTTTTTAAATATCGCTGTCCCTTTTTTTTTCCTCCACCAGCTGCATGTGTTTCAATGATCACAGGATCTTCTCCTTCCCAGAGGCTAGTGAAGATTAGAAAGAAAAAAAAAAACACAATCGAGATGAAATGTTCTCCGAGCTCAAGCTGTCCTCCCACACTGACAGAGCACAGACGAATGTGTGGAGGCAAATAATGTCAGAGTGCAGGAAAGCACAAAATGACCGGGAGGAGAGGTGGCAGGCTGAAGAGTGTAAGTGGCGGGCTGAAGAGAGGGCTGAAGCTCAAATGTGGTGGCAGCGTGATGAGAGGAGGCAGGATTCAATGCTGAGGCTGCTGGAGGACCAAACCAGTATGCTCCAGTGTATGGTTGAGCTGCAGCAAAGGCAGCTGGAGCACAGACTGCCACTACAGCCCCTGTGTAACCAACCACCCTCCTCCCCAAGTTCCGTAGCCTCCACACCCAGACGCCCAAGAACGCAGTGGGGGGGCCACCGGCCAACCAGCCACTCCACCACAGAGGATTGCCCAAAAAAAAAGAAGGCTGGCATTCAATAAATTTTAAAGTTGTAAACTTTTAAAGTGCTGTGTGGCATTTTCCTTCCCTCCTCCACCACCCCTCCTGGGCTACCTTGGTAGTCATCCCCCTATTTGTGTAATGAATGAATAAAGAATGCATGAATGTGAAGCAACAATGACTTTATTGCCTCTGACAGCGGTGATCGAAGGGAGGAGGGGAGGGTGGTTAGCTTACAGGGAAGTAGAGTGAACCAAGGGGCGGGGGGTTTCATCAAGGAGAAACAAACAGAACTTTCACACCGTAGCCTGGCCAGTCATGAAACTGGTTTTCAAAGCTTCTCTGATGCGTACCGCGCCCTCCTGTGCTCTTCTAACGGCCCTGGTGTCTGGCTGCGCGTAACCAGCAGCCAGGCGATTTGCCTCAACCTCCCACCCCGCCATAAACGTCTCCCCCTTACTCTCACAGATATTGTGGAGCACACAGCAAGCAGTAATAACAGTGGGAATATTGGTTTCGCTGAGGTCTAAGCAAGTCAGTAAACTGCGCCAGCGCGCCTTTAAACGTCCAAATGCACATTCTACCACCATTCTGCACTTGCTCAGCCTGTAGTTGAACAGCTCCTGACTACTGTCCAGGCTGCCTGTGTACGGCTTCATGAGCCATGGCATTAAAGGGTAGGCTGGGTCCCCAAGGATACATATAGGCATTTCAACATCCCCAACAGTTATTTTCTGGTCTGGGAATAAAGTCCCTTCCTGCAGCTTTTGAAAACAGACCAGAGTTCCTGAAGATGCGAGCGTCACGTACCTTTCCCGGCCATCCCACGTTGATGTTGGTGAAACGTCCCTTGTGATCCACCAGAGCTTGCAGCACTATCGAAAAGTACCCCTTGCGGTTTATGTACTCGGCGGCTTGGTGCTCTGGTGCCAAGATAAGGATATGGGTTCCGTCTATGGCCCCACCACAGTTAGGGAATCCCATTGCAGCAAAGCCATCCACTATGACCTGCACATTTCCCAGGGTCACTACCCTTGATATCAGCAGATCTTTGATTGCGTGGGCTACTTGCATCACAGCAGCCTCAACAGTAGATTTGCCCACTCCAAATTGATTCCCAACTGACCGGTAGCTGTCTGGCGTTGCAAGCTTCTACAGGGCTATCGCCACTCGCTTCTCAACTGTGAGGGCTGCTCTCATCTTGGTATTCATGCGCTTCAGGGCAGGGGAAAGCAAGTCACAAATTTCCATGAAAGTGCCCTTACGCATGCGAAAGTTTTGCAGCCACTGGGAATCGTCCCAGACCTGCAACACTATGCTTGTTTCCCGAGCCCAGAATCGGCGTTCCACAGCATGAACCTGCCCCATTAGCACCATGATGCATGCATTGGCAGGGCCCATGCTTTCAGAGAAATCTGTGTCCATGTCCTGATCACTCACGTGACCGCGCCTCCTTGCCCGGTATCACTTTGCCAGGTTCTGGTGCTGCATATACTGCTGGATAATGCGTGTGGTGTTTAATGTGCTCCTAATTGCCAAAGTGAGCTTAGTCGCCTCCATGCTTGCCTTGGTATGGCGTCCGCACAGAAAAAAGGCGCGGAACGATTGTTTGCCGTTGCTCTGACGCAGGGAGGGGCGACTGACGACACGGCTTACAGGGTTGGCTTCAGGGAGCTAAAATCAACCAAGGGGGTGGCTTTACATCAAGGAGTATTTCAGGCAGGACTTCACGGAGGGTTCCAATAAGGAATGGTGCACCTAAGTTATTGTTCTTATTGGAACAAGGAGGTTAGCCAGACCTCTGACTGATACATGGCTAGATTTACCTCGCTGCACCTTCTCTGTGAGTCACTGCAGTGTAACCTAGAGGAATGAGTCCGTTAGATGGGGGAGGAGGCAAATGAGTACAAAACAAATCTGGTCTATTTCTTGTTCTGATCCACTCCATCTATCTTTTACATCTTTGGCTAGCAGCAGACAGTGCAGAAGGACTGCATGCCATCCACATCTCATGGCTGCTCAGCAGAAGATGGTACAGTAGGACTGCTAGCCATCCTCATCTCTTGCCTGCCCGGCAGAAGATGATGCAATAGGACTGCTAGCAATCCGTATCGCCTGCCCGCTCACCATAAGACAGTTCAATAGGACTGACTGCAGGACTAAAGAGAATGACCTGGTCAAGTCACTCCAAATTTAGTCCTTGCGCCCATATCTGCCCAGGCACTCCCAGCCGACGTGGCCAGGAGCACCTCGGACATGACGAGGACGGCTACCAGTCGTACTGTACCGTCTGCTGCCAGAAAGCAATGGGTTGCTGCTGCTGTGTAGCAATGCCGTACTGCGTCTGCCAGCACCCAGGAGACATACAGTGACTGTTACCTGAGCGGGCTCCATGCTTGCCGTGGTATGGCATCTGCACAGGTAACTCAGGAAAAAAGGCGCGAAACGATTGTCTGCCCTTGCTTTCACGGAGGGAGGGAGGGAACGGGGGCCTGACAATATGTACCCAGAACCACCAGCAACAATGTTTTAGCCCCATCAGAGTGCTCCATTGTGACTGCTCTGGACAGCACTCAACTCAGATGCACGATTGTTTGCCGTTGCTCTGACGCAGGGAGGGGCGACTGACGACACGGCTTACAGGGTTGGCTTCAGGGAGCTAAAATCAACAAAGGGGGTGGCTTTACATCAAGAAGTATTTCAGGCAGGACTTCACGGAGGGTTCCAATAAGAAATGGTGCACCTAAGTTATTGTTCTTATTGGAACAAGGAGGTTAGCCTGGCCTCTGATTGATACATGGCTAGATTTACCTCGCTGCACCTTCTCTGTGAGTCACTGCAGTGTGACCGAGAGGAATGAGTCCCATAGACAGGGGAAGGGGGGAAGCAAATGAGTACAAAACAAATCTGGTCTATTTCTTGTTTTGATCCACTCCATCTATCTTTTACATCTTTGGCTAGCAGCAGACGGTGCAGAAGGACTGCATGCCATCCACATCTCATGGCTGCTCGGCAGAAGATGGTACAATACGACTGCTAGCAATCCGTATTGCCTGCCTGCTCACCATAATAGGACCAACTGCAGGACTAAAAAGAATGATCTGGTCAGTCACTCCAAATTTAGTCCCTGCGCCCATGTCTGCCCAGGCGCTCCCAGCCGACGTGGCCAGGAGCACCTCGGACATGACGATGACGGCTACTAGTCGTATTGTACCGTCTGCTGCCAGAAGGCAATGGGTTGCTGCTACTGTGTAGCAATGCCATACCGTGTCTGTCAGCACCCAGGAGACATACGGTGACGGCTACCTGAGCGGGCTCCATGCTTGCCGTGGTATGGCGTCTGCACAGGTAACTCAGGAAAAAAGGCGCGAAACGATTGTCTGCCCTTGCTTTCACGGAGGGAGGGAACGGGGGGCCTGACGATATGTACCCAGAACCACCCGCGACAATGTTTTAACCCCATCAGGCATTGGGATCTCAACCCAGAATTCCAATGGGCAATGGAGACTGAGGGAACTGTGGGATAGCTATCCACAGTGCAACGCTCCGGAAGTCGACTCTAGCCTCGGTACTGTGGAAGCACTCCGCCGAGTTAATGCACTTAGAGCATTTTCTGTGGGAACACACACACTCGAATATATAAAACCGATTTCTAAAAAACGACTTCTATAAATTCAACCTTATTCTGTAGTGTAGACATACCCTAAGGATACTCTCAAGATCAGGTTACAAGTTCAGCTAGTTGCATTCCAAATCACTAACTTTTCACAAGTTTGCCAAGTTTGGCTTTTATACAAAACTTTCTACAAGCAACTGCATAGTACATACTTGAAGGCAGGGAATGCAGGAGGGCCAGCAAATTGGAAAGAACCATTGCCTCGGCAATGTTATTAACACATTCCTGGTTACAAGTCACTATGTTCACCACCTGTAAAACATGAAAAGCATGAATCATTAGAAAAAAAGTAAGTTTCTTGGCAAATTATACATTTAAGCCACTTTTGGCGAAGAAATGCAATATTGTATCAGGTAAATTCTCTTGAAGCAGCATGGTCCAGTCAATGGGGCACTGGATTAGGACTCACAAATTATAGCTCTGCAACTGACCTGCTGTATGACCTTGGGCAAAGAACTTTGCTTCTGTACCAGTTTCCCTTCCCGTACTTTGTCAAGAGTATTTAGCTCACTCTTCAAGGTAGGGACTATCCTACTATGTGTATGCACAACACCTAGCACCCAATGGGACACCCCAATCCCCCAGTCTCAGTCAGGACTTCTAAGCATTACTGTAGCACAGTACAGCCTCCAGTGGGTGCAATAAACCTAGATTCAAAACCCAATGTTGAAATTTTACAGGACATGTACAATGAAGGTGTTAATTCCTAAAAATACATATGTTAAAGTTTTTGGCTACTGTTAAGCTAGCCTAAATTTTTTTTATTAAATATTAATATAATATAAATATAAGAGTGCTAAAACCACTGAGAAAACAGATTCAAGAGCTATTTGGTCGAGTTGTTTGCTAAACAAATGTTAGAAACTGATAATTTTTTCTAGTATATCCTAAAACAGTCAGTATTAAAATGTGCACGCAATGTTCAGGAATTACTGTCTAAAACGGTAAGCTTGGAATCAGGTCTAGATTTTAAATAGGAGCAAGTTATGACGGATATTTGACAGATTTTAACAAATAAAAAATGCAATTTCTTAACCTAGCCAGGTGTACCTGGCTCATCTATGCAACAAGCTACATTCAGCATCCATGTGATTAGGTACTGTGGGCTGGATACACAAAAATATTGCTTAAGCAATGTTTTTACCTCTAAAGCCAACTGCTGCACGTGACCAGCTCCATGGACACGCAGAAGGGAGAATATCAGCTTAAAGTGACCTATGCATTCACACTCAGAACCTATAAAGGAGGAATAAGTTATTTTACCATTGGAAAGAACACTTAATGAAGAGCTGCCCAATCAATGTTACACACAGTATGAATTACTTTAAAAAGACTAAGCTCTCTGGAGCACAGGCCATCTTTGTGTTTGTAAAATGGGGTTCCATTACTAGGTTTGTAAAATGGGGTTCCATTATAGTTCCATAACTAGGACTCGCAGCTACTGCAATACAACTAACTAACTATGCATAAAATATTTGAAAAGCTGCCTGCAAGTCCAACTGTGAAAGCACCAAGCCAACATGAAAAATAGCTATATCAAAGAAGGGGGATCAGTATAGGTTTTCCCCCATTAGTCATTAATGGCACTATTGGAAAACCAAGTACTGAGTAGATAAAAAATAGGGTGTATAGTTTCAAGGTTGCAGGAACTGGCGAGCACCTGTCAAACACGATAATTCAGTTAAAATCAAATACATTTAGGGTCTACAGTTCAACTATCTAGTTCAAATGGTTTTCCAGACAGACATTTAGCTACTTTCTCTCTTTTGCTGTTACAAAGTTAGTCCACTTCTATAGAGTTAATATACATTTAACACTAATGTTCAGTCTCTATTTCAAACAAACACTTTCATGCCAATCCTACCCCACTGTCTTCTCTGCAAGAACCTGCTGCCTGTCAACTGCAGAACTGCTAACATGCCGACCTTCAGTGTTGTAAGAATTAAACTTTAGACTTAGGTCTAATCTTTGCCAAAGTGAGCTTTCACTACTTGTAGGGACATTACCAACATTATAGTCACATTTCTGCTTCCACAGTTACAGTAATCTCATACATTACAAGTAACTGAAAGTAGTAGTTTCCTGGATTTTTCCTGTTTATTTTGTGCATTTGACAGCTCTTCAGTTTTGGGACCGCCCCACTCTTCCTTAAAGAACAGGCCCTTAAAGTCAGCATCAGAGTAGCTGAAAAAATCCCCTTTGTTTTTAAATAGATACTTTTAAATAAGTATAAGTATTTTTAAATTCCTTTAGCAAAAAAGCTTCCAAAAAAGTTAGCATTGACAGTAACCCCCCTTTGAAGGAACACAGGGAAACAGTTTCACTTTAGACACAAATTTTTATCTTCAGTTTTAGTCTGCAGTTGCCAGAGAACTGGATTAGAACCCAGGTTGTTCTGGAAAGATTTAAAAAACCCCTCCACACAACCTTTAAATGAAAGTTCAGCTTGATTACACAGAACATAATATCTAGTAGTTCACCAAAACTCCCCCATCCCCTCTTTGGCCCCTTCAAAATAGCCTATTCCGCGGACAGAACTTTGTTAATAAAAGCAGTCATTTTTCTCTACTTCTGAATTGGTCTAGGCTGCACTCCCACCACGCCAAGAACATTTCAGTGTTGTAGTATTATTACACGTTCAAAGACATGAATTAAGAATTTCTAATAAGTTTTCCTCTTGTAATAGTTTCCATAAAACTAAATTAAAAATTTAGCAATCCAGTGTGTTTGAAAAGCATCTTCCCTCAAAATACTAAAACATTTTCTACCATCCCTGAGGTTCCATCCTTTAAACAGAGCTATGCTAGGACAGGTTTTTTGTTTTTTGTTGTTTTGTTTTTTAACTGGCTTGGTTTTCAACAAGCCTTTGAACACCGTACAACAGCTCTGCAAAATGATCCTGATATTTCACTATGCTAGGCCCAAAGTGTTCTCATACCCCCTTTTACCATAGGTGACTAAAAAAAAAAAAAAACACTTTGCATGAAGAGACTTTACTCAGTTGGCAAAAAAACTGCTCTCCTTGGAGAAGCGGTGAAGATTTCTGTGAGACTGATGTACCAACAGCAAGAAAAGGGAAAAACAAAACACCTTCTCAGTGAAATTCACTATTTTCCAAGCAAAGAAAAGCAAAGCATTCTACCAATGTTGCTGTTAAACTATTTAAAGGTCTTTAAAAAGTATTCCAGAAATACTCCTTTTAAGACAACTGGCTAGCCAGCAGCATGAACCTCTACAGCTTGGCAACATGCACAGGTTTAGTGCTAGATTCATGTATCTAAAATAAATCTATAATGAGGTCATTTGCAAAGTGCTGCTTATTGATCAATTCAACATGTTTAAGTTTACCTGGGTTGTGTTTTATAACATTTCTCAGCGCCTCCAATGCCATTTCAACCCTCCGTAACCGGTCTCCATGTTGATCAGACTCTACTTTCCCAGTCTGTGTGATAGCCATTAACGTGTGAAGGTACTGTGCCTGTGAGCCAATGTAATCCAAAAGGCTTGCAGCAAATGCTTTTGGAAACTTGAAATAACGAAGAGATCAATAAGTGTACATAAGAATCTTTATATGTATTTCAAAAACATATACAAAGCATTCTGCACTAGAAGTATGGAACTGCATTGTACAGCAAGCTCAAAAGCCATTTCCAAATTCAGTAAAGCGGTGATTCTCAGCTTTTCCATACCAGAACCTCCCCTTTCACCAATCATGCTCTAGCTAGGATTCCTTTCCTATTTACCAGAAGGTTCTGACCCTCAGTGGACAATTATTGTATATTCACACCAGTCTTTTATTGTAATGCCCATTTTCCCCTCTTCTGACATGACAGTACTACAGTTTAACTACAGATAAAATCCGTTAAGAGTTTGAAGATGTGACCAAGCATCTCCATCTTTGTTGAGAAAGCATAAAACTAATAGCTTAAGATAGAAGAGTGTGGAATACTCAAGCCATTCTAGGGAAGTATTTAGCCATTTAAAATTGTGTGTCAAAATGCCTGTGACACAAATTCTGACCAAATCCATGCTTCTTTGCCAGTGAGAATTTCAATTTGGATTCTTGTCTCTCCTGTTTAACTGGGAGATAAAACAAGAAGATATATCCTAAGCAAATGGAAATGCCTAAGATCATAGTCTACACTGTGATGTTGAGATACCCTGAGAAGTTAACAAGAGCTGCAGATGCCCCAGCTTTAGATGCATATTTCTAATAAGACTGCTGAAGCTTTTGTATAAAACTTCCTGGGAGTGTTAACTCTTGATGCCCTTCAGAATGCTATTTGAAATGGCAGTTTGGTTTAAATTCACAAAATAAGTACTATTTGAAAGACCAGCTTTAGGTTTCTTCACAAACAGCAAAATTAACAATCTCACCTCTAGCTGAAAAGTAGGGACTTCATTGTAAACTCTAACAAAAATCTCTCCCACAATAAGTTCTTTTGCATGGTCACTGAAGACAAATTCAGATCCATAGCTTTTGTCACAATCACCCTTCAAAAAAAAAAAATATGCTTTGTTAAATATATTTACAAAATGACCCACCATATACAGAATTTTTTTTTTTTAAATAGAGGTATGGAAAAGAGTTAACTGCTGTGACTCCATTATTTCCAAACCAAAACACAGACAAGGCAAAAGCAACAGCACAAGACTTCGTAGAAATATGTTTTAAGTTTGTAGAATAAAGCAGCGAGAACAAAAATATCTGAGAAGTTGGCCAGTGTAAGGTTTCTCTCGGTGGTTGGATAATTAAAACTGCATGAGCCCATTTTTCCTGAGCTTTAAAAAAGCTTCCTATAATGTGAGGATACCAGATCATTTAAGGCAACCTAGAAAAAGGCTCCATCATAAAAATGTTTAGGAGTGTCTCACTCTTTTTATCATGCTTTCTTGTTCAGATTCCAGGAATTCAAGAAGTTCAGCTCTTGTCCCATTGTTCCAGATCAAATAGGGGTTCTCTGTGTTGCTGTTGAGCATCTTCAGAATCTAGGAGACAGAATCAAGAGTTTAGGTAAATAAGTGGGTTTAACAATTCTATACAAAAAGCACATTCGGAGTTTTAACACTGTTCCAAGAGAAGAGATCATACGGGGGAAAAAAAAAAAACACTATGGCCTTTGTGAAGATCTGGTTCAGATTATGTGGCCCACTGGCTAGATCTTGGCTTTCAGGAGTAGGCTTAAGGCCAAATTTTCCAGATATGATTTTTTTTTGGGGGGGGGAGGAGGAAGAAAGGGAGAAGAGCCAGATGGAATGCTCCACAAAAGAAGTATTACTTCACACTCATATTGGTCACTAATTTTTTTTTTTTTTTAAAATAGAACATTGTTTGCTGTCACTTACCTCTAACTACAAACTCATCTCCTGTTCACTCCCATGCTCCCACCCACCCCATAATTTACTCTCATAATTTTACTAACCTCCAACTTCTCTGCTGCTCTTATCCTTCTGTACGTTGTTGCTCCCTTCTTTTAAACACTATAGTCTTTTAATTCTATCCTTGCATTGACTTTTGTTTCCCAACATCATGCTGTCTACCCCAAACCTTGGTACCTGCAACCCCCGAATTCACTTTCTGTTCCCATCTTTGTGTTGCAAAGCGCTGTACCTGTCATACATTTTGGGGTAAGGGTGTTCACCTGCATCGTTGGTCAATTCAAGACTTAAATTTTTATTAAGATTAAAAAAATTGACTAGATAGTCACTGTTACCTAGGTACTGTTCTAAAAACATTCACAAGAATCAAGAGTTCTGTTCTAAAGATCACTAGCTATTTTAGTCATTTAACTGGGAAATGGTTATCAAATTGCACTTCATTTCTCAGTATTCAGGCTGCTCTGGTTTATTTGTTACTGTGGCTAACAAGTAAGTTTTTAATAAACAATCATTTCTTGTAGGTTGTTTTACATAATGTCAATACTTTGGTTGCCTTAGACATTCTTGTACCTCAGTAGGAGCAGCCACAGCAAGTTTCCTTGCAACATATGGTGTCAGCATTCCAGCCAAGCTTTTCCTTATTGCTGGATTTTCAGGTGTAACTCGTTCTTCAGACAAATACCCTCCAAGACGACTCAAAGCAAGAAGACTGAGTTTGGCGAGACCATTGGCTACTTCCTGTAAATGAAAAATACATAAATTTTAAAAAGGTCAATCCTATTATTAATCTTGAACAGAAACCTGAAGCATGCTAAAGAGAAATATCAACTACCTTTTTAAAAACCACCTCTTGAAAAGAGTTGTCCAATGCTTTTTTTATGCCTTGCATGATCATAAGCAAATTCAGTTCCCTTTAGTTTACTTCTTGTTTATGCACCAAACTTGACAGACAGAAATATGCATACATCTGGGCACAGCACTAGGTGTTGCAGAACACCAACAGTTTTTGACATGTAACACCAATATAGTTTGTCTGCATCTACCTGTGTAAAGCCCATGAAGAAAACTAGATGAATTTGGGGCTTTAAACAGACATGAAAATTTCTTAGTTCATAATTTAATGGGATATTTGACCAAAGAATGGCAATTTCTAGAACAAAGACATATTTCTGAGATATTTAAACGTTTGTATAATGATTCAACAGTGCACTAAAAGATGGTATTTTTTGCACCCTGGCAAGGCTCCTCATTGAGCTGATCCAAGAGAGATATGCAGCAGTTTTGAATAACTGATTCCGACCCACGGGTTTTACAACCAGTTGAAGTTATACATTTCTGCTAAGGAGGAACCTGTTAGGGTGCTAATATAAATCAGAGTTTTTTAGATAAAATTAGTGTTTCTGACAACTAACCAGCTACTTCTTCAGTTCTGGACTATCTGCAGCTAGTACTTTCCTGCTTATTCTTCTTCTAGGAAAATCTGTACTATATTTGGATAATAATGTTTATGGCCTATCATTTTATCTACTCCCATAAAAAAATTACATTAACATGAATTTAACCTTAACTGTACCCATCAATAATTTATTGTAATATACGTTACAGGGATGCCCTAATTATCCCAAAACCAAAGTACTGTAAGCTAGAAAATTCAGAGTTAACACGTTAGAATATTGTAAGCATAACCATAAGGATCTGGAAGTGCACATTTAGTGCACCCAAACCATATTAACTCTGCCCTGTATGACACCATACATTTATCATATGGTTACAGTTAAAGCATTTTAGCATCTATGGTTCCAGATTAGATGCAAGTAATTTTTAAACTCAAAGCCATGTAATTTGGGGAAATGTATTTTTCAAGCCTAACAGAGTTCAAATCTTTAAGATGGATGGTAACCAACATCCATCTTAAAGTCTGAAATAGAGTCAAGTGTAAGTTGCTCAGAAATATTACCTGCTGATTAGAATCTTCACTCTTCTGAATGCCACTCTCTTCTAGCGTATAATCATAGTTAAAGAGGTAACCGAGTAAATACCACAAAATTCCAGCTTGAAACAAATGTGTTTGTAGCCAGTAATCAACAGCAAATGAACTGACACATTCCACTCCCAAGGAAGCCACTCGCGGAATGTTCTGAGGAATGAAGGAGAATTGACATTCAGTATTTTTGGTGACTGAGGAAAATTTTAACCTAAAAGGAAAAAGTTAAATAGCACACCAGCAAATTCGTCAACAGGAACAATGTTTTGGTTTTAGAGAAATTTCATGTTTAAGATTTTGAATCTTGTACCTAAATATAATGAGCGAGATACTAAGGATCTGCATAAACTGATGAAATCTGAAGTCTGTGGGGGGAGAAAAAAAGGCTTATGGTGCTCACGACTTCAGCATAAGCATCTACATAAAGCTTCAAGGGACACATGGCTAGAGCTGGTTCAAAATTTTTCCAACAGAACAGTTTTCTGTCAGAAAATCCTGATTTAATGGAAGCCAGGCAGTTGGACTGTCTGCCTGCTTGGTTAGGCCAGCCAGCTCCCAAGATCCTCTGCAGCCTTCCTGCCCAGCTGCTGGGGAGCAGTGCCTCTCCAGACCCCAGTCTCCTGTGCAGCTGGCCAGCAGCTGGAGCGACTGATGTCAAAGAGAGCCTCTGCTCCCTACCAGCTGGTGAGCTGTCTGTGTGGGTGCCAGGGAGGCAAGGAGCCAGTCGGGCAACTGTTCTGTGGAAAATTTTTGCATTTTTCATTTTTGACTTTTTGTTCCAGTTCAGAACAAAAACATTGTGAAAAAGTTTTCAGCAGAATGGATATTCTGGTCACCTCTCAGCTTCACATGTGACCTTCAAATGATTATCAAAACCCTGGTTAACCAAAACTCAGTTAAAGGTTTCACTGTATTCAGAAGCAAAAACATAGCGGAGTCAGACTTTTGGGATTTAATATCCTGCTTTCCCTCACATGGTGCAATCAAGATGGACTACTTCTGATACAAATTGCTTTAATAGACTCCAGTCTGCAATTCTTCCACACCCCTCAGCATGGACATATTTGTTGATCAGTATTACATTTTGAAGAACTTATTCTATACTTTGTTTATAGAAATCAAATTTTGAAGAGCCATGTCTTTGAATGGATTACTCAATAGTTATATACATTTACTTCTACAGTGATGTTCTGTAGGAGCAGTCTAATTGTTGACTATCTCAAGCACTTCACATGAAGTTCTTAATTGATAGACTGCACTAAGTATTGCAAAGAACTGCTTAATGGAAAGTAAAATTTAAGTTCTACTGCGTTTTGGAAGAACTTTCAAACAGATGTCACTCAAAATACTTTTACTACATTCTCAGCTGATTATGTTTCTTTTCAATATTCAAAATAAGGTAGAAGTAACCTCAAGAAATTATACCAGCTTTAAATTTCCTTAGCCAGTTTTTGAAGGTTTACCATTGCATTCTCTTTTTATGTTTTAAGCCAGATCTTTAGATTTTGTTCCTTACATCTGCTGTGCCACTGTCTTCCTAGTGCAGCAATGCTATTTTAAATCACCAGCCAAAGGAATTTAAACTTGAGATTTTTTTTCTACTTATAGAAGTAAAAATAGATATTAGAGTAAAAATAAAGACAGTTATTCTGCCTAGCTAATTCAATGAGTAGTTAGTGGTGAAATTCTGCTTTTTAAACTTTAAAGTTCAGAGTAATACCATTAAACCCCCTGGAGTTACTGGTTTTTAGAGTTGTGAAACAGAACAGAATCTGGCCCAATGTGGAAGGTAAGCCAGGGTGGTGGCCTTTGTCACCAATCTGAGAAATATTCTGACAGGTAGCATTTTCATTTACTGTAATTGGTAGATTGTTCTTGTACTTCCCTAAAACTAGGATTTAAATTTAAGTGGAAATACTTTGAGTCAGAATTTATGGATTTGTCTCCACACAAGTTGCACTGGTTTTTAAACCAACTTGATTAAACTAATGCAAAACCCGCTGTGGATGATCTGAGCTGTTTAAACCAGGGTATAGCTTGAATCTTGTAATTTACAGACAGAATTTAAAGGTAAAAAAGCAATATAAGCTAGATATAAAACTTATAGGTGCAAGCTAAATGTATATAAGAATCTACACAGGGAATTAGCACCATTTAATTAAACCTGTTAAAAAAATGTTACACCTTTAGTTAAATCAGTGTAAGTTTGTGTGTGGACCAAGCCTCATATTTGTGTCATACAGACTGCAAGTATCTGTACTATTGGGAAATTCACACAGTTTTTATAAAAAACTTATTTTAAGAACTAGTCTCATATAGTGGCTCATTTTCTAGTACTGTATTTACAACACTTAAATATAAAACAAGAAAACTACAACAGCTTAGGTAGTAAGCCAGGAGATCTTACCTTGCCATAATATAGCACTCTACAGAGATCCTTGATGATATTAGGCATCTCAGTGATCTTTTCTCTGCACTCCTCAAACTGAGCTGCCACACTGTAACACTTGCTTATATGCCCACATACCTACAAACAGAAACACTTTAAGCCACAGAGTTAATGTAGTGTACTGCATATCCCCTGAACAGGAGAAGGACACACAAATTTCTAAACCACTTTTTATTAGCTGCACAAAGCCTCATAAGAAAATGGTACAAAAGGTATGGCCTGACATACTGTTAAGTACCGTTTTACAATTTCTGTATTGCTTACCTGTACAGACATGTCATCTGGTTTACTGGAGTGAGTCAAGACTGCCACACAACGATTAAATGCTTCTTGCAATACCTTTAGGGAGTAAAAAGCTGCAAGGGTTAGAATTCATCATAAACCTAAAGAAAGTATCTTTCTGCCAAAGTGTAGCTTTACAAGGTTTGGTTCAATAAAGCCTGCTCAGGGTCTGTAAATCTATTACCTCCTGTTACGGTTTAACAGCTGTCCTATGCACTGAAACAAATTTTGCTTTCGCTGTTCGGGCTTCATTTTACAACCATAAAGGGAGATTTACTGCTACTTCATATGAATTATCCATCATGTAAAAATTATCTCCTTGGAAATATCTAGCCTTTTCACACTGCCATTATAGTTTAAGGAAGTTTTTAGAAGATTTTTAATATAGTGGCATCCTCTTCTCCCAGTTGTGCTACTGAGGAGTGATCATTTGGAATAACCAAACCACACTCAAATGATTGGCTCCCACCCTTTAAAGCAAGTCACTATTTATTTTTTATGGGGTTTTTTTGCACCAAACAAGCACAACACAGAAGCCCGATACAGACAGTGCTGTTCCATGTAACGGCCACTAGAACTTGTTCTGGAAGATGAATGTTATGTAAATCAATTCAAAGCCACCTTGTGGAGGGATGAATTAATCTACTCCAGAAGGAGATCCTTCCCGTCCCCCAGAAGAAACCATGAGAATGTTTCTTGCAGGAAGGAAGTGGGCAAATGTGCGGATAACCCTACACCATCAATTTTGTTCTTCCCCCCATTCCTCGGTTGATTATCCAAGAAGCAGTAACCATCAACAAACAAGCTGTGAAAACAGATGTGCTTATGAGTTTCTTTGGGTTTACCTCTATTCCATTCTCCCTCCGCAGTTCTTCTGCATTAAGTGCTGAACAATTGACTGTGTGGAAAGCCAGCTCTGCAGCAGCAGGCAACAAAGGAGATTCCTTGGAAAACAGAAGATCATCTGAAGTTTCTAGTGTAATGGTCTTAATCAGCATGGGATAGCCTGCATATTTGTAAGGCTTCAAATCTGAAGGATAAACAAACTGAAATGTAGCAAATCTGATAGCCATTAACTAGCAGTGTCTAAATGTGTAAGGATTTTATCATGATCTGCTTCAGATTACTAAATTACTCGTTCACAAAATGTTTTCTCCTCCTTCAGAGCCAAGCTATGTGTGAACACAATGTTGGCTCATCTGACAAATAGGATTATTTCTGTAGCCCTTGAGATTTTCTAGTAATGCACAAACCAGTCTGCCATCTTTCACAGTATGTGTCTAGCCTACTTCAAGAAATTAAGTGAAAAAAACTTAAACTATTAATGTTATCAAGTCAGTTTTTGTAAGGGAATACTAAATTGGGAAGGTTGCTGAAGTCCTTTATATTTAATGTTACAGAATGACAGCTGAAACCTGAGTCTATCACCTTCTCACATAAGGCATCAAACCTTCTAAATGGGTTTCAGATGGGCTTAAGTGCAATTCTAAACAAAAACGTTTAATTTGCTATAGAAGAAGGCAATCTATATGTTAAAGTAGTATTTGGTTTAATGCATCTAATTGAATATTATGGGTGACCTTTTCCACACAAGTCAAGAGATACAGCTGTAGTACCCTACGCTACGTGCCATATTGCACGCAAGTATTTTATACGACTAAGATGTTTGTGTTTTAAGTTAACACATGGTAATGCGAAGGGTTCCAAGGATTGTTAGGAATTATTAGACCACTTCAGCCATCCCTCCTCTCTGGTAGGGACTGCAGAGGAAGAGGGTGGTGTTGGAGCTGGTACATGCAGAGTCTACCTCTCCTGGGGACTGCAACAGCAGGGGGAACCCTGACTAGAATGATGCAGTCAGTTTTCAACTCCCTTTGGACTACTTGAGTATGGCAAAGAGTAGATCAGGACAGAGACTCTTAAGTACATTTAAGAAAGAGAGTCACACTGCACATGTGCAGCATGCACTACTTTTATGTTTAGAACTATTTTAAGTGACATTTCGTAAGCGCTAAAAAGTTTTCTTGGAGAACTCATTCTCTGACAAGACTGAAGGTTAAGAGACCTTTGAGTGCAAGAGTCAGACATTTAACTGATAAAAAGTCTCTTTTCTTCATTAGTGATTTCCAAAACCAGGCAAACACGTTAACAAATTGTCTTGCTAAATGTTCACCTTCAGCCTTGTTGCCATCTCCTGCTATTTCAAAGCACCTGAAAATGTTAATTGAATAAAATGACTTTTCAGTCACAATTACAATACTGCCCAATTATTATTTGACTAGTTTCCACCACAGTGAAAAGTGAGTTTTGGTCCACCACTGACACAATATGACACAGAAGTTACTATATTTCCTGTTATCAGATTTTTACTAGAGGCAGGGTATCAACAAGAAAGCATGATAGTTAGGGCCCTACCAAATTCATGGTCCATTATGGTCAATTTCACAGCCACAGGATTTGAAAATTGGTAAATTTCACTGTGGGTGGGGGTCGCAAACCTGTTGTAGGGGGATCATGGGATTGCCACCCTCACTTCTGTGCTGCCTTCAGAGCTGGACAGAGTGGGGAAGAGGGGGTGTGGAGCTATCTGCAGCTGGGAGAGATGCTCTTTCCCTGCAGGGCTGCTCTTGGGTAAGTCCTGTCCTGCCCCAGCCCTGCCTGGACTAGCAGCTAGAAGTCCCCTTTTCTGGGGTGCTCTTAGGAAGAAGGGAAGATTGGATCTATGTCCACGTGCCTTCTCCAGTTACAGGAACCTCTGGGACTGATGCACAGTCCAAAAGCGCCCTGCTGCAGGGGGAGGCACCCGGAGATGGGTCTGGTCTCCCGCCTCCACCTGAGCAGCTGTACAGAGGATGGACAAGTCCTGTCCCTCCCCAGCCCAGCCAGAACTAGGAGTCCCCTTTGCTGGGGCACACCTAGAAATAAGGGGACATCAGATTTCAAGGGAAAAGGCTTATTTCACGGTCCATGTCACGTTTTTCACGGCTGTGATATTGGTAGGCCCCTAATGATAGTGTAGAGAGGAAGATGAAACTAGAGAAAAAAAGTCTTCTATTTAACTTATACTATGTTAAATATGAAGCTTCCACATTTCATGAATTTTTTTGTATTTTCACTATTTCATGAAAAACTTCAAAATTAATACATTAACAACTCAAAGCAGCTTCAAAAAGCTGCTCCGAGAAATACAGTGGAAGCGATATTTCTGAGTCAGTATGCCCACCTTCTTTGTGTCTGTTGAAGAGGATGCTTTGAGCTTTCAGAATCAAGATGATATTCTCTGGATCTGGGCCATCCACCACTTTGGCAGATTTTGTGCATAAGAACTCATATGCTTTGTTTACTTTTTCAAACATATCCTGCAGATAACAATATGGACAACATCAAGCTGTTACCCAACAAAACCTGAGTATTTACTAAGTCTCAAAACTCAGTTGCAGCTTCAACCTGTTTTCCCTATTTTGTTTCTGAACTGGTAAACAATGACATTAGCTATATTATACCATTGCAAATGAAATTCCAAGGGAGTGTCACATTGGAGAAAACTCTGAAAAATAGTAACTGCGTATTCTGCTATAGTAATATTTTGCTGGTTCACAGATCAGTTTTTCTCTTTAAGTCTTTCAGTGAAGGGGTAATCCTGCACTGAGTCTTATCAGTGAAGAAATTGTGATATTACAAATTTAGCATTATGGCTTCACTGCAGAATCAAGTGAGTGGAAAAGTGGGCTGTAAGAGCGAATCTTTTTCAGACAGATGGTTTAGTAGTTATTGTAAAGGAAGTTACATATTATCTTTATTTTGTATTTAAACTCCTCATCCCTCAAAACCCCACAAGATGACATGCAGTGCATGCCATTTCCTGGCATGATGGAATGAGATGAACTGTTATTTCAGAGTCCCCCTGAAGAAAATGTTTTTGATAAGTGTCATATTCCAGTTAAAATGCTATGGACCTCTAGAATTTGTGCAAGTGTATTCTGGAAGAAAATGACTTGCTCTGAAAACACTACCAATGTAAATATTCATTAAAATCAGACAAACCCATTAAACCACAATTTAAAAAAAGTCTCAGTGTAAACTAAAGTCATATAGTACAGTACATACCCTCCCTTCTGGGTTCTTATCAGGGTGATATTTTTGTGCCAACCTGAAGTAGGCTTTTCTGACCTTGCTCTCATCATGCCTGTCAGATGCAGATAGAGAATGTCAATAAGATAATATTCACTTTTGGCATAAGAATTGATTAAGAACAAATTTACATGTTCAAAACTACCAACCTCAAGAAATCAAAAATCATGAGTCAGACCCCCCAAAAATCTTTAGATTTAAAAAAAAAAAAAAAAAAAGACAGCACATTTTAGTTTCTCTTTTGACTTTTAAACTCCTCTACAAAGTGGTTGATAATTTCAAGTTGAAAAGTCAATCTTTAATGCACATCTCTCCCTGGCTGTTCAGAAGGAGACTTGCCCTTACCCCTCGAGGTGGAAACTACCATCCATTTCCTGTTACTGTCTGAACTCTCCCCACCTAATTTCCTGTCTTCCCCCCATACTTTCCTTCCATGCAAAGGCTATAGAGAGAGCTGGAAAATGAACAGTGAGCACCCAAGAAATATCAAACACTCTCCCTTTGTACCAAGTTTCCAATTTTTTTCACCACCTTTCTTTGTAAGCTGCAAAGATTGTTCCATGTGAGAATGTTTTTACAGCCACCCTAACCCAAGTAGAACCTTCTATAACCGAGTTCAGTAATTATGTTTATAATCCTTAAATAATTTCTCACATTCAAAGCATTTAAAAAAATTAGGTCACTGAATAATTTTGATCAACCACATAACTATCAAATAATTACAATTTAGTTTAAAATCTCACAATTGTTCAAATAGCTAAAATAATTTTATTTTAAATTATCCTTCTTTCCTGCTGTCCTAGGACCCCAGCCACAGAACTTCCATGACCTCCCCCTCCCCAACTCTCACTGCCCCAGGACTCCCTCTCTGCTACTATGGGTATAGAGCCAGACATGAAGGCATGGTGCAATAGCAATGGCAGGTCTGCGTCCTCAGCTCCAAGACTCTTGCAGAGCTCTGCCCATGTGTACAGCTCGGGGGGGGTGGGGTGTGGAGTCAAGAACAGAGAAGCTTCGTGGCTTCATGAGAGCTCCTCCCAAAGACACAGAAGTCCTGTGACTCTCAATTAGTTGTGATTGCTATGAATAAGATTACAAAGAACAGTTATTAAAGCACTATTCACTTTAGAAGTGTTCTCCAATGGCTGAATTTGGGGTGACAAAATAGTTACAGCCTGGCAACAAGGCTATCTACATCAGACTACCAACTCCACTTAGTTGTGAGCACCATTTCATTGCAAGACTACTGTACCTTCCCTGTAGTCTGTCTCCACCCTGGACTGAAAATTTCCAAATGGCATTGACAGAGGCCGAATAAAACAAATCAAGGCTAATTACCCTGGTGGGTCTCCTATTCAAATACAAGCACTTATGAACTATGAGCTAGCTACCACCCACAGAAGCCAGTCCTTCTAGGTGAGCTGGTAACCTTGCAAGGCATCACTGACAGTCTCTGAGGCTGATTAGGAGGGTCACAAGAAAGCAAGAATGGGCAGGAGAAGAGAGGAGGGTCTCAGGACGCTGGAAGGACTGACCAAAGCCCAAAGAGCTCTCAGAGCAGTGAGGATACGAAAGGAAGGATTTTGCTTGCGGATACTTATTTTTGCATGGATCTGTACATCTTACGATTTCTCTATGCGTAAAGGATGTGCCTTTAGAAATCCCTTTGCAGATTGTATATTACTTGCTTATAGTCATGTAGTCCCAAAAGAGGGAACAGTAAACAAGCAGGTCACAGCTTTGACAGAACTCAGTGTGCAAACAGCTACTGTGAGGCTTGCAGGAACTGGCCCTAACTTCAGAGTCTATGCAATTGGACTGCAAGGTCCCCACTGGCAACAGGAATGTCAGACCTGGAGGCTGTACCTGGAGTGTATCCCTACACGCTCAGAGAGAAAGTTAAATTCTGCCCAGCCCCAGAAAACAGAGAGTATGTGGGACCCAAGGTTTGGATCCAGTACAGCAGTTTGGCGTGAGCTCAAGACTGAAACAGACATTTTTTCCCCAAATTAATGCAAGTACCACTTTTTATATATAGAGATTACCTGAATATCAAATCGAACAGTTTTGGATTTTTTCAGCATTTATTCCATGCTGAATAAAGGTAGCCGCCATCATTAGCATCAATTAAATGCCTGAAACACAATGCCATCTGATAGCTGGTTTTCAGATATCTCCAGCTTTGGGTACCATAAACTGAGATCAAAGTTTCAATTTATCTGGAGTAACTTATGATATAAAACAATGTAGCAGTTACTTCAGTTTTGTTTTCGGAAGTTTTATGGCAACTTACTGTCCTTGTCCTTTTGGAAGGTTAAGAACTTCATAAGCATCATCTGTTGACATTGTAGGTGGCTTCTTTTCTACCTCCTTCTTCCAAGCCTCCAGAGTATCTTTTAACAATTTAACCTGAAATTAATTAAAATCCATTAAGGATATTATGGCCAGTGTCAAACATACTTGTCAGCACTTGATACTGAAGTAGTACTGATCAAGAAATTCAGATGTTGTGAAGCTCTTGGTTATGGACTAACTACTTTAATTTAAAAAAAGAAAAGGAGTACTTGTGGCACCTTAGAGACTAACCAATTTATTTGAGCATAAGCATCCAATGAAGTGAGCTCTGTAGCTCACGAAAGCTTATGCTCAAATAAATGTGTTCGTTTCTAAGGTGCCACAAGTACTCCTTTTCTTCTTGCGAATACAGACTAACACAGCTGCTACTCTGAAACCTATTTTAATTTAATCTTTCCACCATCAATCACTGGAAATTTGTATATTAGTTGATTTGAACACAGGTAATGTTGCCTATTTGAGTTACTTGCAAATAAAGCTGTTCTCCAGTTTGTGGCTAAATGCTAATATATATAGGTAGCTAGACTTAATGCAGAGGTGAAATTTTTTTAATGTTAGCATGTAACATCACTTAGATACTCCTATTTTAAATGCTTTCTAAGGTAGTTTTTATCCTGAACTGACATACCCTGGGATTCTGATTTTGCTCCACGCTGCGGTCTTGTTCTTAAAAATGTGTTTCATTTAAATTTGGAGTGGACAGAGCTCTAGAAAGTGTACTGTACCTGAAAGACCTGGTAAGTCTTCATCTTTGTTTGGGGAATTCCATTTAGATATTTTGTACATGAGTAAGTTAAAATTAGCCTCAGAGTTATAGCACTAAAGTGATATTTTTAGACTGATTCTTAGCATTTGATTACTGCATTTGCTACAGATATATTAACCTGAACTCTGCCAAGTAGCTTTGTTGCAACTTTTAAGTTAAAATTATGAAAACATTTACATTTTGTAAGTTTCAATGGGTAATTTAAGACAAGTAAGAATTCCTTTGCATATAAGGAATAAGTGACTACACAAGACCTTTAGTTTCACTGTCCAAGTGAGGTGAACTGCAAACACTAAGAGAATATCATATCTACACTGCACAGTAGCCTTAACCCCACTACCATTCACAAATGAAAAACCTCTGACCTGGCTTTTTAGAGGCTCTTTAAGCACAGACCAATTTACCTGGCTGTATGGGAGGGCTACAAGCCAGGCTCTGTTCTAAGTCAGGATAGAACCCGTCTACTTTGTATTGAGGGCACAGGGGAAAAATAAAAATAAATAAATAAAATAATTCAAGTGCCAGCAGTCCTCCAGTGTCTTTACCACAATTCTCCAAAAGGATAAATAAGTTTATCCTTATCTCCCAATTTACTGGGTAAGTCTTACAGGATCTCAGCACAAAGAACTATGGGCTATGTTTCCAGGCACATGCATGAGTGCAGAAACTGTAATGCAGATATGGCTTTGCTGCAGGGATGCTCTCACCCTTGCTAGGCTAACTGAGGTGCCAATCACCTGGGTTAACTGTCAAAGTAGACATCGCCATCTATGAAGTCTAAGTCTAGGTTTCTTGTTATGCTTTACAAGTTTAAGCATTAAAAAGTGTTACTAAAAGAGTTTGCCAGGTTACTTATCCGGATTAGTCTCTTTAAGCCCAGGGTTAGCAGAACTCAGTTAGCATACTCTGGGTTTGTTAACCTAGGTCTGAGTGTCTACACTCATTTGTAACCGCAGGTTAGGAGCTGTTGAACCCTGTGTCCCAACCTCGGGCTCCAGTGTCTACACGGTTTTATGTGGGCAGACTAAGTCCAACCTCCCATATCCCAGACTTCCTAGCACCCTCTCAAAATTTGGTTGCTCTAGTCCTTTGTTTGTAGTGCACTGTGGGAAAACTTGACTCTCCACCAGACTCGACTGCCCAGAGGGCAAAGATAGCTGGCCTGTGGGATCATGGAATATTTCTGGTGGAGTCCCAGAGGACGAGTCCAGTGGGTCTGTCTTTACAAACTGCAAAGCAATATGGCTTAAACCCAGGTCTTGGCTTGACTCAGGCTCAGACCCTCCACCTCCTGGGACCCTGGGTCTGAGTCCTAATTAGTAAGATTTATGCGTAGATGGAAGGGGTAGGGGCCTTGAGCCTGAATTCAAATCCCAGACTCACACTGCAGTGTAGACATCCCAAGAGTTGCTGAAACAAAGGTAAGTATGAGCAATCATATCTGTTACAGCAGCAGAACAGTTTTTTCATGCCATAATCAAGAATTCAGTGAACAACTCAGTTATATTCCCGTTTACCCAATACTGATTTTTAGTTCATCATGCATAAGTTGTTACAGGAACTTGCAGTGTAAACCAAAGTATATTGAGGTTTATGGAGGAAACAAGGTTTGAGGCCAACTATTAAGAATATGCCACTCCTGGATTTTTTGGATTTTAGAAATGTTTGAGTGTTAGGTCTGTGCATGTGCACTATGGATATACAAGTATAGAAAGATTTCTGGACTTACAGGATCTTTAATTGGCCAATCTGGAAACAGGAGTGTATCACACAGGTGTTTGAGGTAATAAATATTACAGAACAGCTCATTCTCCAGTTGTGGATAGTTGATAACTGGTATGGGGCAGTATTGATAGAGTGCTCTTGTATTACTTTGAAGACGAGGGGTGAAGTCAGCAAGGTGAGCAGCAATCTTCTCGATCATAAGGCGCCTTTGAATTGCAAACATTGAGAATTACACCAATACAAGATTTTGGTCAGGTACTTTTCATAAGTACACTACTAAGCATTTTTGACAAGCGTTTAATTTCCCATAATTAGCCATATTTTCTTGAACAGATTAAAAGTCTTATGCAATTTGGGATACTACAGTCCTATAATCTCATGTGACTGGTTTTAATTTTAAGACACCAAAAAAACAAACAAAAAATTAAGCAGTAATACAGAAGGTGCGTACACAGTTCTGCCTACCTATTCGAGAGCAGTCTCAAATTTGTTTTAACACTGAAGATTTAGATTTATATAAAAAGATATATAATTAGAAAGATTTTCCATGCTTTATATGGGAAATGCCCTAGCAACCAGAGAGGTATGTTATCCAGGCAGGAATTATGTGATTTGTAACACCATGTAGTTTAGCGAGGAAACCGTAAAGAATGGTCACACTCTAGAGACAGATAACATTTACTGACACTAACTAAGCATGACATAGGCAGGCATGAAGCAAACTGCTGGAGAATTTAAAGTGAAATGGCGTAACTGTTCCATGACACTTATATTTGTACCACGGGCTTCTTTTGAAGAGAGACTTTGTTGTGTCATGTCATTTCCTGGCTTTATGATGTGAACAGAGGGCTGAAGACTTAATTGGGACAACTAAATCCATTTCACTGGAGAGAGTTTCTACAGGCAACTGCTACTATAGCAAAGTGAAATGAGCCACTGAGCCCTCTTTGCCCAAGATCAAATCACATGGTATGCACTTAATACAAGTTTAATCAAAAGACTGGATCCCCTATTTAATGGGAAATAGATAAAAATACTTACCTCATTTCATTGCTCCAAATCGCTTCTGGAGTGTCAAATTCCCCAAGGAAAATTTCAGAAAATTTTTCTGGCTCATAGTTTTCTAAATAACACACCATTGCTTCAGGAAGGATGTGTCCTAGTATACTTCTTTGAACTATATCTTGCCCTTTTGTCTAAAATGAAAGAATTTCACAGGTATTGAGGTGTTTCCAAGTTAAGCTGTAGTTTGATCACACTCATTGAATGATTAACATACTCCGGGATAAGGCTTTCCTATTTTACAGTGGAATTCAATTAAACTGATTAGGATCTTAAATATGTTCGTAAAGTTTCTTTACGTAGCTTCAAGTATGCAACAATTTGATAGTCAGTAACAGCTACTTACATGTAAGAGTGGCTAAGGAGGCTGATTTTTTAAAAGGATGCTGACCATGAGTCATCTTCACATTACTTGTAAAGGAGTGAAACACAGCTAAGTAATATACTGTAAGTCACAGTTGTTAACCCAGAACAGTCATAGCACTTTAAAAAGTATACCAGTTTTACACCCAGGGCAGTGAAGCCCATCATCCTTAGCGATATAAAGCAGTGGACTATAAGAAACACTAATCTTAAAGTCATTGTAGTTATGTCCAACAGCAGTATGGTTCAGCTCATCAATGGAAAGCATAAGACACTGAAGTTTATTGTAGAATATTCATTTTGCAGCCAATGGCAAGACTAGAACAAGCAGCAAGTCTCTATACAGAACTCAAAATTGTCACTAGGTCTCCTGTGAGCCAAAAATCCTATCTAAAATTCCTAAAAGCTATCCAGACAGATTTAATTATATCATTTACTGGTCAAATTGTTTGCTACATCAATGATCTAGTTTAAGTTTAAAGAGTTTAACAAGCAACGATATCATAAATCTTTTTTGATATCATGAATTAAAAAAAATCTGATGTGAGCTAGCATCCTTCATACCTTGAATAAAGTAGATCAGTACATGGAAAGTTACGCTGGTTTACAGAACAAGGAATGTTCTTGGATCCTGCTTACTATAAGAATGCTAATAGGAAGTATGTTTAATTCAGAGGCACAGTACTACAGGCAGACAGGCACACATACTATAGTAGTAATATAAGTGCAGCTCTACAATTTTATTTTTGTAAGATTATTCAATTTTTATATGGTTTAAAATGTGACTTTAGGGTGACTGTAAAGCATAAAGATACTGCTAAATATTTCAGACAAAACAATGTATTGCAAGCCTTCTATATCAAAAGAAAGGAAGAAACCAATCCTTGGGAAACCACCATCAGACTAGCACGATAAGCAGCTTCTGGATACTATCTCCTCCCCTGGTTCAGCTTTAACACTCGGACATAAGTAGAGTAGGTGAATTAAGATGCACTTTCTGCAAGGGCAATTTATCCCCTTTAAAAAGGTGACTGAGTATTAACACCAACAAGCACTACTTCTCACAGTTTATTAAGACCTTAGCTTGGATCAATGTAGTTCCCTACAGTTTATTAAGCCGCAACCAAGTTTCCATTAAAAGCCATATTTGGCCTTTTCCCTACTAAAATTGGCAAAATTCAAATTCATCTCAAAATTGTAATGTTAAATTCTACTTTGGCCAGGAACCTTCATACAACGTTTAAAATGACTTGGACAAGGAGTTCCTAATATATAACAACCTAAAAATAATGGTTACAGTTCCAAGTTCTTCATTTTTGCCACTTCAGACCAGTGAACTACATCTATTTCTTTGTTTTTTTTGGATTCCTTTAGCTTGATCATTTACTAGGCACTGTGTGTACACAGCTATTCCACTTGGAGGAACACAACTGATATCAGAGACTTATGGTCCACAAAGTGAAAAGAGTTTCACGGATCGGTGTACTGGCCAAGCCAGAAAGTGCTCCAAACTCATCTTAGCTCGAAGCTGCTTCCACTTGTGTTATGAAGAATAAACAGACCTCTTTTGAAATGCCAATTGCAGTCATCCTAGCTGCAAGCTCGGAAGATAGAGGCCACACAAGCTGTACAAATCTGTATGATTTTACTCCTGTACAAGATGTTGGATGGGGAAGGTAATTGAGTCCACCAGATTTTGTCTCTCTCTGCCACTGAATATAGGGAATGTGCTTCCCCCTATTATTTCCATGGGGTTCTAGTGAAGGTTTTTCATTAACACATTACAAGCCAATGTCCCATTTTGAAGCTTCCTAAGACAAAAAATTCAGTCTCAGAAAACAGACTTCTCTGGTCATCTTAAAGTGTTCACTCACCTCACTTTAAGACCCAAGTTAGTTCTTTTGCTACATGCCTAGACGCACACAAGAGACATGCAAATAGGCAGTGTCTAGTGAAATCCCACTCTTAGCCAATGGGAATGTTGCCTGGAGAGGTGGTAAGCAGTGAGATCTAGGTGTCTCAAAGGGTCTAATTGTAAGAGGAACAAGTAGTTGCTTGGATTGTTACTCCAATCACTATTTGTAGCACTACTAAAATAAACTTCTTCACATCTTAGTTGCCAATGCTTGGTTTAGAAAAGAAGAGTATGTTTAATGCACTGATTGCATTGAATGAGCAGCGACATTGAATGAGCAGCGAGAAAAGTTACTTGGCTATGCAAATGGCATTTCTTCATGGTCTTCTCTAGAAACCAAGAGAAAGAGCAGATATGACAAACAAAATGCTTTCTAAAGGAGATTCAAAGCAGACTTGACTGACAGAAGTCAAGAATACAGGAGTCTCTATGCCCTGTATTTGGTGAGGGAATATAGTTCATTTTGTAATGAATTACTGACAATGCACAACGGTCACAAGCAACACAGCCAAGAGAATTAGGTAGTTGTCTGCTCAAGGTGAGGGGCGGAGGTTTGGGTTTGTTTGTTTGTTTGTTTTTTAAAAAAAAGAGGACTTTAAACATGGAGTGCAAGGAGGGAAAGAATCTTTATCTTTAACAAAATAGAAGACGAAAGTGTCCATTTATGATGAGGACGTAAGCACAAGGTAGAAAGATTGAAAACTGATTTTACTTCAGAAAATATTTAATATAGAATTAATTAACTTCGTTTATGAGAGCAAAAATAAATGTTTTTATACTAGTAATTTCTACTCACCTCTTCAGACTTGAAAGCTTGTTTTGTATGAGTGTACTTCAAAAACCTAGGAGAAAAAGTAATGTTTCAGTTCAGTGATATTCTCAATGAGGCTTTGCAGAAAACAGCAGTATAGGTGCTGATTCAAAAATGCATTTGCTTTTTCATTTCAGTCCTGTCTTCATATCAAATTTATAGCTTAACCCTAGATTTTTTGCCTCCTATAAGCTTTATAGAAAGCTTTGAATTTTTTACAAGTTGTAAATGACTAATTTACAAACAGAGAACTTATTTCTGACATTCTGTTGCATAGAGCACGTAGACTTTGAATTCATAATGTATGGGAAGAATAATTTATTACATGCAGCAAAACTGCTTTAAAACTCAAATTCATTTGCTTAATAGAAAGCAATTTAGACATGCTTGAAGATACAAGTCTGATAAACGTGAATGTTTACATTAAAGTGTTTTAGGCATTGATCCTGCAATGAGTTTTATGGACCCTTATATGAATCTCATTGCAAGATCAGAGATTTGTTGAAACCCAACTATTATAAAAATAAAAACTCAAATAGTACACATCAAAAGCCTACAATATTTCTTCTAATTCTGGTATTATGTATAGATAATTGGAACTTGCTCTAATGGCTTTAAGTCATTGGAAACCTTGACCAGATATATGATTTTAGCTGTACAGCTGGGCACAGTATATGCACACACTCCCCCAAACACTACTTCAGTTCAACAAAACTGTAAATGTATGCACATTACCAAAGTGGACATGAAGTTTTTTATAGCGTAATCACTTGTACAGAAGCAAACAAGCAAGCCACTATAAAAACCTTGCTGTTCACTGCTTGATAGAAGTAACAGGTTCCCCTATCCAGTTAGGAGTATTAATATGCAGAGGCAGTTCCACGCATAAATACCTAAAATTGTTATTTTCACCATTCCTCTTGTCCTTACCTTGCAACAGGAAGTACATTGGAACCTGTGTACATCATGATAAAGAAGAATACTCCACTTAGATAAAAACGAGATAATTGTGGGTTATCTTGCATGATGTGGAACAGCAATATGGCAACTTTCTCAACAAGGATAGGGTCAAACGTCAACAGCAGCTGAAAAGACGACAGACAGAATTTACATGGAGCATCTACAAATTTTAGATGATCAGTAGCCATAAAACAAACTAACTTTAACCAGCTAATCAAAATTAAACCCAAAAAATATGTTAGTGAAATACAGCAGAAAGAATAAAGTACAACAGCCCAGGATACAATAACTGTTAAATTATATTAAGTTAGCGGGAATCATTTCTGGATAGTTACACATTTCGAAAGAACAGACTGACAAAACAAGCAACTTACCTGAGTAATATGGGGAAGGCAAGTACTGTCTGAAAGCAGCCTCTTTACTCTGGGCAAAGGTCTTATAATGGCATTATCTTGATCCCTAAAATATGTATTTTCCCAATCAATGTTTAGTGTATAATACATAAATATAAATACAGTATTTGTGCTTTTATTTTAAATGTTTTTGAACTGATTTCTCAGGCAGATTTTAGATTTTGATCCAATGGACTGGGTTGATATCAAGATCCTGAATATACATTCTGACAAGTTTTCTATCCTCATTTCTTAAATATTCAAACTTTCACCTGGTCTTAGCTTTGATATAGAATATATCAGTGAGGTTTAGTAAAATTCACATTAAGTATGGAAACAATGAGATTAGCTATCTGTTTAAGAAGAGTTATAAGACGTTTGATTATATTTCTAATGCTATCAAAGTAACTGGAGACATTCACTTGTGTTATAATTTTTAAGACAATGTTAAGTTACTGTAATTTCAGTTTGAGAAGCAGTGACCATGAAGTTTTATGGCACTTCTATTAAATGGATTTATCTTTGTCCCATCATAAAACTGTGTTAGTTCATCTCTCCCTTCATGGTAGAAAGATTAAAACTTCCATGTTCACTAACCAAATGAAATTTGCTACGAGATGGTAGATGCATGTCCTGTTTAAAAAAAGTTTCTCCCATATAATGTATCAATAAAACTGGAATAGCAATTATGCACATTTGCTACAACCATGGAAAGTTCCAGCCATTTTCTCCTCTTGGAACTAAAAAGACTCATTACCTGCTGGGAAAATAGCCACACATTGTGATCAACATGTTGAGGATAAGTGTGGCAAGGTCAGTCTCATTCAGCACAGCCTGTCCGTTGGCTAGCAAGCACCATTTAAGCTGAGGGATAAACTGCAATGGTCTCCAGCCATCCATACCCTGAGCCCAACACCGTGTTTTTGCAGTCAGCTTTCCCTTGGTCCATAATTCCTGCATCTTTTTTAAAGTCAGAGGTACAAGTTAGATGCTTCACACTATAAGCAGTAAGGTTTTCTGGCATTTTTCATTACTTGTCTTGGTAGCTCATAATGCATATAAAATCAGATGCCCTCCAAGATTTTTTGCTATGAAAAACCAATACAGCTTAAAATATTCCTGTTCCCTTTAAGAACTGTAAAATCTACCCTTGTGTAGGATAGGAAAAAAGGGTCCAGAAAAGCAAAAGAAAACCAACTTGGAAGAGATTTTCAACTGAATTTAAGTCAAGTCATTATAGTAAATTGCATTATTGATCTCATTTGGAGACTACACAGAATTATAACTCTAAAAGCTTTGATTCTAGTACTCTTAAAAATACTATTTTATACACCATTTGGTAGTTTGTGTTACGAAGATAAAATGCACAAACACCGTATCCAAAATGATTAGATCACTGATTTCCTTTGAGAATTTAATCTTTCCTTAGCACAACAAAATTAGAAGCTTATGAATTGAAACATTAAATGTGCCAAACCCACATTTTTCAGAGGTTGTGTATATTAAGCTTATTGGGTACCATCAGAACAATACTAAATATATATTGGATGTGGACTAAGTGTAAGACAATTAATTACAACAGTAATTTGGTATGCCAGTGCACATCTTTACATTTTAATACCATTTTCATGTTAAATAAGATTTCTTTTTATGATGGACCTCCGACTGGCTCAGAGAGCAGTAAACTAGAAGACTAATTCATTCCACCATATGGCAGATACAAGCAGTAGCCTGTGGAACTCCACCATGCTATTAGAATGCCAGTTATAGTCAGAGGTGGTGACAGTATCACTCTCCTTTATTACGTAGGATTCCATGAAGTCTCAAACTTGGGGGGGGGGGATTATCTACCCAATATTTGATAAGTTATGCTAAACAATGTGCACGTATTGGAGTAGTGTAGACTCTTTCCTCTTCTATAAACACACAATATCCTGACCTCTTGAAAAAGGAACACCGATTCCAAAGTAATACACATTGGAAAACATAATCCCAACTAGACGTACAAAATGATGGGGTCTCAATTAGCTGTCATAGCTCAAGAGAGATCTTGGGGTCATTGTGGATAGTTCTCTGAAAACATCTGCTCAGTGTGCAGCTGTCAAAAAAAACACCCCTTACAATGTTAGGGACCATTAGGAAAGTGGTAGATAATATCATAATGTCACTACATATATATCCAGAGTATGCCCACGTCCCATCTCAAAAAAGATATATTAGAATTGGAAAAAAGTACAGAGGGCAACGAAAATTACTAAGGATATGGAACAGCATCCATATGAGGAGAGATTAAGATGACTGGGATTGATAATTTTAGAAGAGAGACTACTGGGTGTGTGTGAGATACGTCTATCAAAACCAGGAATGGTGTGGAGAAAGTGAATAAGGAAATGTTATTTACCCCTTCATATAAACACAAGAACCAGGGATCACTCAATGAAAATAGGAAACAGGTTTAAAACAAACATAAGGAAATACTTCTTCACACAATGCACAGTCAACCTGTGGAATTCATTGCCAGGTGATGTTGTGAAGTCCAAAAGTACAACTAGTTAAGTTCATGGAGGATAAGTCCATCAATGGCTATTAGCCAAGATGGTCAGAGACGCAACCCCATGTTCTGGGCATCCCTAAGCCTCTGACTGACAGAAGCTGAAACTGGATGACAGCGGATGGATCACTCAGTTACCCTGTTCTGTTCATTTCCGCATTGGTCACTGTTGGAAGACAGGATATTGGGCTATTCTGACCCAATATGGCCGTTCTTAAGTTTAATTATTTTATGAATCAGCCATAAAAAGAATACGATACCTCTGTAAAGCTGTAAGGACCGCTCCTCTCTTTATCTGCATTGCCAAAGTACCACTCTTTCTCACTTTCTCTCTTCATATCTGGTGCTGCTTCAATCACATTGCTCTAAAAGTTAAATATTTATATATAAACGATGTACCCAATTTAATGCAAGATCCAGTCTTGATCCCATATGACTTTAGCAATTTGGAAGCTAGCTAGTTTATGGAGGGGATTTTACAATGATCTGCATTAGGAGGGGGGTATGAGAGTTGGGTGGTGCTAAAGAAGGCTTAGACTGTAAATAGTATGTGCAGGGAAACAAGGACAAAGTTATGGTTGGTAGAGAAACTTCAGCTTGTTTCCTTACTTTTGTGAGTTTTTCAACATTGTTATAAGTAAAAGATATCAGCCTTAAAAGACTGAATTTCATAAAATCCTAGTTTCTGACCAAGCACCCTTTAAAACGGTGTCAGATTTTAAAAAGTTCCTCAAAAAAGGTATAGTGTGAATAAACCAAAAGACCTCATACTTGCAATGGTACTGTAGCCCTGCTTGTGTGGAGATGTGCCATGGTAAGCAGATCCACAAGGATTCTAATGCCATTTGAATCCATGAGGTCCTTAACATTTTTCTGTAAACAAGAGAGAAAACCTTCACATTTATTTCATGTGAGCATTATAGAAGTGTGTTATGGACACGTAAAAAGCACTGTAAGTGCCACCTTTGTATAGTATTTTAAATGGGATTCAAAGGTGAGATTTCAACTCTCCTCACACTCAACCATATTCTTTAGAAATCTAGCACAGAACATTTATACTTCCTTATCCCCTCATTACCCATTCAAAAATGCTAAATCATGCCTATAGAGATAGCATCTGTGCCAGAAATGTAGAGAGTTTTACCCTTAACATTTGCATCTAATAAGAGATCTTTCTTTCCATGAAGTGAACACAAGATTAGATATTCAGTTACAGTTTTTAAAATCAACTCAGAGCATTAGTTTCAAACTGGAGATCATTTTAACAGTTTAAGAAATGTATCCATGCTTCATGAATTTTCTTTTAAGTACTAGAAGAATAAAAATCTTTTAAGTACTCCTACCTTATTTAAAATGAGCTTGTTAAGGAATAGTATCAATCTGTCCCGCTCAAGTCTATCTGTGCACTTTTGGGGTTAAAAAAATGGGGGGGGGGAGAGAGAGAAGAACAAGTCAAACATGTCCAACAGGAAATACAAATTATTCAAGCCTCAAAAAATTAGCATGTTGCATTAACCAGAGAGTAAAATCCAATTCTCAAATATCTCGTGACAAACATAAAAACTGTGCAACAACAGATAAGGCTACTTATAACAGTAAGATTTCAGAAAAATGTATATATAACATGGTATTGGCAAACATGTTACAAAAGTCTCAAACATTTTCAAAAATATCTTGTAAGTCACTATAAACAGTCTCACTAATTTTGGTAGTATTATTGGATTTGTTTTCACACTAAAAACAGCTCTTGAATAATTTCCACAGTTTGCTGTGAAGTCTGTTTGTGCAAAGTAATTTCAAGCATGCAACTTTCTTCTGAACCACACCTAATCCATGTTAATTGTTCATGTTATGGGAAAGGTAAAAATACCACTGCCAAATAGACATGCTATAGAATTCACTGTGAAATGGAGTTTTAATCGTTAACTGATTTTTATTATCTTATATCCTATTACTGATTTGGTATTAAAGCATGTATGAGTTTATAATTTAAATGCACTTAAATGAAAGATGAGCTCCCATTTAAGGCTTGAGTTAATGTTTCTCCAGAAAGAACTGCCAGACTACTAAGACAAGAGCATTGTAAAAAAGGCAGCTCTCTAAAGCTTAAAATGTTAATTTCAATTGCTACTAGAGAAGTGCAACCATGAACTACCCTGACGATGGGCCAAACCTCTTCAATTCACCTTCAACAGATTAAACAGGCATAAGAATTAGAACCTATTAACTCAACTGTACTTAAACATGGTTTGTGTCTGCCTTTACCACTAAAGGGTTTCCAAGTTTTTACGGTTACAAACAATTCCAACGCATCATCCTTAAGTATACTAGTACACCCACAGTTTTGGAGAAAACATGCTGTCTAAAAGACCACTGCCAATGCACTTTGAACAAGCCATTCTGAAGGTAAAGCATCTCCCTTCGTGGAAGGTCTACTCTCCACAGGGGTGCAAAAATTCCAAGTTTGCTGTTAAACCCTGATGTGCTTCAGGAATAAGTGGAAGACTAAAAAACTGCATTGAATGCTGTGTATATTGTTTTCATCTCTATTTTACTCTTTAGGTAGAGCTTCTATTTGTCCCATTTCAAATAAATTTATTCCTGCATATTAAAAGTAACGTGACTAAAAATACCATCATCACAGACTTCCATCAGCAGAACGTGTCAATTAAGACTGAGTTAGAGGAGAGAAACTGACTAAAAATGACCCAATCCAGCAGTAACTTCCAAATGAAACTTCAAGATAAGTCTGCAATACTGAAATCTAAACTGGACAGCAGCATATCAATGACTAAGCTATTCCTAGCCACCAATTAACATTTATTTTTATCTAAAAATATCAGCCAAAGAAAACTCACCCTTTCCAACATCCCAACAATATATTTAGTGTCACCAAATTGTCCTATTTCTTCATGACATCTTCCATAAACAATGGCCAGTGCTTGTAGACATAAACATTTCATGTTCACTTTAGGGGTGAGCAAGAAGCGGTGATAAAGTTCATTGAAAAATTCATACCTGTAAAAACGGAAGAAAGTTCACACTGAAGGAAACATGCATTAAACCTCAGGAAAAAAAAAATAAGGAAGACAAACTGAACTGTGGCTCACGATTTTTTGATTGCTCCACTCTCTTCAGTTTCATCTTCCTCCAACAATAATCTCAGGTAATAATCCCCTATTTTTATTTCCTCTGAAAGGCACTCATACTTAACCTATAAATGAAACATACATATACAAACCACTTGTTATTTCGGATTATACACTTAAAGTTGAATTTTTAACAAGCTGTCACATGCAATCTATATTTTATTTGATTTCATGGCTTAACATGCTCAGTATGGTTTGTTTGTTTTTCTCCGTTGTGAAGGAGCCTCTCTCCTGCAATAAACAGTAAGGTTTAATAAGCAACATTTATGAAATATGATTTATATTAATTGCTATTCTAAATGACAGTTCAGTTTTCATTTTACTAACCTATACATTTATGGCTGAAAAATTACTTCTTTACACACGGATGAAGACTAGAAACTGACATTCTAAAGAACAGTTGATATCCAACTTGTTTCCAGACAGCCACAATACTTTAAGTGGCACAAAGCCTCTGGAAATCCACAGGGAATTTTAATATTCTAATACACTATGTATTTTAAAACAAAGCGTTTACCTAAAACTGAAGCATTATACTAAACACCTTTTAAGCACATTGTTTAAACAATCTAGTACAGGGATCTCTACAATAATGGATACAGTACAGCATTGTAACAGCTAATATTTAATAAGTCAAATAGGTATTCCAAAGCCTAGAGGAAACAGTGCAATAGCAGGAGTACAAACAAAATCACATAATTACATGAGTTAATGGGGTTCCAAGATGAAGTTAAACTCTGTACCCTTCACCCAGCCTCAATTAAAAACCACTAATATAAGAATGCTTGCATGTAAAGATATCTGCAAGAATACAAAAGTAAGTTAAAATGTTTTAAGTGTGGCATTACACACCAGTGTCTATTTCTTGCAGGTTATGATAGTTTACTGACAGAATGCCAATATCCCTCAAGCCACTCTTGGACCAATCTGAAGTGTAGTACGTTCCCTCTGTTTAGTCACATTGTACCTGTAGATTTCCTCGTGACATACATTGCGGTGATACACTCGGGTTTTGTAGATTTGGGGGGTGATCTCCCAGAATACAGGCTTTTTCTAAAGCCATATAACAAGTTTTCTGTAAGCTTTTCATATGTGACCAAAATATCAGTGAACAACTGCAGAAAGTATTTATGATATACTGTGCAGAGTTTGAGGTTGTTTGATTGCATTTATTGGAGATGTAAAACTGGATTTAGTTACTTCTAGTAGACCCTTCCTACTGATGAGATGGTGGTTTGCCCTCAACAGCACTCAAGTTCCGCTTCCTATTTTTGTTTTCTAGTCAATCCACTCTGTTGTGGAGACAGTCTGCTATCTGAAGGCTTTATTATTGAATTTTTTTTTTTTTTTTTTTAAATCAAAGACACCTGAAGTCAGTTTATTCTGTTCCTACCTAGTTATGGCCTCTTGGCTTATGCGACCCCTTAGAGAAATACTACCCATTTCCAAAACACAGTTTTGATATATGGAATTAATTTTTTTACTCTGGCGGTGTCAAAGGTTACTGTGTCAATGACATGTCTTGAAGGGCTTATTCCTCCCAGAAGCATCGATGTTCTGCATGCGATTTGATAAGCCAATCTATTCAGGACTTTAGATGGGTTGCCTCATATTTAGTAAGCTTTCTGAAAGCAAACCCCTCCAGGTGTTTTGGTACCACACTGATCTTTGCACTTGTTAACTATTATTCACTTTTAATTGAACATGGGAATATACAATAAATTATCAGGACAAGTATGTTGATACATACTGTAAAAGAGAAACAGGAATAGTGCATGGACCTTACATTTTAATGGCTTTCACCTCAGTGTTAACCTTGCTAGGATTAATGCTTGAAATGAACGTTAACCGTTGTTCTATTGGGAATTTATACATAGGTGCTTTCTTCCAGTGTGTCAAAAGCCCTCTGTGTTAGGTTTATGGGACTTTGACCCAAATTCCCAACTTCGGTTGTCAATGACAGCTTCTCTAAGATGAATTAATCTTTGAATCCATGTGTTGAAGCACTGCAGACAAGTCTATTTATGTGTATATTTTGCCATATCTAAAGATCTCTGCCACGTTCACTGTTAAGAAAAGTGGCTATTTGTGGTTTTAGTGAATATATTTAGAATTCCCCTTGGCTGATCAGAGATTTGTCTTGCCTGTACAAGGCCATTTAATCTGGGTGTATGAGGCAGTTCATAGCGATTCCTTTGAAAAAGGACCATGTACCCTGCCTGGAGCGGGACTGGTCTGCATGGCCTGTAGACGGTGAATTTAAAAAAAAAAAAAAAATCAGCACCATACAGAGAAGGTGCCTGCTTTCTCCTTCATAGCTTTGAGTTCATACACTCTGCCCAATCATTTATTGACAAAGGTTGTGTACAATACTCATTTAGAATGTTACTAAAAAAAGCTGATGCGTAAGGACACTAGGACTACAATATTAGTGACTTAAATAAAACATATTAGAAAAGTTTACCTCAAACTCATGATGATTCCATGAGATGACATTAGCACTGCCAAGTTCTCTGTCAATACTGAATGCCCGCATTTCGGATTCAAGGGTATCTCTCAGCTCTTCCCGTGTTTTGAAGTTCCAAATCAAATTTGACTTAGTATGATCTTGAAGAAATCTAGGAGAAAGCATGGCTAGTAAAAAAGTTTTCAACTGTTTTAATGCTGAAGATAGTTTAAAATGCATATAACCTGCCATGCACATCAGAGCATACTGTACTTTGATAAATAGTACAGAAGGGAATACGCTTTGCCATCTTATTCTTGATTTATACAAAACAAGGTCTCATTTGTCTTTAAATCATTCTGATGTTACAGTAGTGACTTGCTCAATATGTCTACTTTGTTATTAGTCTAAGGCAGAGGTTCTCAAACCATGGTCAGTGGACCACCAGTGGTCCACGAGCTCCATTCATGTGGTCCGCAGATCGTTCCCTCTAAGATGGGCGCCTGGGCAGCCACACACAAGACAATGAAGGGCCACCCACCTAATTAGTGGCGCTGCACAGGCATGGCTCCGCTAATTAGGTGCCTGGACCCTGGAGAAGACGCACATGTAAGGTGAGGTGGTGGCCTTGCGGGGAAAATAGGGGGTAGGTTGGAGGGGGCAGTGGGGTGAGAAGGGGGGGGAATTTGGGATGTGCAGGGCTGTGGCGGCCAAAGAGGCAACTTTCCCCAGCTCCAGGTCTGTGGCTGCCAGGGAGAGATGGCCCTCCTTCCCAGCCCCAGCTTGGGAGCTGCCATAGCAGGGGAGAGAGGGCACATCCATCACATTAGAAAGGTAAGGCTACCGATATTAAAATAAGAGTTGTGTGCTTTTATTTGTAGAACAAAGTTAATTATTATAGAGTTTTTTTTAAATATAGCTCTTTTATCCAAAGTGCTTTACAATAGTTAGCGAATGGTACAAACAACATTTAGAAAGATCATGAAGTGGTCTGCTGAGACTCACCAATTTTCAAGTGGTCTGAGTTAAAAAAAAAGTTTGAGAACCACTAGTCTAAGGGTTTGTCTACACACAGCAAAGAAAAGTCTGCAGCTGGACCATGTCAGCTGACTCAGGTTCACAAGGCTCAGGATGTGGGGCTGTTTCATTGCTGGGTAGACTTCCAGGCTTGGGATGGAGCCCAAGCTCTGGAACCCTCCAACCCTACAGGGACCAGCTATGGTTTTTTCTCTATTGTGTAGTCATATCTTTAGTGTTTTATGAGCATCAGACAAGACATCCACTCTACCTTAAAATAAATCTAGGAGCCAGTTGATTAACTAAAATAAGGTTCTTGAAATCGGAATACCCTACTTTTCAAAAGCATTAACCCTATTAGTACTCTGAAATGCAATCTACCTCCTGGGACTTCGTTGTACAAGTGACAGCATAAATGGTAAAAGGGAAACATACTACAGTTGTGTCTTACAAAAATGTCATATACAGCCTTGTCAAGTGTATCTGAGTATGCAATGTCAAAAGCAAGAGAGGTTATGGCTGGCCATGTGCATTCCAAAAGCAGATTAAACAATTTCCCTAGTGCATTTGAGTATTTTTTTGCTCTATACACTGTATTTGTTAAAGTTCATGTCAAATATTTCAGGTTGTATTGTTAAAACTCTACCTTTATAGCTGTAGCTTTGAGTTAGGGCTTCTGTATCTGTCAAGTGAATGGCCGTGATTTATTAACCAAAACAGATGAATTAAAGTTAACACATTTATTCTAGATATTTACCTGTAATAGAAGAGATCCCAGTTTGCTTCTATTTTTATTCTTTGCCTTCGTTTCCTTAGTATTACTGGCTTCTGATTAATGTTCTGCAAATAGAAAAAGATGCCAAATTTAGGGCTAGGACAATTAGCAATAACAGATACCAGATATAAAAGTGGGTTTCTAGTGTTACTTTAAACATGAAAATGAAGCTTTGTTTTCACTGGCTGTTCCTAAGAGATCTCAGCTTTCCAAGAGAACGCCTACTACTAGTGATGCAGTTTTCTAATCAGGGATGTCACAGGCAATGACAACAGAACACCACAACTGAAATCTTTAGCTAGTGACTTGCACCATATTAATACTAAATTACCAACACAGGTCATCAAATCATGCCAGAGAAACTTGCAGCCATGTACTTTTATCATACACAGTTACCCCTTATCTTGTATAAAAAGCCAAATCCCATCACCATATGCACACTGCAAAAACTGCTGGGTAATCCTGTATTTAAATATACTGTATTACATGCATATATTAACCATGCAGGAAAACTCTTTTGCACCAAGCCAAAGAGAGTGACTGGGGACCAAAACCAGACCAATCTTTCAGGAGACAATACCCACAGTAAAATTGGCAGCCACAAACCTGGAGAACACAAAAGGCTACTTTGTTGTTCAGAAGTAAAGGATCTTTAAACAGCCAGGGGGGCAGGAGGGGTGGTGGTGAGGGAAACAGTCACAGACACAACTTGGAAATTGAAAGACTGTTTGATCAACAACATCTAAAATGCACTGCTAGACAAGACACCACATGCCAGGCAGAGTTTAATGAAACATAAGCCACAAAAGTAGTACGCAGACTCACCATATTGTTTCTGTCCTGATTGTGATTGGAAAGTAGAAAGAAAAGAGGAATATTTAAACAAAATAAGATACAGCCACTAAAAGTATTTTATATGGTAACATGGAGTTATAAAATGTTACCACACAAATACTTTCCATATAATTTGATGAATATGAATCACAATCTCCCTTTATTAATTTGATCATCAAAAGTGAAAGCTCAGAATTTTGTTTTGCAGAGCCATATCTGTTACTTATTGTGTATTCATGGTTTATCCTTCCCAAGTAAATAAGACATCAAGGAAAAGCTGTAAGTGTTCATACTTGGAGAGTTTATAATATGCAGCTCATTGAAAGAGATTTTACTGAGAAATTCAGCTAAAATAAAAGAAACATCCATACATCTCTATGATTTATTTCGGTCTGAATTTTCACTCTATCCCACAAAGAGTGTTGTTTGGCCTATTTCTGTGTAACATTTGTTAAAGCTAAATAAGAGTAAACCTGCCTCAGGACCCACATAATTTCTTACTTTTCTAAGTTGTGTCATTTGTGTTTTACTTTAAGACTTTATTTAGATCAGAAATCAGGAGAAAGTGTTAAAAATCAGATGTGATGTGTTGCGTTTCCCCTACCTTTCCATCTTTCCTATGTATGGGCAGCAAACTGAAAATGACAAACTTCTAAATGAAGAACTGAAACTTCAGAGATCAGGCAATTTTTGTTTCATTTAGAGGAAGCTAACTGACTAGAATGCCAAGCTTAGTCGTGAAAAAACCAAAAGTCAGCAAGAAAGGACTAGGGACAAAAAAGTTGGAATTATAAGAGCAAGAAAAAAAGGGGTAAGTCTCACCAGCTGAGCTTTATAACCACAAAAGAACAACCACACAGAAGGGACAGGGGAAGAGGAGGAATGACAGAACATAAAATAAATGCAAGGAAAAGTCGGGGGGTGGTGGTTCTCACGGCACCTTCCAGTTTCCTCAACAAGGAAAACAGGGTGACCTCTTGGATATTAAGAGAATATAGCTGCTGAACACACAAACCTACACCACCATCTTAAATAATGTAAGTACTGAGGAGGCGGCACAGACTGAATAAGAGCCAGGTGACCTTAAAGTAAAAATCCGCCATTACTATCAAGTATCAGAGGGGTAGCCGTGTTAGTCTGGATCTGTAAAAGTGGAAGAAATTCCGATATCAAAAGTTTAAGTCTATCCACTCAAGACAATGTTCTAGTCTTCCAAACAGACAGGAAGTCAGATGAAGTACAGTGATACTAATGAATAAATATACCAAATGAATATACACCTCAAATACACATTGAAAATCCTTGAATATTTTCCCACCACATTATTGTTTAAAAGGCTGTTTCTGCAGCAGCCTCTTAAGGATTTCTGCTGCTCTAACTTCTGTAAGATGCTCATACCCAGAAGGGTGCAAAAGAATCCAGTTGCAGTCTAGTTTCCTAGGTAATTAGTTTAAGCAAAAAGAGGTGGTTATGCAAGTTGGAAATGTGTGCATGACAAATGACATGTCTGCAAGATACTAATATGCCCCTCTCCCAACCTCAACTGATTCACTACAATCACTCACATTTCTAGCTAAAAATGAAAAAAAGGGAAGAGACAAAAATTTATAAACCTGGAAACAAAGAACTAATGTTTTCTAACAGTATTTTAAATAGCATATTTCACAGTTAAAGCCAAGAATCAGTATTTCCACCATAGTCCTTGAAATCAACCATGGCTAAAACCTACCAGTTACACTGCATTAGTCATGGAAAAAAGCCCAGTATTTACACAGCATGGTAACTAGTGACTTATACTGTTTTTTAATCTCAAATTTCTCTTAAACTTGTTTATTGCGTTTTTACCTCTTTTTGAGCAATGCCCATTCTGTCCCTCCAGTGCATCAAAACCAGATCAACTTTCTCTTTGGCAAATTTTTCTACTTCTTTAGCAGCTTTTCCAGCCAATCTCTGCCACTCGGGCACTTTACTAAGCTTGCCATACTGGTCCTGCGGAACAAAACTTATCAGTAACTTGTGATTAAATTTCTGTTTAATAAGTGTACTGGAAAAGATGAGCATCAATATTTTACAACAGTTTCTCCCCTCCCTCCCTCATTTAAATAGTAGGTACGGTACATGGAACAAGTTACACAGCTGAATAGAGAATCAGTCATTTAAAGCTCACCATTCTTTTTAGATAAATACAATTTTTCTACTTACAGTTGCAATTTTTAAGTTATCCCTAATATGCATCCGGTCAGCATCCTTCTCAGGAACAGGATCAGCGCTGTCCAGGTACGCCAGCAAACCTGGTGGCTAAATCCACAAAAGAAATAATTTGTATTCCATAACCGTTCTCTGAATTCAAGAGTAAGTCATTCCGGTGTAAGTGCATAATGTAGGTAAGTAGTCTATCATATACAAACCCCCTAAATTAAAAGAATGGAAATATTGCCACATACTTGTCAAACACTTGCAAGTTAGGAAATGCTAACACTAAAGTTGCACAGGCAACGTTAATCTGGCCCCCCCTTGTGCATATACATTCAGATAGTATGTAATTAAAGACTATTTTCCCCCCACAGAACCCTGCTTCACTCAGTACACAGGATGGACTGTACTCAAGAAGTTAATCAGGGTTGCATAGTGAGCAGAATGTTGTATGTAGGACCCCTGCCCCATTTGTTGGGGAAGCTGGAAGTTGTGTAGTGAATGAAGCAGGGGACTGCAGGAAGAGACACAGGATGGCCTTATGTTTAATGCAGTTAATCAGGGGCATCTGGCACTGGCTTCTGTCTGAAGACAGGATACTGGGCTAGCTGAACCTTTGGTCTGACCCAGTATGGCCGTTCTGATGCAAAAGCCACTCTACCCATGCCACAGAGTTCCAATGAGATTTTCCCAGAGGCTTAGAACTGCCAAATTTGCTGTCTCCATGAAAATTAGCACAAGAGACATCCCTGACACCAGGGCAATCCCCATGCCCAATTTTGAGCCCCTTCCCAGAAGCATGGAGATGCTAGAACTTGCCAGTGATGGTTGAAAGTATTTAACATAGTTTTTCCCATGTATTTCTTTGCCTTAACTGAATTTTTGTTTTGTCTTTTTAAAGAAAGTTCAGCCTGAAACAGAGACCCGGCAAATATCAGCCAGAATGGTTGAAGTTTGACAAAATTATAAGCACTGAAAACTCAGTCCAATAATGGAAAGGGTAAGGCAACCTTAAACTATTTTATAGAAGTTCTTAGATACTACACTGATAAGGAAGTAAAAAGTGCCTTCCAGCAGTTCTTTAAGCAATGAGTAACAGCAGCATAGCTATAAGCATAGCTACTAGATCCACCTAGAATCAAAGATTTTAGCAAGTTTCCCTTGGACTAGGATACTAGCCAAATGAACAATGATTGCATCATAACTTTCCCTCACCCCAAAAGCCAAACCCTTCAATGTAAAGCAATAAAGTTAGCTGTTTGGCAATGCTTCCAATAAACTTACTTAAACTTTTAAAAAGCATTATTTACTATATCTCCTGTGCCCTCGTTAGAGCTTGCCCCTTTACTGGCTTCACTCCACACTCTTTCCTGTTCTTCTCAGGTATAGTTAGTTGAAACTTTTTACAACTAAAGAGAATACCAACATTTGAGGACACATGAACTGACCAAAAAAAATATTTAGAAGTGGTGTTTAAAAAGAGTAGATCACTCACTTACCAAAATACGTTTCAACAAGCTCATAGCAGTTGCATTTTCAGCTGTCCAAAGGCCCACTAAATGTCTACTTAGCTGTCTGAAAAATGAAGACATGAGAAATTTTTACTGTTGTCTTGGCTAGAACAGTAGGTTTTTAATCATTACTGTGAATTCAGTACCGCCTTGTAAGAGAGTTTACATTGTCAGCACATCCAACACTCAGATGACCTTTGTTCACAAGAGCAAGAATAAAAGGTATGTTAATGTGAACTACGTATCTTTTTGTAAAGCCCTTCAACTTGCTGCTCTTTAACTTCCCCATGCAGACCCTGCTGGCATGCTCTAAAAAAAACGGTTACTTACTTTCTCATAACGGTTGTTCTTCGAGATGTGGTGTTCATGTCCATTCCAAGCAGGTGTGTGCATGCCGCGTGCACTCCAGCTGGAAGATTTTTCCCCTAGCAGCGTCCGTAGGGTCAGCCTGGGCGCCCCCTGGAGTGGCACCTTCATGACGCCCAATATCGGGCCCCGCCGACCCCCACACCCTCAGTTCCTTCTTGCCGACTATTCCGACAGAGGGGTAGGAGGGTGGGTATTGGAATGGACATGAACACCAGATCTCAAAGAACAGTTACGAGAAAGTGAGTAACCGTTTTTTCTTTGAGTGATCGTTTATGTCCATTCCAAGCAGGTGATTCACAAGCTAGAGCTCAGAAGGTGGGGTCGGAGTTATCCACAGAAAAGAGCACGGCTCGCCCAAAAGCCACATCGACCCTGGACTGTCCTGTAATTGCATAGTGCGACATAAATGTATGTATCAAGGACCACGTGGCTGCCCTGCAAATTTCCTGAATAGGGACTTGTGCCAGGAATGCCGCAGAGGAGGCCTGGGCCCTGGTAGAGTGAGCGGTTATCTGCGGAGCGGGCTCCTTTGCCAGGGTATAGCACTCCCTTACGTAAAAGAATAGACAGACACAAATCAGACGTCAAGAATTATAACATTAAAAAACCAGTTGGAGAACACTTCAATCTCTCTGGTCACTCGATTACAGACCTAAAAGTTGCAATTCTTCAACAAAAAAAACTTCAGAAACAGACTCCAACGAGAGACTGCTGAATTGGAATTAATCTGCAGACTGGATACAATTAACTTGGGCTTGAATAGAGACTGGGAGTGGATGGGTCATTACACAAAGTAAAACTATTTCCCCATGTTTATTCCCCCCCCCACTGTTCCTCAGACGTTCTTGTCAACTGCTGGAAATGGCCCCACTTGATCACTACAAAAGGTCCCCCCCCCCCCCCCGCCCACTCTCCTGCTGGTAATAGCTCACCTTAAGTGATCACTCTCGTTACAGTCTGTATGGTAACACCCACTGTTTCATGTTCTCTATGTATATAAATCTCCCCACTGTATTTTCCACTGAATGCATCCGATGAAGTGAGCTGTAGCTCACGAAAGCTTATGCTGAGATAAATTTGTTAGTCTAAGGTGCCACAAGTTCTCCTTTTCTTTTTGCAAATACAGACTAACACGGCTGCTACTCTGAAACAGGGAGCAGGTGACCAGAGGTTCAAATGGCGGGCTTGTAAGCCTGGAGAGGACTAAATTGAGGTCCCAGGCAGGGACAGGCTGACGCATGTGTGGGAAGAGCTTGTCCAAACCCTTGAGGAAACAACTGGGCATAGGGTTTGCAAAGACCGAGAGACCATCTGAGCCTGGATGGAAGGCAGAGACAGTGGCCAAGTGGACCCTTATTGATGACCGGGACAAGTCTTAATGCTTTAGGTGAAGGAGGTAGTCCAGTATAAACTGTATGGAGGCGAGGAGCGGCAACTGACTACGTTGCTCCGCCCAGATGGCCAGGTAAGTAGCCCTGGTGGAGGGCTTTCTAATACCCAGGAGGACTTGTCTGACCTGGTCCGAACAAGACAGCTCTGCAGCACTTAGCCATGGAGCATCCAGGCCGTAAGGTGGAGCGACTCCAGATTCGGATGCCGGAGTTGGCCCTGGTCCTGTGTGATCAGGTCAGGGACCAGCAGTAAGGTGAGTGGGGCCACTATGGACATTTCCAGGAGCGAGGTGAACCAGCGCTGACGCGGCCACGCCGGCGCTATAAGTAGGACTTGGGCCCGGTCCCTGCGGATCTTGTGGAGCACCCTGTGGACTAGGGGGATGGGTGGGAAAGCATACAGAAGGCAGCCCTCCCATGAGAGAAGGAAGGCGTCCCCGATGGACCCCAAGCTGTGGCTCCCGAGGTAACAAAATGTCTGACATTTCCTGTTGCCCGGAGTGGCAAACAGGTCTATCTGGCGAGAGCCCCAGAACCGGAAGATTGAGCTCATCACGTCTGGCCGAAGGGACCACTTGTGGCCATTGAAGGTCTGGCTGAGGCTGTCCATCAGTGTGTTTCGCACCCCTGGGAGACATGAAGCCTGCAGGTGGATCGAGTGCTCTATGCAGAAGTCCCACAGCGCAAGGGCTTCTCAGCACAGGAGAGAGGAGCGTGAACCCAGTTTGTTGATATAAAACAACGTTGAGGTGTTGTCTGCGAGGACTGAAACACATCTGCCCATTATGTGCATTTTGAAAGCGTAGCATGCCAGACACACTGCCCTCAGCTCTTTGACATTGATGTGAAGAGCGAGGTCAATTGGAGACCAGAGGCCTTGGGTCTTGAGGTCCCCTAGGTGAGCCCCCCAACCCAGATCCAAGGCGTCTGACACCAAGGTGAGCGAGGGCTGGCAAAAGGCACCCCGGTGCAAACCATTCGAGGGTCGAGCCACCATACGAGGGAGTCCAGTACCAGGTGGGGCAGGGTTACGACCCCGTCCAACGCATCTCTGGCTGGTCGGTACACCGACACCAGCCAAGGCTGTAGTGGGTGCAGCCTGAGCCTGGCATGCTGCACCACATATGTGCAGGAGGCCATGTGTCCCAGCAGCTTTAGACAGTTTCTTGCCGACGTTGTGGGGAACCATCTGAGGCTCTGTATGATGTCCTGAAGTGGGCAAAACCTGGCCTCCGGGAGGTATGCCGTGGCTTGGGTAGAGCCCAGGACCGCGCCTATGAACTCTATCCTCTGCACCGAGGACAGAGTAGATTTCTCCTCGTTCAGGAGGAGATCTAAGTCGAGGAAGGTCCTCCTTATAAACTTGACCTGAGTCTCCACCTGGGCTCTCGAGCGACCTCTGATCAGCCAGTCATCGAGGTATGGAAAAACCTGTATCTGGTGTTTGCGCAGGAACGCCGCGACAACTGCCATACATTCTGTAAATACTCGGGGGGGGGGGGGTGTCAGTTGACAGTCCGACCGGCAGGACGGCTAACTGGTAGTGGCCTCTGTTCACCACGAACCTGGAGGTACTGTCTGCGATGTGGGACTATTGTGATATGAAAATACACTTCCTTCAAGTCGAGGACGGCGTACCAGTCTCCTGGATCCAGTGAGGGGATAATGGAGGTTAGTGAGACCATGTGAAACTCGAGTTTCTTTATGTACTTGTTGAGCTGTCGCAGGTCCAGCATGGGTCTGAGGCCCCCCCTTGGCCTTCGGTATGAGGTAATACCAGGAGTAGAAACCCTTGCCCCTTAGTTCCTGAGGAAACTCTTCCACTGTCCCTACCGAGAGGAGGGACTGCACCTCTTGAATTAGAAGTTGCTCGTGAGAGGGGTCCCTGAAGAGGGAGGGGGAAGGGGGTTGAGTGCAGAATTGGATGGAATATCCCCTCTCTACCATGCGGAGCACCCACTGGTCTGAAGTAATTCCAGACCAGGCATGGTAGAAAGGGGATAGACGGGACGAGAAAATAAGATGGGAAGGATCCAAAGGTTGTACTGGCAAGCCGTCCTCGACCGTACCCTCAAAAGGGTGGTCTAGAGTCCGGTGGGGCCCTGGGCTGGCCAGAGCTTTGTCTAGAGGGAGGGCATTGCCTCCTCAGGAGTGCTCCTGTTCTGCCTACACGGAGCGTCCTGGCGGTTTTGGGGTTGGTAAGAATGAGGGGAAGGTTGAGGCCTAAAATGTCTGCGCTGGGTAGCAGGCGTGAGAAGCCCCAGCGAACAAAGGGTAGCCCTCAAGTCCTTCAAGCTGTGAAATCTCTTATCCGTCTTCTTGGATAAGAGAGCTACACCCTCGAAGGAGAGATCTTGAATGGTCTGCTGGACCTCGTGGGGAAGACCAAAGACCTGTAGTCAGGAGCCTCTCCTCATAACTACCCCTGGGGCCGAAGTGCGGGAGGCCGCACCCGCCGCATTGAAGGCTGCTTGCAAAGACGCTCAGGAGACCAGTTTCCCCTCCTCCACGAGTGCAGAGAACTCCCCCCGAGCTTCCTGGGGCAGAAGTTCTGTAAACTTTGCCATAGACAAGCAGGTGTTATGCCTGTAGCGGCTTATTATGGTCTTCTGGTTGGCTATACGAAGTTGCAGGCCTCCTGTCGAGTAGACCTTCTGGCCAAACAGGTCCAGTTTCTTGGCATCCCTGTTTTTAGGGGTGGATTCTTGAAACCCTTGACATTCTCTCCGATTGGCCACGTCAACCACCAAAGAGTCCGGAGGAGAGTGGGTGTAAAGATGTTCATACCCTCAGAGGGAATAAAGTAGTGGTGCTCGGATTTCTTGGCCGTAGGTGCCAGAGAAGCGGGAGTTTGCCACAAGTTCTTAGATGTTTCAGTTATCGACTTGATAAATGGCACTGCAACCCTGGATGGGCTGGAGGGAGCCAGGACGTCTATGACAGGGTCTAAATCCTCTTCCACCTCCTCTGCCTGAATCCCCAGGCTTTGGGTGGCCTGCCTCAAAAGCTGTTGAAGAACCTGGTTGTCCTTGAAAGCTGGGGCCGTCCAAGTCCCTGCAACCGCTTCATCGGGTGAGGACGAGGAAGAGAGAACATGAGGTGGGCCCAGTTCACTGCCTTCCACTCTCCCTGCCCCCCCGGGGTCCCTCGGCACACGGTACTCAGGCTGTGGAGCCAGTACTGATGAAGAACCCTGCGCCGCAGCCAGTGCCAGGGCAGGTAAAACTGGTGGGACCGAGACCGTTGGGGTCGGTAGGGACGGAGCTGAGGCTTCCACCAGTGCTGTCACCTAGAGCGCCGGTGCTGGAGCTGGCTGGAAACCATGTGAGTCAGCAGGGCCACTCTGCCCGAGGGCTGCGCCGTCATCAGCGGCGCTGACTGTGGCACGAACAACGCCAAGGACACTGACACCGTTCTGGAGCATGGACCATGGACTTGACCCTGGCTCTGACGGTACGCCCAGGGTGTCCAGAAGGGCTATTGAGCCAGTGGTTGCCACTGTTGCTGCCACGGTGCCGGGTATGGTTGGTGACTGCGCCGGGACCTGGACCTTCTGCTTCGCGATCTGCTAGATCGAGCCGAGTCCGCCTCCGACTCGGAGGTCTCCAAATAAGATGACCATGGAGGAGCAGTCCTCTGGGTTGCCAACAAACGACAACTCAATTTCGGGAAGCGGTGCGCTTCCTGCATCTGTGCGGACGGTGCCAGAGATGGAGACCGATGGGCTGTCATGGTTGGCTTATCCCTGGAGTGGCAAAGGGGGCATGCGGTTGCCACAGATTTGTCCCTCCTTTGGGGGAGGACGGCACCGGGAGGCACATCAAGTCCATTGCCACCTCGAACGCCTCCAGCGTCGATGGTGGTTGTACGTCCACCAGATGGTCCGGGGACCGAGGAGGGGTTCGGACTCGACTGGACCCCAGCCGGGTCAGGAGTCGACGAAACCCTGGGCGGAAGCGAGGTGTAGGTGTTCTGTCCCGAGCGACTCGCGGATGGCACCGGTCCCTTAGATTTCAAGGGGGGCAATCGGTCCCTCACCGGCCTCCTCTTCTTTACCGGCACTGGAGATGGAGAACGGTGCCGAACTGAGGCCGACGCCCAATGGCCCGAGCAGTGGCAGTGGGCTTTAGAGTCCTTAGCAGGGCCCTATTGGCACCGGAGCACTGCGCACTGAAGAGGACGTGCTCGGTGCTGGGTCACTGGGTCCCGGGTCAGATTGCTGTCTCAGAGCCGCCTCCATGAGCGGGAGTTTTAGTCTCTGCTCTCTGTCCTTAAGGGTTCTTGGCTGGAAACCCTTGCAAATACGGCACTTCTCCTTTTGGTGAATCTCACCAAGGCACTGCAGGCAAGATGAGTGAGGATCACTCTTGGGCATAAACTTTCTACAGGACTCATGGAGTTTAAACCCCGGAGATCCGGGCATATCCCCAAAGGGGAAACGAACTATCTAACAAACCACTACCTACTATGTGAAGAAGTATAACTATAGAGAATAGCTATTGAACTATGTACACTAAGAACAGACACTGCTAAGGCGCTTGCTGTAAGAGCGAGCAAAGTTCCAGCTAGCCGTCATGGGCGGTAAGAAGGAACTGGGGGAGGGAGGGGGGGGTGTCGGCGGGGCCTGATATTGGGCACCATGAAGGCGCCACTCCAGGGGGCGCCCAGGCCGACCCTACTGACACTGCTAGGGGAAAAATCTTCCAGCTGGCATGCACGCAGCGTGCACACACCTGCTTGGAATGGACAAACAATCACTCGAAGAAGAAGGTACGTTAATTTGAACTAGTTACCTTTTAAAGCATGCTAGCACGGTCTACACGGAGCAGTTAAAGACAGAAACATACTGGAAAGCTTTACGAATTGCACCACTTTGGTGCATATTGCCAGTGCCATGTAGATAAGCCTAAAGTTATACTTGGAGACAATGATAAAAGTAGAATTTTCACAAACAGATCACATATCTGAACAAATAGAGGAAGGCACTCCAAAGGCAGACTACTAGGGAAAGATTATCCTTCCCCCATACGTTCCCATAAGAAAGTTTAAGTATCCAACTTACATAGTAAGCAAAGAAATGTATGCCATCTTGATCATTAAGGCCACATTAAAACTGGACTGTATGAGGAATTCAAGAAAAGTGAGTAGTGACATCTTGTTTGTGAAATTGTACTTTTTGTACTGTCACATTTAAAGTGCTTCTAGGCAAAGCAGTTAAAATGCAAAGAAAATGTCTAACACTACACCCAGTCATAATAGAGTACTTCACTTGAACCATTTAAATATGCAAATTAAGCTTAAAATGAAGAATGATTCTTCTAAAACAAGAATGGAAGCTTCCAATGTTTCAGCTTTCCCACATATGAATAATGCAAATATTAACCATCACATGAAATAGCAAATGAACTTGACATACCTATTTGTCAGCATCCTTTGATCTGCGCTTATTGTAAACATAGCAGTACGTAAATGACGAGGTAAGGCACCTTCACTGAGGGCGAGATCTTGCATTTTGGTAGCAATCTCTTTATCTCCTTCCTTTGGAAACAGGACAAGATGATTACTATGGAGAAAATATTAATTGAGCTGTTCTATCTTTAGTTTACAATATTCATTACAAACTATTTTGACCATTTGACTCATTTAAGTACATGCATTTTGGGTAATTCTGAATGGTTAATTTGGGACTTCTATTCAGGATGCCTCCTACATAGCTTTAAAAAATGAATTCTCAGCAACAAGGATCAGAGGATCTAACTGCAGTGAAGTCACAAGAACAGAAGCTTTCCAATTTGCTATAACAGGAGTACTTGTGGCACCTTTGAAACTAACAAATTTATCTGAGCATAAGCTTTCATGGGCTACAGCCCACATCAACCCTGATGTGATTAAATGCCATCAGGGGCTTGTTCACCTGTACATCTACCAATGTGATATATGCCATCATGTGCCAGCAATGCCCTTCTGCCATGTACATTGGTCAAACCGGACAGTCTCTACACAAAAGAATAAATGGACACAAATCTGACATCACGCATCATAACATTCAAAATCCAGTAGGAGAACACTTCAACCTCTCTGGTCACTTAGTAACAGACTTAAAGGTGGCAATTTTGCAACAGAAAAGCTTCAAAAACAGACTCCAACGAGAAACTGCTGACCTGGAATTAATTTGCCAACTAAATACCATTAACTTGAGCTTGAATAGCGACTGGGAGTGGCTGGGTCATAACACAAATTGAATCTATTTCCCATGTTAAGTATCCTCACACCTTCTTGTGAACTGTCTGAAATGGGCCATCTTGATTATCACTACAAAAGTTTTTTTTCTCCTGCTGATAATAGCTCACCTTAGCCTCTTAGAGTTGGTGTGGCAACTTCCACCTTTTCATGGTGTGTGTGTGTGCACGTGCGCATTATATAACACACACAAACATGAAAAAGTGGAAGTTTCCACACCAACTCTACGAGGCTAATTAAGATGAGCTATTATGTCTATCTATCTTCTTACTTTATGTTCCATTCTATGCATCTGATGAAGTAATCTGTAGCCCAGGAAAGCTTATGCTCTAATAAATTTGTTAGTCTCTAAGGTGCCACAAGTACTCCTATTCTTTTTGCGGATACAGACTAACAGTTGCTACTCTGAAACCTGTCAATTTGCTATAAGACATTAGTTTAAATAGCCATTACAACCTAAAAATGGCATATTTAGAGTAACACCAAATTTGCTCATTTTAGAAGGAGTGATGTTTTGCTCCCCAGCAACCAGCCCCACAAATTCAACCTGGTATCTGAAAGAAAAGCTGGATTTTCTTGTGTACTACCATCAGTTAAAGAGTCTGCAACTTGAACTTAGTTAACAGTGCTGGGCTTCACAGTTCAGGGCAACTGGACCCATATTTCCCACAGTGGTCCAGCAAGGGCACCTACTCTCAGGCTTCCACCAACTCTGACTTACAGCTTCCCAACAGCTGCCTTTCTTGGATGAAGACCTGTCTCTCACTCCCTTCTGACTGGGCTATTTCCAGGCTGCACAGGTCCCTGCCTTCACTGTGTTATTCCCAGCAGAGCCAGGCTTCCCAAACACACCTGCTTGCTTTCAGAGACTGACAGAATGCTTGTCAATGGTTATAAGCTACCAAACAGCTCTTCTTATTCAAGCCTATTTTATTCCTAAAATAAAAACCTACTCACATGTTAATAAGTTTACCAGAGATTTCCCAACCCTAACATGGGCTCTGACTGGAGCAGTCCCTCAAAACAGCTGACCCAAAGGGTTTCCTTTGGGTTTTAAATACATCACAGCTTCAGCTCAGAACACACACCCAGACTTATCAGTCTCAGTAGGCCCAGTCCTTCCTTCCAACCCTTGTCTAAGGACTTGGGGAGGACCTCCGTTTGTCAAGGGCCCATTTGCTAGATCAGGAAGAAGGTCTTGAGCCCGTTTAAAGCCAGTCTATTTGTCCAAAAAATCCTTGTCTAGGAGCCATGGAGAATTCAGTTTGAACTAGTATATGCATACCTCTCCCTGGGGGCAGCTTCAATGGGCTGATAATGGAGAAGGTACATTAGCATCCCTCTCCTACTAGAGAAAGTATATCCAACAGCTCAACACATACACAACTGCATTTTTACTGCAATGGACCTCAAAGGTATTAAACCTAATTCAATACAGTTTAGCTCAGTTCAAGAAAATTCAGTCTGTCACATTATATATGTACAAGCCAGAATAGACTCTCTCATTCTCCTATAGTCCTTCAAATCTTTACCACTGAAAACTTGGAACTGGTTTTTACTACTGACAAGCTGCAGATTCCAATTTCCTATTCAGGAAAGAAATAAAGCCACATTCAACACTTCTCAGCATGTTATCCCAAAGTAATTGTTATTTAAAAAAAAACAAAAACAAAAAACACTCACCTCTATTATTGCCTTCATAACCAAACCAGCTCCTTTTACAATTGCCATTGAAGGGTGCTGAAAAGAGTTCATTACAATTTAGCAACAGCACAAAGTAACTTCCATTTTTATGGGGAAACGAACCGTTCAATGGATAGGAAACTGAACTTCATCTAGGATGCAGTTCTGAATTCAGCTCTGGTCAAAAACTACCAAATTTTTATAGCTCAGGGCCCCTGAAATAAATTAAGAGCTCTGACCTGTTCCTATGAATAAGAGTCCATATTACAGTCATGCCAAGAGCACTACTGGCAGTTTTCTGGGTACTCTCAAAGACTGAAATGATCAAATGGATATGGAAACAATTCTTCTCGGCCTGGTCCGCACTACGAAGTTTTACAGGCAAAACTTACCATTTGCTAGAACAGCCTTATATGCAGCTACACACAATTTTAAATCCTGCTGACAAAACCCTGAGCTTCTGTTGGTCAAATTAAACCAGTTCCCAGAGCAGAAAAAACCCTCTACCAGCACTCTTCTACTGGCAAAATGCCTGTGTGGATGCTCAATTACTTATACTGGTACAGAGAGAGTTCTCCAGCAACAATCCCACAATGCCACTGTCCCCACAGACTTTTTGAACTCCACAATCGGTGACTGGAAGCCCATGCCCTTTTGAAATGCCTCTGTTCCTGCTAGCACATAGGTATGGCTTTAGGTAGTAAGAGAACAAAAAGGTCTCACCTGAAAGAGCTTAAAGAGGGTTCTCCCATTAGATGCTACCATCTCTAACAACATATCAAACTGCTGCCCTTCAGTTGTCTCACTATACGGAGCACAGAGGGCAAATGTAAGGAAGTCCAGAAGTGAACTAATAACAAGAGCACCTGTCCCATGATCCTGAAATTTAAATGAAGTGTATAAGAATTTTAATCATAGCAACTGGTTTTAAAATCTTTGCTTAGAATTTTTCGGTATTGTCCTTGGCTACAAAAGGAGTACACACACTTCCCCCCACCACCGTTACCTGTATTCTACTTGTAGCTAACAAATAGCAGTATTTCAAATACAGAAAGATAAAAACCATTGCTATCATTTTAGTGTGGCAAAACAAAAAAAAGTTTCCAGAGCATCCCACAAAGGATTCACAGTAGCAGTGAGTCCTCTAAACAGAGTTGAAAGGTTTTTTTTTTTTTTGAAAACCAGAAAAAGCTCAAATAAATCAGAGCACTACAGATCAGAGGAGCGACAGTTTCTAAGTAGTCCTTTTAGAGTCCTTGCAGGAGTTTGTTTTGTTGGAAAGGATTGATTTAACGGGAATGCTTTTCTGCCTATATTAGGCTGAACACATTCAAAAAAAGCTGATGAGAGCCCTCTAAGGGCATGTCTACACAGCCCTGCATTTTGGACAAAGGGGGTTTGAATAGGACCAAAGTGCTGCACTGTAACTCCTCTGCGTGGATGTTGCAGGCACAAACTTAAAGGTCCCGAGTTATCATGACTTTAGTCCTCTTTGGTAACTCAGGACCTTTAAATTCACACCTTTAGCATCCACACAGGGGAGTTACAGCATAGCACTTTGGTGCACACTGCTATTCATATGCCCTTAGTGCAAACAGCAGGGCAGAGTAGACTTGCTCTTAGGTTCTGTGGAAAGCTTTCACTCGTCTCCCCAGATACAAACTGACTGAACACAGTCTCAATATCAATTACAGATATATTTTTGGGTTTGAGCCACCAGTGCAAACTTCTCTTATGGCAAAGATACGCACAAGCTTACGTTAAAGGACTTGCTACATATGACCTGTCAAACCCTCAACCTTTAATATTTCAGTACTTTTTCACGAACTATGCCTTAATCTATGACTTACCACATGAGAATTAAATTTCTCTAATAAGTTTTCCAGAAACTTCTTTGAAGAAAGAAGGGAAGCTTTGTTCAGCTGCTCTTGCCTCAAGTCGTAATCATCATGCATAGGCTATTTGACAAAGAAAGCATTCACAAATGCAGTCATATTTCAGCCTTCGAACTAAACTTAAAGATCTGAACAAGTCTTTTGATGTAGCTGAATGAAGCTACAGTCCACCAAAATTTAATACTAACAGTGAACTCATGACAAAGGAAAACAAGCTAGTTAGGAGAGTGAATCCTATTTCTACTTCTAAATAACCATGGACAACCGAGTCTACTCATGTGATATCCTACTATTTCAACCTGGGATATCCTATGTACACTGCAAGATACGCATGCACTACACTTTCCACACAAACCCCATTTTCAGAGCCTTGCAATTCACACATTTAATAGTTTCAAAATAGGAAATATCTTATTCTGTAACATAGTTGTGAGTTAAACACTTACACACATGAGAGCACACAGCATGTCAATAGAAGCATGGGTTACTCCATCATTGTTTCTTTTAAGAGCTTTTACCACCTTAACTCCTAGACGTTCCCGAAATCTGTCACAAGAAAAAAGGTAATTTAAAATGGATATTGCAAGTGCGTTTACATTTTAGGTATCAAGATATTTTTCTAAAAAGCCTTTGATATCAAGCCTTTGAGCAGCTCACTCAGTATTTAGGGCTCGTCTATGAGACCTGTTAGTGTGCAGCAAGCTGGGGTATAAGTCTACCTCACGCTACCCTGCTGCATACTAATGGCTCATTTTCACTAGCACGCTACATTGGTGCCACTGCATCACATCAGGTGAAGATACATTGCGTCGACAGGAGAGCACTCTCCCGTCAACGTAATTACTCCACCTCAACAAGAGACGGAAGCTATGTCGGCAGGACAGCATCTCCACCAACAAAGTGGCGTCTACACCGCGCTAAATCAATGCAACTTACGTTGCTCAGGCGGTGGTTTTTTCCACACACCCGAGTGACGTAATTTATATTGACTAAAGCCGTAGTGTAGACAAGGCCTGAGTTTCTGCATGGACCCTTCTGCTGTGCACTAAAGATTCTGAAGTTCACTTTGATCTACTTCCATTTCAAAGCAGAGTAGATCAAAGTGCACTACAGAATCTTTAGTGTGCAACAGCAGGGTCCACATGGAGAGTTAGGATATGTCTACACAGCAAAGAGAAAAACTGCAACTGGCCCGTGCCAGCAGACTAGCTCGTGCTGCAGGGCTGTTTCAGTGCTGTGTAGCCTGCCGGGCTTGGGCTGAAGCCCAAGCTCTGGGACCCTCCCACACTGCAGGGTCCTAGCACCCAGGCTCCAGCCCGAGCCTGAAATTCTACACAGCAGCGAAACAGCCTTGAAGCTTGAGCCCCATGAGCCTGAGTCAGCTAACACCAGCCAGCCGTGGGTCTAGTTGCTGTGTAGACATACCCTTAGAGCCCAGCAGGATGGTGTGGGGTAGACTTAGCGTGGAGCAAGCTGGGGTGTAACTGCTCATATGTTCACAAGCCTTTAGAGGACCTCTCTATATATTTTCCTTTTCTTTCATTTCAACTAAACAACGTACATTATGGCCAAAAGAAAGTGGAGCCCAAAAGCCCAAAGTCAGAGTTCAAAGTATGACATAATGGTAGTTACAGTAAGGACATGGACTTACTAAATGCACAAAGGAAATTAGCTATCACTTTACATGACCAGTGAAGAGTTTACAATAGACTAACGCCCAAATAATCAGAGAATTCAGTTCTTAAAAGAAAAGTAAGTATAGCTACAAGAAGATTTTATTTTAAATTTGCCCAATTTGTTCTATTTATAAAATTTTTCACAATAACCTTTTAAAAGCCACATACATACTCTTAACACATATAATGAAGGCTAAACTGATTTCATTTTCACAAAATAGCCTAATTGCAACAATGAACAAGACATGCACAATTTCTTCAGAAAGTCAGTCAAAAGGTTTCCAAGATTGCATCTTAAATCTTTAAGCCAATTATGAGTATGCCAATTTGCAACATCTCAAAACCTACTTCCTTCACTTCTTTCTTTTTGCCCCTCAAATACATGCAATCTAAGGTGTAACTGACTTTACACTAAGCTTGGTGCTCACTGCACCTTTTATCCCCTGGGGAATGTATGGAATTTGTAATTGCAGCTGATGTGTCACCAGAAAGATTAAACCAGAGGTAGTCAATTATTTTTTAGTCCAAATTTCTTGGTGAAGGTATAAGTCAAGGTCCAGAAGCCAGAGAAAACAAAAAACAATAATGAAAAGTAGTAAATAAAGATTTTGGGGTTCATTCAAGAGTGTCTGGCAGTCCATCTATTGACTACCCCTGGATTAAGCCATTATATTTGTTCAATGGGGGAAGAAAAAAAAAATCAGTTTTACCAGTAAATATTTAACATACACTATAACTTAAAAGCAGAACCATAGCTGGCAACGCTAAAAGATTAAAGCTTAGTGTTGAGAACCCCTAATTTAGAAACTGTCAGCAAGATGCAGTTTACGCTACCAGGTGATCCAGTACCAACCACCTTATAGTCTTACATACATGAAACTGCTACTTTATAGAAGTTTTTCTGACGCCTCAGCTATTATGGATGATCCCAACCTCAATGCAGATTCAACGTTTCAAGGAGACTAGTGAGTATAAGCCTTTAGAACATTATTTAAGCGGATAGCAGGAAACTCTTACTTAGGAAGCTGAGTAAAGGCAAGGAAGCCAGCTTTTGAAGCAACTAGTCGTCTCACAGCTTGGAACTGGCTTTCAAGTTCTGCGTTAGATGCTACAATGTCCCCCTCTTGAGACAGTAATGCTGTTATGGCATTATTAATCAGTTTCTCCTTGTTTTCAGAGAACAGACCCTAATAAAAGAGTAAGAGCCATTAATACTTGCATAAAGTAACAAAAACTGTAAGACGTTGGGCAGAGAATTAATTCTTACATCTTGTGTTACTGCATGCAGAACTCCACTGTATGAGATGTTAGCATTGAACCTGAACACAGCATCTGCAAAATTGCCATCTGCAATGAGAAACAAAATGTAGTTGAGAGTTACATATTTTAAATGGCTTAAAGATATGTTGTGCTATAAAAAAGAATGCACTTTGAACTGAAGTAAAAGCTGAGCTTACTTGGAGGAGCAGCTAAGAACCGGAGGTGAAGGCTCTCTACTTCCTCATCTACAGGCATACTCAGCAATCCCCAGCGCTGACCTTTGTGCGTTGGGGTCATTTTCACACATACATCTCTATTGCCAGAGGCTCTTACTCCATCCAGCAAGCTAGCTAACAGGGAATCTCTGAGAAGAGAGAAAAATGTTTAGACACTTATTACCCTGTGAATTTAGACACTTAACTGGAAAATTATGATTGTTATAAGGAAAAGGTTGAGCACACTGACTGAACCGTAAGTACATGTGCCCAATATTTCTACTGGAATTCACACAGATCAAGGTTTTCCACTCTTTAAAGTATGCAATGCTACCAAATACAAACAACTGCATGAGCCAATGACCTGACAAAACTATAGTGGAACTCTTCCACTAACAATAAGAGATATGTAAAGTGATAGTGGATGGTGCAGTATGGTAAGGAAAGTAGTATTTCAGCTAGACTAGATTTTTCTGGCCTATTTTTTCTTGCATGTGCTACATTCCTTTGTTTTCTGCACACAAGCACCTTGCTCTACAATCAGAGGTGTCCAGCCTATGGCCCACGGACCATTCACAGGCCACCAGAGCATTTCAGAAGGCCCACTGCCCGCTTCCACACAATATATTAACAACTCATTCATTAGCACTCTGCTGTCATGTTTACATCATTTTAGTTTACACAAGGGTGTAAATAGGCTGTTTCTATGTACAGTATTGTCTAACTAAATACATACAAAATAAGCTGAACTTAAAATATAAATCAATACAGGTGACTTTAAATCTTAATATGTAGAATCTATTTGGCCCCCATAAGTTTGTGCTTAGGTTTATATGGCCCTCCTGTGTAATAAGTTGAGCACCACCACTCTACATAATGCCCTCAGCCACATTTAATCCATACAGGTATGGTGGACAGACAAAGAGGGGGAAAGGGCGGGGGAGGAGGAGAGAGGAGAGACCAGACCAATTCAGTTCAGACAGTAAACAGTACTGGCACATGGTTACCAGCTAAACATCTAGGATTTAACATATTAGCTTTCAATCAATACTTGTTTCTCAAGATAGAGCTTGTTAATACTGTCTCTCCTCTAATCAACCTACTTCCTAACACTCCAGTTTGTTTAAACAGCACGTCTAACTACAAAACTTTTCAAAACCTCGTCAATTACCTTGACACCAAGTGGACAAAATATATATTTCTAACTGACCCTCTATAACTGTTCACCTGTATGGGATAATATAAGTGTAGGAGAAAAATTTTTTTTAAAGTTTCTTCCACTATCCCATTTACTGAAAGCAGATAGATATGGAACACCAAGGAGTTCACAAATTTAAGTGAGACGTCACATGTTATCTGTTTGAGGTAGTACAGGCATCTTCAAGGGGGAAGTCAGAGAATTGAAGGCAGGCTTTGAATGAAGTGAGTCTGAATTTGGCCCTTGAAGGTGTTTTTAACTTCACACAGCTTACATTATATTTTTGTCATTCAACTAATTTCCCATTTACATTTCCCTGTAATCAAACTTTTAAAATACCTCTCTGTTGAAGAATATCTTCGGATTTGTCCCTTGATAAATTCAATGGTAAAAAGCTGTGGATTTTCACAATCACGTACCAGTGCAAATACCTAAAAAGAAGAAGCCATGTAATGAGACCACCCACACTTATAGGAAACATTTAATGCAATTCTCAGGTAGTCAAGGAAGTGAATTGTTGAACCAATGCTCAATGTTACAATATATACTCAAGTTTCAAGGAAATGACCCCAAAAAAAAAACGAACTGCAAGTGTAATCAGAACTTCCTAGAATTTGTTGTGTCAGCTTTTTTGATTTAGGTTTTTTCAAAATGAATCCCAAGAATGGTTTCTGCATCTTTAGAAAATGGGGTCTGACAGAATGAACACAGTAAATAGTACTAATAAGTGAACTTCAATTTTAATTGTCACGCTGCAGTAGTACTATAGAATATTGTATTTTAATAGTCAAAATGTATTATTCTAAACAGGATTGTCACCTACCTCTCCTAGAGGTTTCAGTGTCACAATATTATACGTAGCAGGATCCCGCTCTACTAAGCAAGTTTCTGTAAGGGCTAATATTCTTTTCACAGGTTCCTTAAAGAAAAAACATGTTAGAAAAGGGGACCTCTTTTTTAGCCACCTAATAAATCAAACAAATAAGATGTAGTCTAAGTTTGTAGACCTTACCGAATGTCTAGGTGTTATTTTTTGAACAATAAATTCTGCTAAAGATGTGATAGATTCATCATTGCTGTATTTCCCAAAGCGAAGGCTCAAGTATTGCTCAAATTCTAAAGCTTCTTTCCTTATTCGGAGAGAGATGCCTATATAATTGCCAGCATGTTCTATTGCACTTTTGATAATTTCTTCCCTTTGCTCAGATGCAAACATATGCTGCAAATTTTAGAAAGATATATTTAGGTAAGTTTAACACAAAAAATAAGAAAACTGAACATCAGCTGTAATCCGCTCAGGCTTAAAGTTTCTTAATAGTTATAAAAAAAGTGAACTTGTTTATATTGCATGACCGTCTGATTTTTTTTTTATTAGTATCATTTACTAGTGAATGTTGTTAACTTGAACAAATGACATATTTTCCCCCCTCCACACAACTAGAAACACTATGACAATAAAGAATTAACATTTCTCCTCAGCACTTTGTAACTTGACCTCACTAGTTAAAATGGTTATAAAAATATTTTAAGTAAAAAGACATTTTCCTAAAATAATCAGAAATAAAGTATTATTCAGAAGTTAATAATCAACAATACCCATTGTAAGTTTTTTGTAAAAAAGAAATAAGAAACTCAGTATGTCTTGAATCGCTTAACTCATGTTTCCCTCTTTAATAAATAGAAAATTAAAACAATTGTGGCAGCAGTGATGTAAAGAATCTAAAAAGTTTAAGGTAATTCCTATTGCAGAGCTATCTTATTTTGCTGCACACCATTCAATTGCTTGCAGTGTAGTCCACAATAAATGGCTTAGGATTTTTATTTTAATTCTGCATGGCTGTATGGGTTCTCTGCTCCCTCATTTTAACTTGTTCCACTCAAGTTTATACACAGGCAGATAATAGCCAGTCTCCCAGTTAGTACTCAAGGGGACTTGGACAGAATTCTGTATTAAATGTTTTATTGAACCAACTTCTGTTGATGAAAGAAGCTTTCAAAGTCTGTGGAGATTAAAAGCTCGTCTCTTTCACCAACAGAAGTTGGCCCAATGTCACTGCCATATCCTGGGACCAACATGGCTACAACACTACCAATATTAAATGTTGTATAATTGGCCCTGTTGAACTTACCAAACTATTCAATCTACAAGCCATTTATTATCTGCCATGTAGTGATTTGAACTTACAGGCAGGAGAATGAGACAGCCTCATACTTATTCTGTTTATGTAAAAAACTTCTCATGACTTGATATACATATGTCTAAAATGTTATAATACTCACCAATCTACTAAATCCTCCATAAAGTATAGCGAAACCTCCCTGATAGTCAGAGAGATCAGCAAAACCTTCAATATTTCTGTAGTCATAGGAACACAGGACTTTATTAGTTGCAGGATTAATTTGATCAAACCCTCCAGGAGTCACTTCCAGAATCACAGGTTTTCTCACGTCACTCCAGTGATGCTTATAACAGTTGTATCTCTATGAAAGAAGGAACTGCTGTTAAGTCCAGAGAAAACCAAAAAGATTTCTTCACCTCCTGAGGACTACATCTACACATAAGTTCTTTAATTTGAGATGGTTTTGTATGATCAAGCAAGTGTCCCCAATAAATCTGAAAGCCATGACAGCACAGCATGGTTTGACCTATCTTTACATTGTAATTGATATAAGATTAACCCAATCCTGACACACTGTTCACTTACGGTCTATTCACACTGAAACATGAGCCTGGGCTCAAGCCTATTCCCTCCCCGCATCTATACTGAAATTGTGCTAACCCAGTGCTCAGACCCAGGGTCCTGGGATCCTGCAAGGTAGGAGGACTCAAGGTAGAGTCCAGCTGGAACCCAGGGGTCCAAGCCCTATTGCTTTGCAGTGTGGCTGCAGCCTGGCTTGACTCAGGTCCTGGGAGTCATCCAGAAGTATGACAGTTCCATGAGACAACTATCCCAACAACCTGCAATCCACTCTGAGAACTGAAGTTACCCCCCCCCCCCTTGGTGAATGGGAGCAGCTCAGGTCAGTGTTAACCTATTCTCTTCTGATAGTGTGCTTGCAGAGAGTGGTGATCAGAGAGCCTCCTGGGTTGGGTGATCTGTTCAAGCTTCCTGTAATGTGCAGGGTAAGCAGTAAAGTTTTCCCACAGTGCACCTTGATTGTAGGGCTAGAGAAGCCACATTCTGCAGGGGACACTAGGGACTCTGGCATATGGTTACTCTGACTTGGGTCTGAGCACTGCCGGACGCCAGAGCCCTAAGTTTTAGCACGAGTTAGAAGAGCCTTAAATGCAGGGTTTAAATGCTATGTAGACACTCAAACCCAGGGTTCCCTATCATGGGTCAGTTGACTCAAGTCCTACAAACCCTGGGTTTACATTGCAGCGTAGACATAGCCTTAGACAGGGAATCCCCAACACATTTCAGCCATTAGAATCTTGATTGTTCTATAATAGTGCTATGGAATACTTGTTTAGTAAAGTATCACTTCAAAAAAGTCCTACTTGGTGTAGTCCTAGAATGGTAATAGGCTTCTAGACACTCAAAAGGATATAAATGAACAAAGCCATCAAGACAGAAGACCTATTAAGATGCATTCCAGGGAGACCAGTGGATGTGAAACCACGTGTCAAGGTATGGGTGTTAAATGCATAAATCTCATAAGCTGACGTACTACAGAGAGATTCAGTAGCTAGTTTCCAGTAAGCTCTTTCAAGCTCTCTCCATAAATCCATTTGAGAAGATATGCTTGGAACTTTTCCCCAACTCCCACTATACACCAAGAATTCTCTTTTTTCCTCCCCTTCACACTGGCTAGAAAGGAGGTGAAGTCCTCCCAAAGTACGTAAGTGCTACTACACATTTACTTTCAAATGCAAGTCTTTGCTGAACAGTGTTCTGATAACTTCACTTTAATTTCAACTATTTCTAATTAATAATATTCAATCTCCTTTTAAAGTAATTTTTGAAATAGATCTGCACTTCTGTAGTTTGCCTACTATGGTTACACCACATAAATGTAACTTGGTAGCAACCCTTGAAGTATATTTTTTCCAGTTTGTGCAGTTACCAGTACATTACCTCTCTGCTCTCTATGGAGAGTTCTCCCATAATGTTCATCTCACAACATTTAAAAAAAGAAAAAAAAAAAGAAAAAAAAAAGAAAATTACAAAACCACAAAATTGGCAGGAAATTCAGATTTAGGTGTAGTAGGTAGCCGTAACTATTTAAAATATAAAGGGACATGGTCAACTAGAAATTAGTCTGTTTTTACAGTATTTGTAATTATGAAATGACTGGATTTGTAGTCCAATATAGACAGGCCAGATACTTGCCCTTCCTGTGATTTTTCCTTCTGAAAAGTCTGTTCTGAATCTCTGTAAAAAGGAGAATGAAAACAAATAATTCGTTGTTTTAATTATTCCAGAAGGACTCCGACTTGAATCTCTTTTGGATAGTCTAAAACTTAAAGATTTAAAAGTTGTATATTTAAAGGGCACCGTTTGTTTTATATAAACGGATACATTCGCTCCATTGTTCACCACCAGTGATACTCAGACAGAGGCTCACGAGCCACAAGTACCTCTTTAATGGGTCTCCTGCAGCTCTTTGCAGTATGATATTAAAACACTGTGCAATTTAATTATTAATCAATCCGAATGCTTTTACTGTGTTATTAACAAAGGTGAAAGTAAGCTGGTACGGTGTACTGGTAAGAAAGCGGCCGCCGGTACAGGCCAGTACACGGCCAATGTTAAAGCGTTGCTGCAGCCAGAGTAAAACGGGCAGCTGCCCCAGGGCTGGGCGATTTAAAAGGGCAGTGGCCAGAGCCCCAGGCAGCGCTGGCCAGGCAACACGGGAAGCACCCCCACGCTTTGCGCCCAGCATGGCCCCTCACCCGGGGTCCCAGTTCCTCACCTGCTGGCCCCTCTGCTGCCATCCAGGATCCCTGACACCGGCCCCCGTTCCTGACCCCAGCCTGGGGCTCTGCAGCCACCCCCAGCTGTGATCCCAGCCTAGGATGGTGAGGCATGTGGACAGGGGCAGAAGGAGGTGCAGCTCAACACCCGAACCCAAAAAATTGTTCCAACACCACTGGCCCCACCCCTTCCACCTGAGACTCCGCACCTTCTGGGGGCCTGGAGCTGGGCCTCCTACACCGTGCCCAGGGGCCTGGCAGCATTGCGTACCAGTAGGAGATTTAAGTTACTTTCACCCCTGGTTATTAACCAATAAAATCATCAACCTGCATTAAGTTATTAACTTACTTGCTGTGAGAATATAAAATATTTAGTACTATAGTAAATGAAACATTCACACTACTGTGGCTCTTTTGGGTAATAGTGATCACTAATTTGGCTCCTAAACCATTGAAGTCTGAGTATCACCAGCCTAATGCATCCAGTAAATTGGAGTCTTACATACAAGTTATTTCAATGAACACCGTAGTCCAAGTATATGAATATCCATTTTAATATACAAGCACAGCAGCTTTCCTTCTCATCACATAAAATCCAAAGTGAACATACAATATTATTAGATTTAATAAGAAAAACAGTAACATATCTTAAATTGGCTGAATAGCCAAATAACTAGTTCTTACCAGCGCTTCTGTAATGAGTTCTGTCCTATGGTCTGTAGAAAACTTAAGCGTTTCAGACTTCTTTCCACTCCCCTTACGAAAGGTGAGGCTGAATTCTGTTCCTTGCCCCTTTCCAACAGGGCCGATACTACAAAGATCTCCATAAGGCCACTAAGGTAAACAAATTAAGGTCACTTGATAAGTTTCAATTAATGTAAGAAATAGAATCTTTTATATCCAAATGTAGTGAAACAGGTATTTAAGGGTATATTTGTACCTTAGGTCTCTTTATAAGAGGGCTAAATTGTTTTTAACAATTAAGGTTATAACAACAAAACCCAACTCTCTAGTTTGTGATTAAAATAAAGGTACAGAGTAACTAAATAGGGCAACAAACAGCATATACATCTGTTTTATGACTAAGCATTCAAGTTTGATGAGGAAGCTCAATGCAATGCATTCACTCTCTGCTGAAAGAAAAGGAGTACTTGTGGCACCTTAGAGACTAACCAATTTATCTGAGCATAAGCTTTCGTGAGCTACAGCTCACTTCGTCGGATGCAAAGTGGTAGCTAGGAATTCAAAAGCTCAAGAAAAAGCCAACATTTCGACTAATGAAAAAGCACAAGGATCCAAGCAAACAAGGATGGAATAGTGCAAAGTTGGGTAAAATTTGTGACCCTGTAGATCTCTGCTCTGCAGTGATTCCCTTCAAGGACACTGGAACTGCCAAGTAGTCCTGAGATAGCACACGCACAAAAAGGGAAGTTGAAGGAGATTGTTTTACTAAGTAACAATTTTAGTTCTATTGTGTAACAGGACAAAAGACTATACGAGCTTCAAAAAACACCAAATCACCATTTAAACTGTTAACTATTGCATCAGCTACTTTTCTTTAGCCTATAAAAGGACAGTTTGCCTGAGCAAGCCAAGTCACCACAGTGCCCAATCATGTAATTAGTGGAACTGACACCCATTTTAGTTATGCTTAGTGTTTATCACAAGAGAGAACCCTCTGTAAAACATAGCTGACCACACTCAAATATTAAGGAGGGGACAAGTCAGAAGAATATTAACATGAACTCAGATTGCATTAGGATATCTTAATGTATCCAAGAAGGCTATTACTACATTTATCATTACCTGATTTGTAACTTCTAGTGTGTTCGGATTGTACGTAGTGATGGCATGGGTTCCAACTGAGAAGACTCTCTTATACCTAAAGCATACCAAGAAAGTATTTAGTTTAAAAGTATTTTCCTGAAATCTCATAAAAAAAGCAAAATGTGTACAGATAAATACACTAATCACCCATTAGGACAGAACCAACATAAGCCTAATCCTAGTCACTAACCATTACAATGAGAATGGCCAGACTTAATAAAGTGAGTATGCTATTATTTCTCAATATAAAGGATTAAGTTTGCTAGAGTACTCTTTTATACCTTCGTCTTTGCCTCTTTTCCAATGTGGTTGGTGAACAGAAGAGAAAGGAAAGGTTTAAGAATATTTAATTGTTGCAGCATTCTCTCCCTCCCTGCCAAGCTCAGGAAGATCTAAGCCCAAAAACTTCAACAACATGCATTGACAAGTACAAAATACCAATGGGAAACTTGCAATGGATATTTTCACCAACATGACTATATGTAGAAAGGCAAAAAAAAAAAATGAGGGAGAAAATGGATATTCACAAATTCAAAATAGCATAAATTGAGACAATTCTGAATGTAGAACACAGCTTCCAACTAACAGTAACTACTTGAATACTCTTCTCCAAGGAACTATACTGACGTAGTTCAACAAACACCACAACAACAAAAGTATACAAAAGCTGCACCAGAAGTTTGATGGTTTGTGTGGTTCAAAGAAAAGCCAACTGGTCCAAATCTATCAACTGCTAGTTTGCAGCAAGCACTTAGTATAGATCATCTGTACAAATCTTATTTAAAAGAGTAACACCTCTAACTTCAAGGTCAATCTGTGTTTGTAAATCAGCATTTTAACGTTTACGCAAATACAACAGCTAGAAATCTGGAATTAGAGTTCTACAAACATCTTTAAGTCATACCCCGTTTCCCTACCCCAGTATAATTCATCAAAAGTATTTGTAATTAGACTAACTATATTTTACATACAGACTTCACACATATGAAAGACATTTACATTCCTCAGCATGTTTCAGCTACCAAGAACCCTCTACTCAACGTGGCTGCAAATGGTATGGCAGGAGTGCATCTCAGGGCTGACTGTTAACTATGGATAAGGTAGGTATAGTGGGATTTCCCATCAGCAGAGGAGGTATTAAGGAGACACTTTTCTCTGGATCATGGTGGAATGGTAAACAGGAAAGATTTCCTTTGAATTGCAGAGGCAAGCAAGCAGATACATTTTTCAGTGACTAGACAAGTGAACTGGAGGAGGGTCTCAAAGTGAAGCTGTTCTTTATATCATGTGTATTCTGTGTGATGCAATGACCTTTAGTGCCTATTCAAGGTGCCTGGAAGTAAGAGGCTTTGGGTGGACAGAAAGTTAAATGACCAAGTAAGTGAAAGAGGTAGTTTCCAGAAAGCACCTTCAATAAATATTTTACACACAAGTCAGTTTAAGATTTCTAAAAGGTGAAAAGTCAGTAAGCAGGGTCTGGCAGCACTCAGTTTTACTACTTGAAAGATATTCCTCAATTAGTTATGAGTATCTTCAGAAACAAGCAACCCTAGGAGGAGAAATAAAAAGTTACCTTTATTCAAGGTGTCATTTCAATACTGCCTAATGTTAAGTCACCGTGTCAGAAATTACATTTTTCCCCCCCAAGAGACTAGTTTTACAAGTTACTTTTAATTATATTTTCCTTGCTTTTGTCAGTTACACCATTATATCTTTTTGAAATATTAGTATTTGATGACTGAATATAAATCAAATCTGATTAGTCCGAGGAAGGATTTACACACTTCCATTTGTTCACAGCTTTTTTGTATGCTATAGATTATGTACATTAAATTATATTTCCAGTAACAATACTGAACATTTAGAAGCTATAATTTGAGGGATGAGGGAAATCAAGAAACTAGATTTGACTCTGAGCAAGTTTAATGAACTTCTGAAGTGTTTACTAACCTCTACTATACTTGGTTTACAATATAAATCATTGTTTGAAAATAAAATAAGGTGCAAGTACAGAAACAGTTGACAACTCAAATACTTAGAGTACCCAGAAAGAGCTCTTGAATAGAAACTGTTTATCTTATAAAAACTTAATAGATCTATGAATGCAAACTCTCATGGTATCTATTCTATCCTTATAGGGATATTGTCAAGACGACCATTCTGTTCTCCTCACTTCTCAGTTCTGTTAGCAGTCAGGATGCTGAAATACAAGAATTCTGCTTTACGTTCTAGAATTAAATAAAAAATATTGACTTTGTATAATCACGGGGAGATGAACAAAATGGTAATTTACATTTACATCACCTTTCAAACATGAATTAGGGGTATGGCTGTCAAAACTTCCATAGCATGGACATCATCCTATGTATCCGAGGCCCCATATAACCCTGTGGAGTGATCTGTTTCATCCTCTTATGGAGCTGCATCTAAGCTGCTTCCTTTACATTTTAGCTACTTTTACAAACCTTCAATCCTCTGGTTTGCAATGATGAGCACAGACACAAAATCTGAATTTACAGAACTTCTGAACAGACCACAGCAATATCACCAATGTAATTAACTGTCAGTTAAACTAAAGAGTAGGTTGCAACAAATAGTAAAATAAAGTGAACTAGGCCTAGAAAAGCACCAGTTGTTTTAGTAGTAGGAGAAAACTAACTAGCTGGTGGTAGAGGGGTACCTTTTAATTATAATTCTTCCAAATATAGTTAGGCCCCTCTACGCAAAGCAAATATTTTTGAGAAATATTTTGAGAAGTATTTTTGAGCTCACTTATGTCACACAGGCTTAGTCTACACTTCAAAGTTTTGCCAGCATTGCTATGTTGGCTAGGAGCATGAAAATAAAACACTCTCCCACACAGCTATGCCAGCAAAAACCCGGATGTAGACAGCTATGCTCACACAAGAGTGCTTCTGTCTGTTTAGCTAGCGTTGCTGGTTGAAGAACTTCATCTGTCAGCTTACACCGAATCTCTAAGCCGGTAAAGACTATAAGGCAGGCAAGCCCACCTCTGCTTTTGCAGTGAGGATAAGGCCTAAATCAGTGGATAGCTTGAGTGTTTCACAGTGTGGCTACTCTCATTTAAGCTAACTATTGCAATGAAGAAAAATACACTACACAAGCCAAAAGTAAAAATGCACCTTTAACAGTTAAGGTAAGGTCTCGCTTACCAATAGAATGACTGGATTAGCAGCTGATGACTTGTGCTAACTTGAGCTAGGTAGCTGAATCCCCACCACTGTACTGGATTGTCAGCAGCACTGGAGATTTAACCCACACCCCGACAGGCCAGCTAACTTGAATTTAAGGTCCCACCTAATTCCAGCTAGAGAGCTGCATGTGGACATGAGCTGGAATAGGGCCAACACTCGAGTTATACCATGAGTTAACACTGCAGTGAAGACAATCCTGGAAAAGAAGGGGAATCACAGGATTCCACTGTAGAAAGGGCTAAGGCACAAGGCCATTATCTGTGAGAGGTGTATTCAGAGACCAAAGAAGGGTCAGAGGTCACAGGGAGATCACTAGCAACTTGAGTGAGGACTTAATTTGTAAAGTCACTTAACCTGGTAGCTCCCTTTTAGGAGCCTTTCTGGACAAGATCTATAGCAAAAGCAATAAGCTTAATTTAAGAATTTGGAAAAGGAATGAGACTACGGCCTACACCAAAATGTCCTTTCTGGGCTCAGCTTCACTAATCCAGGCTCCTGAAAGTTCAGGAGCAGGAAAATAAAGTCTCTTAATAGCGGGGGAAGGAATGGTTCATGTTTGTGAGCTAGGACCACAATACCTTGCAACATCATTCTACATCAATAGCAGTGGGGACAGAAGTGCCAGACAGTGAACTATTAGTTATTTGCACTGTACCTAGGAGCCCGAGTCATGGCAGAGGACCCCCATTGTTCTAGGTGCTGTACAAAGCAGAACAAAACCACTAAGCTGTTTCTTTATTTCCATCTTTTACAGGAAGATCTATGGCAACATCTTATCAATATCAAATTTGTTTTCTCTGTTCTCAACATGGAGGCCTCCAAGCATCCTTCTAACCAATTCCCTCTATTTATGCCAATGCAAGCAACGAGACAAGCTTAGTTGAACCAGTCTTACCAGCAACACTAATGCATGCTCTTGAAGAAATGCTTATGAATGTTCCTCCATATTCAACACCCACTAATGCTAAAAGCTGTATAGTCCAAAAAGTCTCATGTTCATCATTAGCAGAATAATCACCATGAGACCAGAAGGGGAAAAAGTAAACAAACAAACAGTTTATGAGAAGAAAGAAGAGTTTACCTCTTTGAAATAGGAATAAGATAATTTCTCTTCAGACAGAAGGGTCCAACCACTCCAGCTACAGCTCTTACACATCAGAAGATCTACCTTCCCTAAGGATAGCAAGTTAAAACAGGGGTGGACAAACTTTTTGGCCTGAGGGCCACATCTGGGTATGGAAATTGTAGGACGGGCCATGAATGCTCATGAAATTGGGAGTTGGGCCGTGGAAGGGGGTGAGGGCTCCAGCAGGGGGTGTGGGCTCTGGGGTGGGGCCAGAAATGAGGCGTTCAGGATGCACGAGGGGGCTCCAGGCTGGGGCAGGGGCTTGGGTGTGGGGGGTGAGGGTTCCAGCAGAGGATGCGGGCTCTGGGGTGGGGCTGGGGACAAGGGGATGGGGGTGCAGGAGGGTGTTCTGGGCTGGGACCGAGGGGTTTGGAGGATGGGAGAGGGATCAGGGCTGGGGCAGGGGTGCAGGCTCTGGCCAGTGCTTACCTTAAGCAGCTCCTGGAAGCAGCAGCAGCCGCCGCCGCCCCACTCCTATGCGGAGGCATAGTCAGGCAGCTCTGAATGCTGCCCTGTCCACAGGCGCTGCCCCTGCAGCTCCCATTAGCCATGGTTCCAGGCCAATGGGAGCTGCAGGGGCCACGCTTGGGGTGGGGGGAGTGTGCGGAGTCCCGATTGCCCCTACGCATAGGGGCTGGAGTGGGGACATGCCGCTGCTTCTGGGAGCCGCACAGAGCAGAGGCCACCCCTGACCCCACTCCCCAGCTGGAGTGC